GACTGTTCTCACTTTTTATAATATATTGCAAGCAACGAGTGAATTGGTTGATAAAGTAGGATCTCTGATTGATCTATATACTTCTACATATACTGTAAATTCACATACTTAGAAGGCAACAATACCTGGACAGCTAAATCGCAGTCAATTGAAACAGGTAGATTGCAGGCGGCACTGGATCGCTTACTTCTAACAATAATGCAACCTGGTGAAACCGAATCAGTAACCGGTGACTCTAGAGTTAATTGGTCATGGCTGCAGAAGACAGAAAGGAGACTGTATGATTGCAGTTCTCCGTACGGACCGGATACAGGAGCAACATACGAAAACATTACAGAAGAGTGAGATTGCTGAGGCAAGTTTCATGCGACGGAGTCGCAAATCAGTGTGCCCAGACAATCTTCAATCTGAAAGCTTAATACTAAATAGTAAACGGTTGCGTGATAACAAGCCGACCACTATTTACTGGCAAGGTACTAACCATATCTGTTCACATTGACAGAAACCACATCTAATTTAAATAGAAGCTTTGAGGAAGTATAAGAAGCGTAAGTGCTCCTCATTTAGTCAAACAAAAGAGACAGTTTTCCGTATTGTGATTGATATATTAAAGTGTAACCTGCAAAATGTATGGTAAGTGTGCGCATGATTCAGACAGCGAAGCAGACGAGATCTGTCCCAACGATCTAGACGCTGATGCATGGGAGTCACACAGAATGAAAAACCGGAGGCGAGAAAAGAGGTTGAACAGGGTATGGATCTGTGGAGGGCAGTGGTGCGATTGGAGAGTAACTATGTAGTAAGCGAAATAGAGGAAAGCTTTGACTTCGGACCAAAACATGTCCAGATCGTGTGCAAGGGAGCAACGGGCCAGCTATTCGACGATCTAATGCAGACACGGCCAGCTCCTGTGACTGATGGGGACAGGAGTGGACATCTGGACACGAGGCGATTAGGCCCTAGTAGCAGTACTAGGGGAGTTGGGAGTGAAGTGGTTTTCCAGGTGGGACCGGTGGATAAAACAATCTTGAAAGATAGGTGGCTGAGCAGGCAGTTGACAGCGAGATACTGTACTGTCAGAAACACGGAAAGGAAGGTTGCTAGCGTGTGGCGGCGCGCCTCGGTACGTAAGCGTCCTGGACGCCGTTACCGCTTGCGTCTAATATTTGGCTGCACTGGCGAAGGAAGAATGGCGTGGCTGGCGCGATATGTTCCTGTGTTGTCTTGCAATATAGACTTCGGGCCACACTACCTGGTGCTGTAAAACAATGACAGCACAATACCGCTACCGCTAGGAACATTGTTCAAGTTTTAGGATGGCTGCTTCTGTTGAGCAAGAAATCGAGCAAGTAGGCGAAGCTATTGCAAGGGTGGAAAGAGAAATTGAGGAGATCAACGAAATTCTCAAGAGCCCCACCATTTCGGATGACGACAAAACTTACCATCGGCAAGAGAAAAGCCAGCTTCGGCAAAAGGAAAGCCAGCTTCGGCAAAAGGAAGACAGGCTTCGGCAAGAGAAGTTGTTGTTGATTGAACGCACTCCAGTGCCAAACGCTGCATTTGATGTGACAAGGATGGTACAAGGTAAGCATGAGAATCGTTTCACTATATTTTGTTTCATGTCTCTTACCGACGCCATTACTTCCGGCAGCAAACAATCCAAATGAGATGGCAAACAGACAACAAGGTGAGCCACTGCTGTGTCTTCAATAATTTTTTTTTGGATACCAGTAACCCTCATTGAGTTTCCTCATATTGCAAATGTGTAGAGCTTGGCCACCTATTGGCTACTCTGGAAAATCTGGAAAGGAAGACAAATCTGCTGGAAACACCAACAACACCATGGGTTGGCAGAAAGGCTACAAGAAATTCCATTGAATGTATTGTCGAATCTAATTTCTCTAAACGACAATCGACAGACCATGCCCAGTTTGCATTCCTTGTTGCATCTGGTCACGTACGAAGTGGCAAGACAAGGACTGGAATTGAGTTACCAGGAATCATCGACAGGGTCTTTGAGTCTAAGTCCCTCGATCAAAAGGTTCTTCCAACTGTATATCTGAAGATAGATTTTTTGAATGGTTCAAAATTCAACGCGCAATTTGATACGCCCCGTCGAGCACCAAGCGAGGCACTTGGAGGCCGTTTGCTGTTGTCATACTTCGATATTTCTGTTCTACAACCGATTTCACATGACTTTGTCATGGGACAAATTCTACGGCATGTGCTGCGACACAATAAAGCAGAAGCAAACGTTGTTGTTCCGGTCGTCATTCATTTTGACGAACATGGCGAATTCATTGCAGATCGTAACAAATCGGAGAATAACAGTGATGGGAGGAATTTCTTTTTGAAAATGTTGCAATGCCTAGGGTCACTTGCTACTTCGAATGATTCAGCAGTCCGTGATTGGCACAGAGCTGGGAGTTTCTTCCTTGTCCCAATAACCACTGGGACGTCAAGCACTGACGCCAATTTCACGGAGCTGAGCAAATACCAAGTTCATCACTTGGCGTTGCCTGTCTTGGATACAGCCACCAGAAAAAAAATGGCAGCGGAATGTTTGCAGGGGAATGCAAATGTAGACAAAAATCAGATCAGCAACATCCTTGAGAATGATTTATTCCAAGTTGCCCTGGCGGATACTGGAGGGCTGCCTGGATTGGTTGAATTTGCTTGCGAATACAACTTTCAACAGGGCAACAGCTCACCAGTTCAACATCTCCATTTGAAAGTGGCAGCGTATGTTAACAAGAAATGGGACGCAAAGATGAAATCGATTGTTTCGGCTTCCCTTTCGAGGATCAGGGTCTCCAATGCCTTTGTTCTCATGGCTGGGACGGACACCACTTTCACCGTGCAAAGCGCCTTAGATGGAGGGACCATTTTCCTACAGAACCATGAAATTCGGCTCGCTCCCGCAGTGCTGGGAAAATTCACCAACGACAATGATATGTTGCATTCGCTTATACTGAAGGCGCCTACTAGAGCCGATCCATGGACGTGGCAGAGTTTCGAGAAAGTCCACTTGCTCTATCTGGCCGCCACAATGGGTGCCATGGTCAAAGAACGAGAGCAATTTAAGGACATTTCTCTGAGGACCTATCTACGGAACCTCCAACCTGCTGGCAATTCTTACCTGTCCCAAAAGCTGGTCCTGCCCTTGGAGTTTCAAAGCAACAATTATATAGAGGATGAAAGACAGTGCATCTCGAACCAGAAAATTCGTGTGACCACAGAAGATCATGCGCATGTTCATCTTGCTAAAGCAGGCACACCGATTGTGGATGGGTATCTAAACGTAAAGGTTCTTGGTGGTAAAAGACTGACCATATTTCTGCAGTATAAACACAGCGAGCTACTGTCATCGAACGCAAGGGTGAATGTTTCACACATGAATGAGGCTGCGCAGAATCTTGATCATTGCTTGGACCCACAGCATGGATGGGATGTGGAGGGGGACTGGATATTTGTCTGGGTGACAAATAGAGAGGTGATTCAGGATGTTGAAGCAATACATGAACGGCTACTATGGGTCGACAGCAACAGTCTGTGTGAACATTGTCCTCTGATTGGCGAGCGTGGTTTGGTGGCAAGAGAAAATACTTGATTTGGATTACAGCAGGATTGATTAAGGCATGACTTGAATATTGAGTTTGACAAAGTCTATGATACAGCTGACGTATCGATGTGGAGTTCAAGACATCTTGGTTCTCTGCTCCTTGCAATTGTTCAAAACAAGACAGACTGCTTGTCTTTTCGCTACTGGAGCCATTTGAAACGAAAGTTGTATTCGTATTCTAATCAATCAGTAAGACTAATAATGCTAGAGGAAGAAGAAACAGTCTTTGATACTTCATAGCATCTTCGACATTTCCACCATGATGATGAAACGGACTATGCTAGTACTTCAAAGAAGTCGTAGAAGTCTTTGAAAGTAGTCACGTCATCAAAAAATTTCTGACAAAAGAAATCATTAACATGTGCTGCAAGTCAAACAAACAAGATCAATTACTGTACAAAATATAGACAAGGAAAACTTGTGACTATCGGATCCTTTCAGACTACAAAACTATCCCTTAATGCTTCGATTTTATCCTATTATATCGGATATAAAAATAATTACGCACTACTATTTACACCATACTACTACAATAATAAGCATTAAAATGATCATTACAAAGGGACAAATCTAAATATGAATACTTCCTAGCAGGTACAGTAAGCTTAGTTGTTGCTGTAACTCCATTTTGCTTCTCCAGAGCCTTCTGATAAGCAAAATCGACCACATGGAGTTGCTCATTTTCTTTCTTGATAGCAACAGTGTGCTTTTACTGTTTTCTGCTGAATCTAGGCGCAGGAAGCCATGGCATAGATGTGGCAATCATTCTAAACGTCTTCATTGGTGCTCCTCTTGGTATATTGTCACATAATGTGTTGGCCATGTAACTCTGCCACAACGAAATTGCCAGCAGCCTACTTTGCAGGATTGGCAGCCATGCAAATGCAGTTACACATTGCAATCATAACTAGAATCACTTTTGAATGACTATCCTTCACCCTTGAAGGTGCTGGCCTTTGTCTTGCATGACTATTTACATTTGGGATGACGAGCAACAGTTTTTTGGTCCATCAGACCACCAAATTGTGCCGCATGGTCCTCTCCAATGCCTATTGCACCTTCTGATAGAGCCAAGAATGGCAAATGGTAGGGTGGAAGAATATGCCATCTTCATGACCTGACAAGACAATTTTGTGTTGGTGTCAGTTTTGGGGCAAATGGGTCTATTCGGCTTTGGAGGTTCATCCTTGATTCTGTGATGGGCTGAGATATAACATGTAGCATACCAATGAATTCCTTATTTCACTGGCAATAAACTTATTGATGGCAGTAAAAGGTGTATTTGTACATGGCGGAAGTCATTACATGAAATAAAGCGTTAAGGGATATATGTACATAGGACGGACCATGTACTTCCCAAAATAATTGTCCCCTCAATGTTGACTTGATAAAAGAATCAAGAAAAATTGTAACCATAACATATCAATGCAGTGTACCTCTTGTGGAGGACGCCCGCTGACACAGTCCAAGAATGATCATGCCCACTGAAAGAAATAGCAATTCATCAACTTTAGTGTGGAGGCAGACCAAAAAGCATATTCAGAGCTTTGATTGCAGATTGTACCACTCTTGGAATTTTGTTTGCTTCATCCATACTAAATTCCACTAGACGAGCATGCTCTGCACCAGTTTGAATCTTTGTTAACATATTGGCAAGATTTGTTTTGGTTACTTCCCAAGCAACTTGAATTCAAAAATAGTGATAAGCAACAGAATTTGTTAGAAGTAAGCAATCCACTGTCGCCTGCAATCTACCTGTTCAATTGACTGCAATTTAGCTGTCCAGGTAATGTTGCCTTCTAAGCATATGAATTTACAGTATATAGAAGTATATAGACCTATCAGAGATCCTACTTTATCAACCAATTCACTTGTTGCTTGCAATATATTATAAAAAGTGAGAACAATCTGTCAACTTTTGACTTTGACTCTTTCTTCTCCAGCTCAGTGGAAATTCTCAGAATTCTCTCTACGTCAGCCTGATATGCTGCAAGTTCAATCTGTTTATCCATTCACCTTCCACTGTAGTCAGTACTTTGATTAGTATCTAACCTTGGTTCTTGCTTTAGTCTTGCTTTCTTACATCATCAACAGGATGATTTCCATAGAAATATGATCTGTTTTCTGACTCGCCATGCGCAATATTTTTAGTCGCATCAGTCAACATCATTTCTCTATTGTATACATGTATTATCATTTTCTCGTTTTTCCGAATATGTAATTCAAAAATCCTAATATATCCAACAGAATTGCTTTTCTTCTTCAAGACAGATTCCTGGCAACTTGTGTTCATCACCATAGAGTTGCTATCAACAAGAGTATAGCAATAGCCATCAATTGGTATGCCCATCATTTACAATTTGTATACTAGATGTCCAACCAATTCAACACCAGTCTTCAACACAGCAAATTCACTTCCAAAAGAACTTGTAGCAACAACATTCTGTTTCTTTGAATACCAAACTGAAGGTGCATGATTTAAGAGGATGAGAACACCTGTTCTGGATTAGATCAGAAGCATGTTAGGCATCAACAAGCATTACAATCTTTACCGCTCCTCCAAGGGCTTCTGGCATATCAGGAGGCAATACTTCTTTTGCCCATGGATAGAACTCATAATAATAATAACTGAGACATTAATTGTTAATATGCTACTCTGTGGGCATTTGATTGCCGGTGAAATATTTGGCTGTAAAGGTCAAGTACTGTGAAGCGGTGAGTCAACAACAAGTTTGAACCATGTGGGGCATCTGTATTTTGAACAGAAGACAGGTTAGTTTTAGCCTACTGATAAATGGTTGTCGCAACAGTAATCCAACTTAGTACAAGAGGAACTGTTGGTTTGGATATTTGGTAATGCGGTTGGCTGACCAGCCAATGCCGCAAAGCTATCATTGGTAGGATTATGACTGAACGCCTCTAAGTCAGAATCCATGCTGGAATGTGATGATATTCACCTCGACTGGTGTTTTAGTACCAATAGCCTTTTGGTCAACACGCTATTTCAAAGCATGGATAGAACTCATACGATTCTGATTTGGGTATGTTGGTCAGTGCCATATATGCGGAACCCATGACAATCTTGCGGCTCGGATGTGTTTCAAGATAACCAAAAAGGTGTAATACCGCATGGAAGTGTCCAACATGAAGCATGGCATTGTATGAAGACATCATAGAGACTTCAGCACAAACGTCCAATCTTCCAACTTCAGCTGACCACCGTAATATTCCAATCAGTTGCATGTACAGTTTGTGTGCATGTCTGTGTCAACACAATCAGTGTTGTCAAGCTCAGGCTTGTAACCAGAAGGTAAGGCAGCAGACACTTTTCTTTTCAAAATCAAGTTATACTTTTTATGTGAGATTTGAGACTTAATGACATGCAATGCTTCAAGCAAATAGTTAGTCAAACAAAGCAAATAGTTAGTTGAACCAATCGACCAGCATTTTTGAGAATCACTTCGATCAACAAAATGTTTTGAAATTGTTGCACCAAGGAATGTTGTAGGCTCTGCAATTGAATCAGGCTTGAGCATGTAATGTGTTCCAAGCTTCTTCAATATAGCACAAGAATTTTCAGAAACAACAATCAGGTCATCGGTGTAAACAAAAGTATATTGGAAATATCTTTTGCCGTTTGACTTCAAAGCAGGTTTTCTCCAAACATCCATATCACCACGACACTGTTCAAACTCCACTTCTTCTCTCAGAGTCTTAGAAAGCTTAGATCTCCATGAGAACCCAGAAGATTTTGATCCATAGAGTGCTTTCTCAACAATAGCGCAACTTTCAAGGTCTCCAAACTTGGGTCCAAGTACAATGTCAGCAGACAAAATATCAAAACCATTTATATTGACTCATTGCCAAATTCTGTTGCTTCTCACAAATTCTAAAAACTTGCATTGTACTTCATAAACCAACATGCTACACCACTCCAACAAGATGAACAACAGTCGCCCATGGAAAAGCCTTAACAAACGACTCAGTGGAGAAAGCCAATTCAAATTTCTCATTCAAGGTTACTGTGAAAACATTCAAGAAGATGCTGAATTGAAAATGGTTTTCAAACGGATTGAAACCAAACGTCTTGCCAAACTCATGGCCAACCTTTTGCAGATGGGTTTTGTGTACTCCTCACATGATAGCATGATTGATGATGATGTCCGCAGTCGTATCATTTTGAAGAACTACACCCTCTTTCAATTGGAATTGGATTCAGATCAATTGAAGAATTGCCAGATATCTTTGAATCCAAATTGCACGATTCCTGGATGGAAGGAGATGTCTTTGAGCAATGCGTGGAACGCTTCGCTGATTTGCGTGCCATCTTTGATGAAGGAAGCATAAACTTGCCTAGTTCCTCAGTCATGGGAGCCGAGCGCATGATAGTCTTGGCACAATCAGCCTAAAATGACAGAGTGTATCATTAGATTAGAATAGTAGAGGATAGTAAAAGACGAAGATATGAGGTTAGAATTGACATAGAAAACATACAATAAAATATGACGTCAGTAGATAATAAAACAAGAGTAGAAGTACTCCCAGTCTATGTCCTGCTTATAGTGTAGATGCACATGTATGCAGTCGCATTCTAGCATTCTAGCAGTTTTGCACTTCTTGTAACATCGCCTCTTCTTTCGGTTCGTCGATCAATTCGTCTCTCTTTTCAGTTGGCTCTGTTGACCCGCTCTTCGTTTCGTCTGACTTTTTCAACGTCGACAAGCGATCGACAGTCTTCTTGGTCTCTTGTTCCCAGTCTATGCGGAACTTGAGGAACCAAATCCCCACCGCCGCGGATGTATAGATTCCAATATTGAATCCCCACCAGAGTCCATTCACACCCATGTCAACGACAAAGGTCAAAACAGCACCAATCGGGACAGCACATACCCAGAATCCAAGAATGTTGAGCCACAGAACCAAGTTTTGACGACCGAGTCCCCGTAGGACGCCACCAATTGTCGCTTGAATGGCATCCCCCATCATGAAGATACACGAAATTGGAACCAGGATGGTTACCAAAGATGCTACATCGGCATCGTCGCTGAATAGATCTCCCACAATATCCTTGCAAGCCACCAAGACAATGCACAGGATAAATTGTACCACACCGCTCAAGACAAAGGACGCATGACTGGATCGCTGAGCGTCCTTGGCCCGCTGGTCGCCAATCAATTGACCGACTCGGATGGATGCGGCAATTCCAATGGCAAACGGAAAGCTCAGAAAGATAAAGGTAGCGACCGTCAATGTGATAATGTGGGCATCCAGTGCAATCACTCCAAGCAGACCTGCCAAGATGGTTGTGATTTCAAATGACCACTGAAAAAGGTTTTATGTAATTGTGAGATATAATACGAAACTCTTCTTGCTCCATAAAGATGTACACGGATGCTGGAAAACTTACGGCTTCGGCGGTAATCGACAAGGCTCCGGATACTGCCAACTTCCAAAACGGCTTTAGGTTTGCAAAGTGAAAGTTCTGTTTGGAAAACTTTGGCCACGTGGCTTGTAAACTTTCCTTAGAAAAGAGCAAGTACGCACACATCATTATCAGTTCCATGGCTCGTGTTAGAGTGGTCGCCCATGGCGCTCCACTGATTCCCCAGCCTAGGTGAAAGATCAGTAGCCAGTTGAATAGCGCGTTCATTCCATTCGCAAGAATACCAATATAAACACCCGGTGCCAGCTTGTTCTGAGTCTGCAAGTATTTTGTAAAGACCTTAAAGAGAAAATATGGAAACAAACCAGGGATCAGTCGATACGAGAATTCTCCAGCGGCATCGGCTAGAGCAGGCTCTTGTCCAAAGAGATGCATGGCCGGTCCGCACAGCGCTATAAGACCCGACACCAGTATCGTCGTGCCAAAGACAATGACTAATGAACTTCCCGTCCAAATCTGAAAGCTTTTGTATTGATTTGCCCCATACGATTGCGACAACAAGGTGTCAATGGCAGTCATGAAGCCTGTCATGGAAGAGTTCCATAGATTGAACCAGACGGTAGCCAACGCAGTGGCAGCCAAATCTTGCTTGCTCAATTGACCTACAAATGCAATGTCCATAACCGGAAGAGTGTTTTGAAAGATTTCCGAAAGAATGATTGGATAGGTCAGCAAAAAGACATCTTTCAGGTGTTGCTTGTATGAAATCACGTGTTCCTCGGCATCTTCATGATCTTCCGTTTCAGTTGGTATGGACGACGACTCCATATTTTATTGGCAGCACACGCTGATCGGCAATGAATGGTGTTGAGGGTCTGTTAAAATAATTGGCGGAACAACACAGAAAAAGAATGATGTTAGCGGATCGGACGATGAGATTTTGTGTTGGTGTGTAACCGTACACACGTTGTCAAGATCGCGCATTGACAGTGTGCGGTTTCAAAAGGAAGAGGATTTTTTGAGAAGTTTTACAACGAACAGCTTTGTACCGGTACCTTTTGCCACCGACATTCAACATAGTGCATGACTACCGAGTCTCATAGTTGAACAACTGGAAGTAGTACTGTAATAAAGCCAAAATTTCAAAATCTAATAACATTATGCAGCATACGTACATGGATACTACCCCATGTACCCATGATAATACCCCAGGTATAAACTTAATTGTCGGTGGTGGACAGCAGTGATTTTAAGCAACACGACTAACCATCTCCCTTCTTGGTTGGTGCATTTGAAAGGAAACACGCGTCTTGTTGGGGGCCTCTTCGATAGATTTGGGCGCAGATGCTCCCTTCTTGTCGGGTGCTGTGGCTCTGTAGAATATCCTGACACCTTCTCCACCGACCAGTGAAAAGAGTCTTGGGTAAAACTGTTTTTCTTCCAGCCTCGAAAGATACTCTTCATCCCCTAGATCTTCCTCGGCTTCGACATTGCTATTGCTCAAGTCACAAATATCTTCCAAGGTTTGTGATCCCAAATTAAGGTCGATGACCCCATGCTGAATGTCAGATACCAAAACCTTGATTCCTTCCAAGACCTTTAAGATTGCCAAGTACTCTGCTTGAATGGATTCCATTTCTTTCATTCGTAAGCAAGCTTCGACAGAGTTGCCATGTTCAAGGCTTCCAGTGGCAGCTTTCACCAAAAGATGGATTTGCAAATTAAGCTTGTGCAGCTGCTTGTTGAATTCCACAACGTGTTGCTCTGCTTGGCTAATCAACAAGACAGCATCTGTACAGGGGTTCTCAATCTTTTCGTATCCCATTGGAATGTGAATCTTGGTGAATCCCTTGGTGGCAACCTCCATGGCTCGTTGACGGGCCACATTGTGATTGCAAAAGGGCGGAATGTCCGTCCAACCAAAGGCAACACTGCCATCTTCAATTCGTAGAATGGGAAAGAACTTGCGTTTCTTGAGTTGCAATAGAAGCTCATCATCGCTCCATTTGGAGGCGGTGGTCTTGGTGGATTTCTTGTTGCTCTCATTGCACATTGTGATTGCCCTGATCTCTTTCTCGACTCCTTTGAGAGTGACGAGGCCATATTCGTGGTGCTCGCTCAAGGTTTCTAGAGCTCGCTTGCAAAAAAGCGCTTGAATGTACTCTTGTTGAACCACTTTGAGTTTTCTCATGGAAACACATACCAGGTGTTGTTCAGCATCTCCTCCTTCTCCTTGCATTCGATCCGCAAGCTGAGCTGTGTGGTGGATGCGTAAGGAGAGTCCATGGATCAACTCCTCTTGGAGTTTCATGGCTTCTTCGATTAGAGTTTGAATGGCAGCCGTATCTTTGGCACTATGATTGGCCTTGCGTTTCTCCATCCCATTGGTAGGAGGAGGAAGACGAGTGCTAGTGACACCTTTGGTAGCAACCTCTCGTTCTCGTTGGCGTGCTACGAACATGAGGCCATGGCTCATTGCGTTTGACGGATCCAAGAACATCATATTTGTTTGTATATAGGTATCTATTTGCTTTTTGTGTGTTTTGCGTGTATAGTTTTTTGTAGGTTGTGTGTTCTGAGGCTTTTGTTTTTGAGAAGACGAAAAATGATGTGAGTTGCTTCTCAGTTTCATTCCGGAAGATACGTATCAGAACTTTCCCTGGAGTCTTCTTTTGCCACATACGCCTCACCAACCCTCTAATTGTGATCAGGTGTGATCGTAATGTCTGAGGTTCTCTCGTCGGAATTTGAGAATTCGATAAGTGATGAAATGGCCCAAACACCTCTATCATTGGCCCAAAGGTTTGAATCGAAACGGGAAGACTTTCCCTTTTTATTGTCATGATCAGACTCTCCAGCTCATAAAATATCCATGTATTCGTGTTGAAACTAGTGAAGGCTCACGACCTAAGCCCTGTGACTGATTTAATAAAATACAACACTTCCAATCAAACGGTACTTACTTACTGTATAGTTTTTTATGATCAGACTCAGGAGCGCATAGTATCAATGTAGTCGTATGAAATACGAAGATCTCGCCACCTACATATATATAAATGTGTGTGAGATCCTGATCCACATGCAGTATATATATATATTATAATACCAATACATATTATATAATACCTATACCGTACACCTGTACCGGTATGGATGGAGAGGTGAAACTTTCCCACAACAGTCTCCCAAAAAACTGACGCAACAAAATTTCGCAACTTCTTGGTCATACCGGTATGGTACGTTGGTACACATGTAGAGGAATACTCCTGTACATCTTATTTATTTTTGTTCTCGTGCGCAAGTCTAGAGTGTTTCTTACAAGGCATTGCAGTTAAAAAGTGGCGTCAGTCACTTCTTGTCTGGCCGCATTGTCATACTCCGACTGCTGACTACCTACAGGAAATCTAGTAGGAGCTGCTAGAGATGGTGGTTCTGACAAAGCAGCAAGCAAGAAAGGACGATTGTTTTGTCAAGGCGAGCGAAGAAGAAGGAGAATGACAGTAAACAGCCACGGAGCACAATTCCGAGCATAAGTCATCTATAAAGCAAAGAAGGCAGATCATTTCAGTGATAACCACTGCACTGGTGTGGTGGTATTTGTATTTCATCTCAAGAATGGTAGCAGTAGTGGTAGCAGCAGCAGCAGCAGCAGCAGTAGCGGCAGTAGCAGCAGCAGTAGCAGTAGCAGTAGCAGTAGCAGGAAGAATCATCGCACGACGATAGTAGAAGTAGAGACCTGCCGGGCCGCGAATAATGGAAGATACTATCCAAACTATGAAATTCGCAGAGATGCGGAAGCAGTAATAGGGTGACTGATTGTAAACTGCTGTGTCGATGCAAAAGTAATTGGTGGTCTAGAGAAGATGCTTCGACAAAAGACAAAAGAGTAACGAGAAGAACAAACTTTGTCGGTCAATCAGTCAGTCAAGTGAGTCAAAACCTGTGTGTTAAATACAAATAAACTTCAAACTACAGTATCCAATGCAGATGGCACAACGGAAATCTGCCTCCTCGACTAAACTTGATCGGACCGTTGAACGATTGATTCCTTTTGTATTTTTGAACGATTCCTTTGGTATTTTTGAACTTTTTCCACGTTCACGTAACGGTTCGCCCATAGTAAAAAAACTCGACATATTTAATCCCACGGCATTTCTCGTTACTTTGTTATATACTTTATCCTAGTGTATTCGAATGCCGTTACGCCAGTTAGCCCCAAAAACGCGTGATCTGCTAGAACTTTTGGCAAGACAAAAAAAATCGACCACCACACAACTCCACAAAAACCTTCGTCATTGACGAAAACGGAAAACGAAAAAAAAAAAATTAAATGCCGACAAGAACAACAACAACAACAACAAGAACAAGAACAACAACGTCAAGAATAGCAAGGAAGAAGCCTTCCAAATACCATTCAATAGCCATGTCCTCGTCAATATCGTACATTCCATTGCTGCTGCTGCTGCTGTCAATCATGGTTTCAACAACGAAAACAGTGGTCTCGGCAATCCCATTGAACCTTCCCGAGGCGGACGAAGTGGTCAAATGTCCCATGGTCAAAGAAATTGATTTCACGACGGAGATTGAAATTGCAGACCCCAATGTCGCAAGGGAATGGAACGAAGTGAGTGGGCTCGCTGTCAGTCCCACTCAAATTGCGCCCAGTGGAGCACCGATCATGTGGGGCCACAATGATGGCCGAGACCAAGCGGAATTTGGAACCAATTTTGCCGCATGGGATCCTGTGACGGGCGAACGACTCGTCACGTTTATTCTGCCCTACGATGAAACCTCGGACCCACCCTTGGTCAATCAAGACTGGGAAGACATGACCATTGGTTCCTGTGGCAATACAGCCGAGGAAATGGGAGAGACTTGCATTTATCTGGCGGATTTGGGGGACAATTACGCCAGCGATGTCATTAACACTTCCATTCGTCCCGCCGACAGACCCTATCGGATCTACAAGATTAAAGAACCTGTTCTAGCGGCCTATGCGAGAACCTCGGCCAGGAGTATTTCCTATCCCGCCACGACTGTGACAGCACTGGAAATTGATTATCTGGACGCCTCGTCACCCGCCCGCACTGGAAACTCGGAGGGCGTCTTTTTGGACCATGCCGGATGGGGACGAGGGGGTGCCATTGGTGACATTTATATCGTTACCAAATCGAGAGATTTTGGTAGACTCTACAAGGTCCCTGCGAGTGCCTGGCCCACCAATGGACAAACGTATGCCAAGTACTCGCCACAAGTGGTTGGATCCAATTACAACGATGGTGAATTCAGACGATTTCTATGGACCTCGGCCAGCATGTCGTGGGATGGAACCAAGATTATCATGGGCACCGTCCATCGCAACTATGTCTTTTTGCGTTGTCCCGGCCAGACGGTTGAAGAAGCCATTGTGGGACGAGATGCCTGCATGATTTGGGAGAATCCACCCGAAGCAGCCGACGATAAAAAACAATTCGAAGCAGTGGCCTGGTACCCCAATGGCAATACTGTGCTGAATATTGCCGAATCGCTCACCATGGTGCCACGCATTGTCAAGGTCAATTTTGACTACAGTTTTCCTCCAAGCTTTTGTCCAGCTGTTGGATTTGACAGTTCGGGCACACAAGGGACGGTTTGTCAGACCTTTCCCACTTCCTACGATGGAGAAAACTTTGTCTCGCAAGTGGTTCCAGACAGCTGGTGCGTCGATGCAATGAAGTTTTATGGAAGTCCGGCGCCCTCCATTACGGCTTCGGAATCTCCGTCGGCGACTCCCTCTGCCGCACCCACTGCTTCTGGCATGCCCACCAATGTACCCACGACGCCAGAACCTACGATCAACTTTTTCTTTGGGGATTTGGATCTCGATGATAACAATGACAGGATTAACGGTGATGAAGACAGCGGTGCTGCTTCTGCTCTCCAATCATCATTCACTTTTGGGATGATGATGATGGTTGCGACCATGATGACAATGACGATGCTACCAGCACTGCTGTAATACTATTACTACATGGCAGTAGCAGCAGCAGCACTAGTACTAGTACTAGTACTTTTACAGCTATATGATATAAAGAGGGATTGATTTTATTCTTTGGTTTTATAATAATAATAATAATAATAATAATAGCATAGGACCATTTCCTAGGCCTATTAGGACTACCATAGCTATCTAGAAACATATTTAATCTCACGCAGCGTATCATTTAGTAAACTATATTACCCACTGCCGTAAATGATGGATATCCCTCGACGACGATATTACACCTATAGTGATGATGGCAGACAAAAGGTTAGGACTAGTAGGTAGCTAGACTACTACTACACCAGTAGTGCTGTGGTCGATTTTGGATGACGACGGTTAATCCTAATGAAATAATTGACAATGAATGAGGATATGACAGGGGCCGGGAGCTGCAGTACCGTCTGTGGATTTGTTTTGGAAACTATCTGGTATGCTGGTATACCTACTACTCTAGTGAAGAAGAATACAATACACAATACTACTCTAGATACATTCTTAATGATATTGCAGATCCTTTCGCTATAGTGGTGGCGGCAGGTACTGGTACCAGGTGGAGGAAAGTGGGGGGCTTTTATTCTACTGCTGGAAGAGTGAAGAACAATATTCAATATTGTAGTAATGAACCGGCAGAAAAAAAGAGCCTCTCGTTCTGATAGACGAAGATGGCGAGGAGTAGGTACACTTACCGGTACACGTGTACCTGGTACGTACGGTAGAAATGATGATAATCGTTTCCAAGACTCTGAAGATCGCGAGTACGGAAGCACTGCGGCTCGCTTCAAGGACAACATGGAAAGGTCCCGCCGGTACTGAGACGCTAGTACGGAAGCAAGGATTACTGTTGATGCGTACCTGGTACGGCAGGAGGGTTCTCTTTCAGTTCTACTGGAAGAGTAAAGAATACTGCAATACAAGACGTCAATGGCGTTTGGTGCTTACGGTACCATACTCGTAGTTCTTCGACACTGCCTTTGAGGCTCAAACCCTTTCAGTACACGCACACGTCTGTGCAATGGTGGTAGCCTTGTTCCATTTGTGACCTAACTATTATTTAGTCGTGATATACCGGTATTGCTACCAGGTACAGTCGATATGGCTGTTCAAGATCGAGGGGCCTTTCGATTATGATAGATGTGTGCTTCGGAAAACACAGAACAGTATGCAAGCTTAAACCTTCAGTTCTACCGGTAGTCAGTGACCGCGGCAGGTATAGACGGATGGGCCTTGCATTCTAATGGTACTTACTGCCAGAAGAGTAAAGAATAGTTCGACGCCCAGTATGTACCGGTACTCTTGAATAAAATTGTGGTGGCTCGATCGATCGCCATGTTCAATTTGTGGGGTACTGTAGGGTATCCAACACATACAGTAAGTTCAAAGTATGGTGGTTGAAGGTAGAGGGGCCTTTCGATTGGATTCGGTTTGGAAAACGTAAAGACTCCTAACTAAGAAGAACTCGGTCGCAACCAAGAAGGGTCCTTGCCACTACAACGTTTGACAAACGAAGCAAGTTGGGAGAGTATATATCATGCTGTAAAAGAAAAACGAACAAGAAAAGCGTGGTCGGAAGGGTCCCACCGTGGTACTCATACGCAAGCTCTTTGTTGAATTTGTCGCGTGTCCTTTAATTGTTGCGGACTCTTTAATTACCCAATCACGTCGTTACGTTCCACACACAAAACAGCTGACGTATTAAAAATATCGGCTATAGTACTTCTTTTAAAAACGCCGAAGATTTGTTCCCTGAATATGGTGACGGGAAGTCAAAAATAAAAACGTTGTACCTCACAATTTCCGAAACAAGAAATAATTTCCTTTCAACACATCATGCAGCCTTCCAAAACTGATACCCACAACAGTGACTACCCCAGCAATACAGAAGAAGCGCCCCAGCTACCAACCATGCAGCAACAGTGGCTCCTCCTCGACCACTCACAAAATCGAATCGAAGACTCAAGCGGCGAGAACGATGAAACTGCCATGTCTTGGCTTCAGCAAACGAGTCTTAGTGGCGGATTTCTGTCGCCTTTAATGAGCATGTCATTTGAAGAGCCAATCGAAACTTTATCTGCTGAACAACAACGAGAACGGATGCTTGATATCATCGACGAAGCCCTTAATATTATCAATTCAAAAGACCATGATGATAGCGACGAGGAAAAAGGGGAAAAGCTCACCATTGACTCTTTCCTCTCGTCCACCTTTCCAAAACAATAACTGCAGGTATCGTGTAAGAAATTATTTTAAAAGTGCTATATTCATAAGAACGCTAAGACGGTATCAATTATACTACGCCCGGATGATGATCCAATACGTTTACCAGTAGACAGCAATTTTCAAATTGTAGATAGGAAGAGGAGGAGAAGACTGGAGGAGATGGGTGAGAGAGAGAGAGGACAAGAACAGACAAGACTACCAGTATATGCAATGGTGCCTTGGTGAGTGAGAAACATATAAAACAATCGTCTGGACGAAAAAAACCCGCGACCAAGGTACAGTAAAACAACGTCAGACAAACTGAAGAAATGACAGTGACGGAAGTGGCTGTAAAAATCACACCAATATATTTTTTATCAATAGACAAACACCTTTTGCGAGAGACTGTAAACACATAGTAGCCGCCTTTTATGAGGTGTAGTTAAAAATGCCATCCATCACGTGTTTTGACTTCAATTTCAGGCTACAAGCTACACTTGAAATTACAACTGTATAATCATAAATGTATTTCTATTTTTGGTTTCAAACTATTAACATGGCGGATCAAATATTCTATATCGCGCGCACACCATCCCCAATACTCCCAAGAACAGCCGATTGTACAGTTAGCTGGACCGAAGCTTCTTGAATGTTGGAGTGCTGCTTCGGTGAGACTCCGAAAGAGACCTCTTCCTTCCACCTTCATATTGTGGTGAGTCTGCATCCAGCTTCTTGCAACCAATTGCCGATGCAATGTCAGATATTCGCGATCGCAGACCACCCCACCGGGACTCAAAGTCCTTCGGCCAGTTCAAGCCTCGCATGGAATTGATTTCCGATACTGCTTGCTCGATGCTTGGATTATTGAAAAGACTCAAAAGATCACCTTTCAAACTGTGTAGTTTCTCCCAAACCAAAGGCCAGTTCTCCTTCAACAAACAGTCTGATTCTTCGGAACACAATTCGTCCACTGCATCCAGGTTTGCTCGGAGTTCTTGCACCACAAGTGAAAGAAAATCGGACATGGATGATTCCCCAGAGCTGGAATCTGGCTCTGCTTCAAACGTCGAAGTGCTCTTACTTGTAGTCGACAAGCAATTGAAGCGCTGCTGCCAGAGTGGAGCAATCGTCTCAATGACAGCTGACGGTCGCACTGGAGCCTTTGGAACAAAGCCATGGGCGCGGGAAAGGTAGGTGGCAACATCTTGAGAAGAGTCATTGGCGGACCGAACAAGACTGAGCATTCGGGATTCCAGCATGGGATCCAATTGTTTGCGCACTCGTTCGATGCATTCCGAGCCCGAGACGGTGACTTTCAGTGGTCCATTCTCGGTCGCAATGTCCAAGTTTTCATCCACCACCACCAAAAAGTAGTCGTTTGGATTTCGTTCCATGAGGTCTAGCAAAAAGGAGTCAAAGGTTTGAATTTCTTCGGTCGTATATCCCTTGATGATTTGGCGGGAGTCTGCGATCCCGGCATGTGCCAGAAACCTGGATAGAAGCTTTCGTTGAATCTTGGAGTCATCAATGGCGACTCCCCAGGTTCGTTTGGGAATCTGAAAGTGCACCGGTTTGGCGGACTCTTCAAATTTCTTGGCTGGAAAGACCAGACTAAAGACAGTCATGTCAGATTCGAATCGAATGTTGACATTTCCTCTCAATGTTTCGGAACACTTTTGCATGATCCAAGCACCATCTCCCGCCGAAGTTGAGCTTTGCTTTTTATGCAGCCTCTTGGCCGGCGCAAAGACTTGAGTGGCAGCGCTGGCCCCCATTTCCAAAAGGGATTGGTGTTCCGGCCCGGGAAGATTGAGGACATCCATTTGTAGCAGCTGTGTGGATTCGTCATAGGACACTTTTGTAGTGACTGGTCCATTGACCCTTCCGTACTTGCAGGCATTGCTGACTGCGTTTCGGTGAATGTATAGGACCAGCCGTGGATCCAAATGCAGCGATGGCATTGGTTTTGGAGCGACTTGGAGGGAGAATTGGTCGGGCTTTGTTTCTGTAGTATGGAGTAGCTGTTCTAGCTCGACACGTTCCAGTTTCGGCTCGTAGTTACCATGGATGACATCACGTGCCATGGCCTCCGATAGAATTGTATCCAAAACCGTCTTGAGGGTCTTGTCGAGTTCTTCTGTGTAGATGGAAATATTTTGGCTGCTTGGTGAATGATGGCTGTTTCGGTCGGTCAGTACCTCTTGTAGTTTGTCCGTCATGATTGGTGTGCTGAAGGAAGCCGGTTGTGGAAGGTCAATGGTGGTGATAGATGTTCCATCATGCAATTCTTGTGCTTTTGGCTGTCCATTCGCAACAACAGTGGACTCCTTGAGGGTCTCGCACAAGTGAATGGCTGCCAAAAGACCATTCTTGACTTCGTGTCTAGTGAATCTATTGGCTTCCGCATCCTTCTTTCTTGCAGTAGTCTCGAGAATGGTCTTCTTTTCAGCTTCGAATCGTTTGGTCCGTTCGGAAATGTCTCGTACGACCATTAGCATGGCTTCGTTATCGAGTGTGCAAATGTTCGCCTCACATTTCATAAAGACCTTTTTTCCATCCGCCATTTTGAGTAGTCGGTGATTCATGCTTTTGCTATGCCTCTTTTGGTTCCAGGCACGTCCCACCATGCCTGCCAGGGAGGTCAAAAGACTCTCGTCCACCCCGATTTCCATGTGTTCCAAACCAAAGGCACCACCAACGCCAGGCTCTACCATGGAGTCGCTCTTGGTCGGCAGTTCTGGAAAATTGATTTCTCGTGCCGTAAGTACTTGGAGGTTGCCGTAGTCTTGTCTCCGAATGTGTTCTTCGTCCACTTCAAAGACAATGGTCCTTGGCTTGGAAGTCACCCCATGGAATTCACGCAGATACGCAGGACTGACCATGGTGGTAATGGCTCCGCCAATGCCCTCCACGGACACGCAAATGGCATCGCTGGAGGATTCCCAGATCGCTGCCATTTGCTGACGGAGTTCTGCAAGACGGCGATCCGCTCGTTCTCCATCATCAAAGGCGGCCTTGTGTACTTGAATGATGATTTTCATGTAAAGATTTTTGAGAATGACATCCATAATGGCTTCCCAAAACATGATGAAATAGGTTCGTTGAAAGAGGGGCAAGGCGGAATCGGGGATATCGTCCGGCCTGTAAAAGGCAGCCGCTCCTGCCACAAAGTACATGACCACCAAGGCCGACCATGCCGCACAGCAGGTCATCATGAGGTTGTATGCCAAGCTGGCTCGATCCCATACTTCAATGGCATAGGCTGTAGCTCCCTTTTCCATGCTACCAAAAGTCCTTTTTTGCTGAAACAGTCCAATGAAAATGACGGTGAACAAGATGCAAGAGATGGTCATCCAGACCAACCAGGTTTCCAGGCTTTTGCAAAAAGGGAATATCAATCCACAAAAGGTGGACAAACTCTGAGAGGCTCCAATGACGTAACCAGTCTTGACCCCAGAATTGGGATCCACCCCGCAGACAATGAACGTCAGTGCAAAGCTCAGGCAAGTCCATTCGCACCATCGAGCCAGAAAGACTCTAGTGCCCAATACAGGATCCACCATGACAGGAGTTGGATATCCGCTCGCCATCAAGGCGTTGGTGCACATGGCCACCGTCTGGACCGCAAAGGAACCCCACAACACGCCGCTCATGCGAAAGTTCTGACTGGGCTTGGTTTCCAACCACAGAATCTTCAGCAAACGTGCTAGCATGCCAAACCCTAGAAAGGAGGCGGAAAAGCAGGCGGCGTACATTTCGGGGCCGTCCAAGGCCTCAAAGCTATCGGCTGGCGCATAGCGATAGACAGTTCCTATCAATGTGAGCCAGGCAATCACAATGGAACCAGCCACAATTCGAAAGTGAAAGTCAATCTTTTTGACTTCCATCAAGTATTCTCGCTGGCATATTGGATACATTCTGCTTTTGTTGTATTGCTGTGCTTTTATATTGTATTGTGGGGTTTTTAGTAATGATTGATTGATTGATTGATTGAGCTATCAGTGAAGGAAGTGATGATGGGTAGATGATGAATAGAAAGAAAGAAAAAAATAATAGCACCGGCACATTCGGTGCTATTTTCACGCACGTGGTTCATGTGGTGTGGTGTGGTGTGGTTTTGATCGAAAAAGTTCTCGGCACAAAATATTCCAACGGATAATTGTCGTGGGAACTAACGAATTTAGTGGTCATGTTGGTTTTGGCATACATTTCCATGTCTCAGTACTAAGTATACATCTTCTTTGAGACATTCGAAAACGATGACGATAGCGATTGCAGTTTTTCAACTTATAGGCTGGGACTGAAAATGTTTTCCAGCCAATGTTCGCTTTTCACTCTGGCTGGGACCATTCTGAATTCGGTTCTTTGCCATGTCAGATGTCAAGCCGTGCGTGGTCTGTGGTCTGTGTGTGCGTGTACAAAACGAAACCACCACGAAACCACGAACGATACACAATTACGGTTGTGGTTGAAGGAATTTGGACAAATGTCAAATGGACATATATATATAATGAAATATATATAAAATGTCTTACGCTATTTCGAACTGTACCAAATGGCCTTTGCGAAGGGGAATTTATTATTACTTGTCGGTGTTCCATTGTTGGACTGAATCAGTGGAACTTCCCGTCTTTACCTCGCACATTTTCATCGTACTTTAGGTACTGTTCTGTAAGTAATCGGATTTCAAATAGTCAGCGAAAAGAATGGAACATTTTTTCATATGTAGCGGAACGAATAAACAGCTGCGAGGAATATCGTTGGAAGACAACGTTGTTGAAGTTTCAAGCGAGACATTGAACCTGGGGGTGAAACGTGTGTATTTTCGAATTTGGGAACCTTCTGCTTCCGGTACAGCGGCAGTGCCACAAACCGGTACCCCCCGGGATGTGTAAAAAACCAATCATCCTTGATGATGATTCAATGTCAGTCTATCGGAAGAAGGCAGAGAGCCTTCGTCGTCGAAATATCATATGGACATGTCATCTACCGGTAGTATATATTGCTATTATTGTGAAAATAATGGATGCGAAGCTCCCGTTGGACGCAGGCGGTGCAGTACTCTACAGTCTAGTACAGTCAGTACAGTACATTGAACATGGCCTGGGTGTGTGGTGACGACACCGTATCGTACCAGTAGCGTACAGTACCTGTAGGTAGTACTACTACCGGACAAGTAGTGAGCAAATGAAAAACAAACAGGCAGGTATTGTAACATCTACTGCTACTAACTACTAGCTACGAGCTACTAGCCTAGTAGCTAGAAGTCGTAATCGGATTTTGGGGGTCAAGTCTCCGAAAAGTGATCGGTCAAATCAGACAGATAATGATGGTGCATGACTGCAAGAGAAAGAGGAATCTCGTCGCCAACTCTTGTTGCCTTTCATCTAGCTAGCTAGCTAGCTATCTAGCGACGTAGTACTACTACTACTAGTAGTAGTAGTAATAGTAGTAGTAATAGTAGTAGTAATAGTAGTAGTAATAGTAGTAGTAATAGTAATAGTACCAGTGCATTTTAACATTTTATGCCTATTGTGTCTAGACGACGACAATGTAGTATCGTCGCTCCTTTTTCACAAGAGTGGTGCTGAAAAAATAAAATGAGATTGGACAATCATCATGATACTACTAGGAGTTTACTATCACAACTAGATTATAGTTTGTAATGTACCGTATGAGACTATAAGAATAAGATAAATCGATGATTTTGACGTCTTCTTGGGAAGGACGAAACACGTTGTATATTTTAGGCATTGCTTCTTGGATGAATGGAACCGAGGCGAATTGGAAAATGAGAAGCCAAAGGAGAAAAGAGAGAGAGAAAAGGAGAGCAATTTTCAAGTTGCTGATGATGAGAAGGTCAGAAACGAATGAGAGAGAGAACGGCCAAACACACAATGCGAAGGTATGTCTGCAAATGGGAAGGATAAAAAGAAGGAGAACCAGCGTGTATATAAAAATGAAGCGATTCCCACATTCGTATCAGCAGGTGATTTCTCATAGATAATATGATTGATTCCGGCTACACTAGTGAAGCAAGTCGAATAATGCAGAACATCTGTCGGTTTTCATCTTTCATGAGCCAAACTACTACAGAACGAGATCAGTTCGCGCACAGTATTGTGGTGTATGCAGTATCCTCTTTGACTCCGAGGTCAGACATATATATGTCACTACGGCGAAACCCCGTCTCAGTTGTGACAGGGAGGCATACATAACGACGCGTATCATTCTGTTGGTCGATTGTGGAAAAAAAGGAAATACCTCCCCTTGTACAATTGATATTATTCTTCGGCATTCTACCGGAAATTTTCTAGTTTTCCATTTAACGATAAAGTGGACACGCGGCAAGAAGAACATGCTTCGAAGAAATAAACGTGGTGACGGGAAACATAGTTCGACTTACAATTTCCGAACAGTGCCTCTCACAATTTCCCAAAAACAAAACGATTTGCTTTCAATACATCATGCAGCCTTCCAAAACTAATATCTACAGCGGCAGCTTCCCAAATAACACCGATGATCGAAGCGGTGACGGTCAGCATGACGAAACTCATGCCAATTGGCATCAGCAGCAAAGTCTGAACGTCTCGTCAGCCCCCCTTGCGTTTCTTCATTCGCCTATCATATTATCAAGGGGAGACGGTGATAGCAATGCTTCCCCTGCTGAACAACGAAGAAAATGGGTAATTGATATCGTCGACGAAGCGCTTGATGTAATCAATGGAAAATATGATGATCGCGAATCGCTCCTCTTCAACTCCTCAAGCGGCCTTTCACCTAATTTTCCAAAGCAGTAAGGGTTCATATCATCAAGCACAGGAAAGGCCCATTAAAGCTTAAAGTGCTAAAATATGAAAATACACATTAAATAACATATACAAGCAATTATAGCAGAAGTGAATCCTCTACACTAATGTTATGATGAGGCTAGGTCCTGTGTTCAGAAGTTTGTTTGTCGTTTGGCCCACAGATCGAACTGCATTCGAAATCGCAATTGAAATGGTAGAACACTCGAGGGACGTAGCGATTGCGAGCGTGTGCCACGAGCAAAAGCCGAACCATGATGGGCTGGAATGAAAAAGGAGAAGTAAGATTAGCATGAAAAAACAAGCCTAGGACTAGTAGAGAAGAATAAAAGAAATAAGTAGAAATAAAGAAGTCGGAAGAGATAAAAAGCGAATGAGAAAACTACCGATCCTTTTCCATTCATTACGCGACAAGATGACCTTTGTGCAAAAATGATGCATTGCTACTGAGGTAGGAATTTAGGCGGAACTTTATTGCGATTATGGAAACTCGCGTATCACTTGCAAAATGGTCCTATATTAGGACATATCATGGCGATTGGAACCCAAACATCCTCCTCTACCGGTATGATAGCTTGCTTTGGTAAACTGCCACCGCACAGTACCCTGGTACGATACCGGTACCTGTAGTGAGGAAGTCTATTATATTGAGAGCATTCGACCAGAATATTTTGTGCAGTATCACACAGTATTATTTCCTTTTCTTCAATCAGTCCACCGGAATATTTCAAACAACCTTACGCCAAGTATATCTCGACAGATCACGTGTACTTTTGGTGGCATGCCGAATATGGATCTTCTTGCCAGCTGATATATTAAAAAATACGCTGTGTTAAAAGTCAGTTGGCCGAAACTTTTACATTCTCACATATTATAATAATTTCTACAACAATATATTCGAAACGACGTTTTTGAAAATCATGAAGCCTTCCAAAACTGATATCCCCAATGGTAACTACTCTAACAATACCGACACTCCCCGTCCATCACCCATATGGCAGCAGTTGTCCCTCGACCACTCACACAATCTCGCAGCCAATCAGCCATTAATTTGGGGGGCATCAACAGATGATCATCATGATGAAGCTGCCAATTGGCATCAGCAAAGTCTGAGCTTCCCAACTCCCCCTGCATTTCTTTCGCCTACGGGATTATCCAGAGGTCATGGTGATACCGAGGCTTTCTATGCTGAACAGCAAAGGAAACGGTTGATATAATCAATTTAAAATGTGATGATAATGGCGAGGAAGGGGGATCGCCTGGCAACTCAAGCCTTTCATCTGATCGTCCAAAACAGTAAGGGTTAACATCGAGCAATCCATAGGAGCAGAGCCAACGCTCGTCAACTCTTTGCATTTCCAAGTAAGCTCCAACGCAGTCACCACCATCCAGCTGGAAACTTCTTATATTGGCCGTCAAGGAGCAAGGGAACGATTCACGAAAATGGGACGACGGGCATGGCCCTTCACTATTACCATATTTTAGAAATAAAATAAAAGATCTTACATAAAATAGACGAGGCATTGTATTCCTAAACAAAAGCAATCGTCCCAGTAGCATTGTCATGTAGTAAGGTCTAGTTCAGAAGTGCGTTTGACGTTTTGCCCAAGTTTCGAATGGCGCCTGGTACGCAACCATTTGAGACCGCATATAGTGCAAACCTAAAACGGAAGTATTGATCTAGTTGACGCAATTATGAAACCGGAAGAACACTCGAGGGGCAGTAACGATGACGAGTGATGGAATGGGGAAAAGCCGTAAACATGGGCAGAAAGTGAAAAAGTTGAAGAAAGATGAGCATTGGAAAAACAAGTCTAGATTGGAGAAAATTGTCAAAGAAGCAATGAATATCATAGACAGTAAGAAGCAGAGAATGAGATAACTACCGCTACGAAATGGGCGAGTCAGAGCGATCGCCCCTTTCCATTCATACACGACAAGAAATGCGTGTGGAATGGTCTTGTTTGTGCACAAACGGCCCACAATGGTGGAATCCAACCATTCTAATGACAAACCTTGTTTCTGTACCTGCAGCCGTACCCTGCTACGCCTGCAGGCACCTGGTGAAGTGAAGGAGATTATTTTCTTGAGAGTAGATGAGTATTCGACTGGAATATTTTATATCACTTCCATAGTTCAATTATTGCCACTTTACCCATAACGACCACAACAACCCTGCACGAGCAGAAAGAAGTGAACATCACGTCCAAAAGTACACACTATATTTTCCGTTCCACCGGAAAATTTCAAGCAATATATATAATATATATAAAATATTATGACCAGAATATTGAGAAATCACGTGGCCACACGAATCTGCAACTTCTTGCCAGCTGATTTGGTGATGCGAAGTCAGTTGGCAGAAACTTGGACTTGCACTCATAATTTCCAAGGGACAAATTAACGTTTCTGAACATCATGCAACCACCTTCCAAAACTGATATCCCGCATGGTACCTATCCCAACAATGTCGATGCTCCCCGTCCATCACCCATATTGCAACAGAGGCTCCTCGGCCACTTACAGAATCTCACAGTCGATACAAGAGGTCGTGACAGCCATGAGGATGATGAAACTGCTGGTGCCAGCAGGAGCAGCATGATGCTCCTGTCTTGGATTGAACAAACAAGTCTGAGCGTCGGATTTCTATCGCCGATGAGTCTTCCAATCGCGCAGCATCGAAAACGGCCGATGGACTTTGTCAAAGAAGCGATTGCTGTAATCAATTCAGCAAAAGATGATGAGGACGATGACGATGATGACAATGACCACCACGAAGAAGGAAAATGAATGAGTATATTAAGCTTATATCAACTCAATCCTTCAATACAGTATGTTTTCGAAGAAGATTTATACTGTAAGATATCAATCCATTTGGGCACGATTTAAAAAAATAGAATGAAATAATATAGTATTAGATCCCAACTTCCATGAGATATCGGCAATGATGCCAACAAACTTTTCGTGTCTAGGCTGGGAGAATAGGCATGAGTATAACTTAATTTAGTCATGTATCACAATAGAAGAACCGATTCGCGTTATGATGTATCACTTCCTATGTTTCAATTATTGCCATCGACCCTAATGAGCAATTAACCATTCGTTATTCCCACATAAAGAGATCTGAATAATCAGTTCCATGGAATGGCATTACACATATTACCAACTTTTTATATCCTCATGGATGTTGTTTCTGCCGGAGGAACATTATCATATTGATAATATTGGGGTGGACCGCGTGGCTTTTGCATGTAACGGTATACCAAAGTACATGCAATCCCAAAGAGAAGGAATTTGAAAAAGAAACCACCACCACCGCTACCACCTTCTGCGGTCTTTTTTTCCAAGACTAGTTGGTCTTCCTCCTGTTGTTCAATGGCAGCCTCTTGTTGGGTACTAATGGCTCCAGTGGTATCCACCTGGCTGAGCATGCTACAAGCGCCAGAGCCAGGATTCTGACAGAGCAAGAAAAAGGCATAATCGCTGTATTGGTCGTTGCATTGGACCGAGGTAATCGGAAAGGTATCCGTCAGCTGCGAATAGGTAGGATCTTGACAATTTTGAACGTAGAGAATGACTTCCGTGACCTGGTAGGCATTCAACTGCTGAATGACATTGGTTCTGAAAAAAGATAGATCGGCATAGGGTTCAATCACAATTTGGACGCGGCCAGATGCCGTACGAGCAAATTGAGAATAGGCAGCGGCCCAAAAGCTCGAATAGGCATTCGAGTTGATCTTGTTGCAATCATTCTTGCGGTCCACACCACAAAAGACCAGATCGTGCATCAAGAATCCACCTGGTGTTTGTTCGGGAGTTACCAGTTCCACGGGTGCCATTTCACGGTGCAAGGCAAAGTTACTGCTCTGCTGCTGTTGTTGCTGTTGTTGTTGCTGCTGCTGATTGGAGTAGCCACCATATCCACCATATCCTCCACCACCGCCATTACCATATCCGCCATAGCCACCAGACATGTTGTTATTATTGTTACCATTTTGGTAGCCGTTATTGTTGTTGGTACTTCCACCAACAAAGGAACCATCATTGCCCGTCAACCAAATCAAAGCTTGATTGTTCGGCGAGGACATGTCGACCTGCCGGAAATAAGGTGCAAAACTGGTAATGGCGTCAATGTTGGCATCGGATTGACCATCCAAGACGCTCATGATAGACCCGACAACTTGAGGACATTGGTTAGCATTGACCATCTTTTCATAACAACGACCTGACAAAATCTCCTTCAAAAAGAGAGATTGCCCAGCATTATTATTGATATTGTTATTATTGTTATTCTGAGCGTTTGCAGGAGTTGACAGCAGAATTGTTGCTGTCAACGCTGACGCTAGAAGCAATGATGTCACTGGCTGGTGGCGTTTGAAAGGGTTCATATTAGCCATTGAGAAGGGTTTTGAAGGAATGGCTTTGTCACAGGATCAAGTGTTTGGGAAATAGATGATAAGACAGTCTATAATACGGCCTATACAATATATCGCTGAATGATGCTGATGCGATGTGTTGATAAAAATGCTGAAAATAATGCTGTCAGCTGAAAATGACAGGAGCGTCTGTCATAGCATACGTTCACGATTCGATTCATCCGATCTGTACTGCGGTCACAATTTTGAGATTTTTGAAAATGACTGTAAATCATCATATTTTAAATATACGCACATCATTCGTTTTGGATCTTAGTAGGAAATAGTAATCCATGGCAATAAGGGCAATCCATGACAATGGATTATCAAAGTCAAGACGATACTACTGACGATAACAGCAGCACACAATATGAGGGATTAGTATTCAATTACACCGGACAGAGACGCTTTGAAATTCCTTCCAATATCACTGTGCTGACCATTGAAGAATCATTGTTATTTGCATTTGCAGCAGTCGTGGTCGAACGCATTGAAGAAGCAGCCTTTGCCGATCAACACAAATTGAGGTCGGCCTTGATTCCTTCCACTGTTCAAAGAATTGAACGCGCTGCCTTTGCCAATTGTTCTTTGCTCAATGATCTGGAATTGGTGGAAGGTCAATTGGAGGCCATTGAAAGCATGGCCTTTGCTCGATGCACTTCCATTTCCGAAATATCCATTCCATCGACTGTGGAAGAGATTGGCGACCATGCCTTTTTGAATTGTACAGGCTTGGTAAATGTTAACTTTCAAAGAGACGGAACACTGAAAAAGATTTGTGAATATGCCTTTCGAAAATGTGAGGCTCTACAAAAGGTTGCCATTCCACCATCGGTCAATAGGATTGAAGAATTTTCCTTTGATGGATGCTCCTCTTTGGTCGAACTGAGCTTGTCCGTGGGGTTGCAAGATATTTGTCGCAATGCTTTTAGTATGTGCGTCTCGCTCAAGACGGTGGATATCCCTAGTACTGTAATCGTACTGAGTGAGGGAGCCTTTGCGAACTGTAAGGCGTTGGTGGAGGTCAACATGGTTTCTGGCTTGGAAGAGATTCGTGCGAATGTATTCGAAGGGTGCTGTTCGTTACAGGCAGTGGCTATTCCAGATACCGTCTCTTGGATTGGGGACATGGCCTTCAATTTCTGTATTGCCTTGGTGTCGGTGGAGCTTCTTCCAACCACAACTGAAATTCGAATGGGCGAAGCCGTCTTTAACATGTGCAAGAATCTAGTGAACATTTCCATTCCGAGTACTTTCAACGACCTCGAGGAAGGCGCATTTGTTGGATGTACACTACTCCAACAGAAATATGCGGGAAGACAAATCACCGAAGCTCTCAAGGAGAGATTCCAAGGGTATCCCATTCACGACTTGTGCTACCATGCCTCCACTACAACAGAGAAGGAACTGGTGTCGGCAGCTGCAGCAGCAGAAAATTCTGGCGATGATAATAGAGCAAGTCCAGATGATCTAGTGGATGTCTTTGGTATGACACCGTTTCATATATTGGCATCTGGTAAACAACACATGGATCTCTTTCGCACCCTCATGAATCTATATCCGACCGAGTTGCTGAGTCGCAAGGATCGCCGCGGGAACAGCCCTCTGGGATATTTGTGTATACATGTGTCCAAAGAAGCTCATGCCTTATTTCAAACAATCGTCCAACAAGAAATACTGGACATTGCAAATCAATTGGGGTTGCAAAAGTGGCGGATGGAAATATTGGACATGGCCAATCCATTGCAAGATGGTCACGAGGAATGGTCGTCTACCTCCTATATAAATCGACGCAAGTGCGTCGAAACGGTGTATACCAAACTAGAAAAGTATATTATTGTGGAGAAAACGTCCTTGCTGGAGGAGGCACTGTGGAAAGCAAACAACATTATGGACGACTCGATAACGACAACGACTACAAGTCGGATTGTAGATCGACGAGATGCTCGATTCACAAGCGGGGCATCCATTGTGATTCCACAAGTGACGATCTTCTTGGGGTACACGTACAATCCCAAGAAAAATTGAAGCAATGTATGTGAATAATGTTAAGTATGGGCAGCGACGTGGCTTTGCTGCAATACTCGAAAGGCAGAAGATGGAATGCATGGTCATGTATCTGTGTAATCAAAAAGTTTTGGTTATTTTTACTTTCACATATGAGTAGTATAATATATATTTGCACAGCGCGTGATGTTTCATCCTTGCGTAAGGTAGGGGGTAAGTAAAGTCAGTCACATTCATAGTATTGGCTCATCATGCCAACTATAGTATTCATTCCAATAACTGTCATTCTAGTGTCTCCTCTGACGTCTGTCATCTTGCTTGAGGTCACCCTTGTAAATTTCATCGGTATCCTTCTCTTCTTTCTTGTCCTTGTTCTTCTTCGTTGGGGCCATCTTGACCTTGTCCGTCTTCTTCTTTCCGGCCTTTTGCTTGTAGACATAGCCTTCTTTCACATTGGTGATACCCATTCCAGAAGCTTGGAGAGATGCATCAAGCTCATCAATGAATTCTTGAGAATTGACGCTGCTCTTCTTGGAACCCTTCGTGCTGGAACCCTTCGTGCTACTCTTGAGGGCACGGTGTTTGCGTCCAGTAGTAGCGGGAGTTTTGTAAGAAGGGACAGTACCCCGGATACCAGATCGAAGCTTGCGCTCGCCCTTTTCTTCCTCATCGTCACCGCCAAAGAGGATTTCGTCTTCTGCTGCGCATCCATCGCAGGCAAGAGTCGTCTTGATGCCCATTGTCAAGTGCTTGGCACCCTTGCTATCTTGAACAAGAGCTTGTTCGATAACGGTTGCGTTGGCCATGATACGTTGGTAGTAGTCCTCACATCCATCAGAAACTTCATTGTACACAGAGGAAACAGTATTTTGGACTTGATTGAGTTCGGATTCAGTTGCTTCACGTTCCATGCCTTCCAAATTCAGAATCACATCGGCCGATTCAAAGTCAACGGTTCCATTGGCCGAACAAGAATAGTCAGTGGATGCTAGACCCTGCAAGCTCTTTCCCATTTCTTCTTCTTCTGCTTTTTTAGCAAATGAGCCACTGACCAAAGCAGCCAAAAGGAGGGCCAAGACAATGATGATGCAAATACGTTTCTTGGTCTTGCTCTCCTTGACCACGGCACGGTCAAGGTCCGTGTCACTGTCGGTTTCACTTCCAGTATCAGAGTTCCTGTCCCAGTTCTTGCTAGCCTTGTCCATCTTGTCTGGATCGGCAATAACTTCAATTGCTTCGGCATGAATGGTTCGCGATGAGGACATTCGTTTCTTATTCTTGTCGACGGGACGCGCCGTAGGAACATGTGTGGCGCCAGGAGCGTCCGAGGGGGCAGAAGCGTTAGGGGCTCCTTCTCCAGAAGATAACATTCCAGTCCAATCCAAAGCTGACCACATCTTATTGTATTTTCGTGTTGGTGTAAAGTGGATTGGTGGAGGGAGACGATTTTGTGATCAAGGAGGAAGGGAGTTTAGGTTGGAGGCAATCCCGAAATTGTGTGAGCGAGGCTGTGGATTGGCGATTAAAGACCCGGATGTGTATAAATCTGAAGGCATTTTGCGATTCATTTTTATATCATTTCACGAACCATGCCGGCTCTTTCGCTAAATAGTACTTTAGTAGTCTCCGTGCGGTAAATATCTCCGAGCTCCGACAGTCATAGTCAATATTGTCCGAGAGGAATATTATGACCGAAGGCATATGATTATGATCATCGTCGCATCGTCGCATTTTGATGCTCATCCTCATCGCATACAGTAGTTGACACTCGACATTTTCGCTCATTCATTCACCACGCAACTCCATGGACGATACAACACAAGAAGTGCAAGAAATGACATCGAAAGGAAATCAAGATCACGACGAATCGACGATCAAAGAGGAAGAAGAATCATCGTCATCGTCATCATCAAGTGAATCATACGAAAGTGAAGAAGAATCAGAAGAATCAGAAGAATCATCAAGTGAACGAGATGATGAGTCGCCAAACAAAGACGATGAACAAGAGATTGACGAATTTGTCGAATTTGTATACAGAAGCGAAGATCAAGAAATTACAGAGACTATCAAACAAACTATGACAAAGTTGATTGTGCGCGGGCCTAATGTAAAGACTATTGGAAAGGAGGCCTTTAGGGAATGTGAAAAGCTGAGAGAGATTGATTTCACCGAAGCAACTGCGTTGGAAACGATTGGAGAACAAGCCTTTGCCTATTGTCCCAGTCTCCTTGCTTTCAAGTGCCCGTCCAATGTCACGACTATTGGAGAGTCTGCTTTTGATAGAAGTGAAAAACTAAAAGAAATTGATTTCACCGAGGCGACTGCGTTGGAAACGATTGGAGTTGGTTCCTTTTTCAAGTGCGCTAGTCTTCTTGCTTTCAAGTGCCCATCCAATGTCAACACTATTGGCGCATGGGCCTTTGGGGAATGTGAAAATCTGAAGGAAATTGATATCACCGAAGCAACTGCTGCGTTGGAAACGATTGGAAATAATGCCTTTTCTGACTGCCCAAGTCTCTATTTCGAATTTGTTTACGAAAGGGAAGATCAAGACATACCGTTAGCCATCAAACAAACCATGACAAAGTTGATTGTGCGCGGGCCTAATGTCAAGACTATTAAAGAGAAGGCCTTTGAGAACTGTGAAAAGCTGAGAGAGATCGATTTCACCGAGGCAACTTCGTTGGAAACGATTGGAGAACAAGCCTTTAGCGCTTGTCCTAGTCTCCTTGCTTTCAAGTGCCCATCCAATCTCAAGACTATTGAACTTGCCGCCTTTGCGAGTTGTCAAAATCTAAAGGAAATTGATTTCACCAAGGCAACTGCGTTGGAAAAGATTGGAGATGCAGCCTTTGCCCATTGTCCTAGTCTTGCTGGTAGTTTCAAGTGCCCATCCAATGTAAAGACTATTGGAACTTTTGCCTTTGCGGACTGTGAAAAACTAAAAGAGACTGATTTCACCGAGGCAGCCGCTTTGGAAAATATTGGAATTGGTGCCTTCAACAACTGCCTAAGTCTCGAATTTGTTTACGAAAGCGAAGATCAAGTTATACCAGAAACCATCAAACAAACCATGACAAAGTTGATTGTGCGTGGGCCTCATGTAAATACTATTGGACAGGAAGCCTTCAGTGGATGTGAAAAGCTGAAGGAAATTGATTTTACCGAGGCGACTGCATTGAAAACGATTGGGGTAAGGGCCTTTGCCTATTGTCCTAGTCTCCTTGCTTTCAAGTGCCCATCCCATGTCAAGACTATTGGACTATATGCCTTTGTGGGTTGTCAAAATCTAAAGAAAATTGATTCCACCGAGTCCACCGCTTTGGAAAAGATTGGATTCTCAGCCTTTTTCAGCTGCCCTAGTCTTGAAAAGGTTTACCTTGCTCCCAACGTGACGGTTGTCGAGAAGGATGTCCTCAAAGAATGTCCCAATCTCAAATGTTTGAAGATTCCTAGTGTGAATCCAGCGATTCGCATTCGATTGTACACACAACTTGGCAAGGATCAAAAGCATTTGATTAATTGGGATGCTACAGTGAATGTCTATGCTTCCAATCCAATCAAGAGCTCTGAATTACTGGAGAACTCGGGGGAAGAAGCCTTGATTCTTCAACAAGTCAGAGCAAATTATATTGGTTCCATTGTTGATGGGTCAAGGCGTTTACTTTCCATTTCGGAACGCAATGGGTGGTTACAATTCTTGGCGAACAATGTAGGCGACGGAAACAATGACCCCGACATGAGCAAGTTAATATACCATCTGAAAACAACTGAGGATATCGGGAAAGTCCGACAACTCGCCGAGACCAAGGATCAATCCGAGCGTGTTGCAAAGTCGGTGGCATCGAAACACATCCAAGCAGTGTTTCAAGCACGATTGTTCTTTCTCGGTCGTTATGATATTGCAAGAGGACCACCCATTCACCAGTCGGCAACTTGTGTTGTAGTGAAAGCAACGGATGCTAAGATGAGGGACTACTTTGAAAAAAAGTATGAACCATATGAAGGAAAAGAAGTAGACAAGAAATTGTTCAAGGAGATATTGAGCATGATAGAGCTTATTCCACATGACAAGGAAAACATCAACCACCTATTCCAACGGGCAGATGTCGAAAAAGATAAAAAGATTTCCAAAGAAGAGTTTGTGAACTTTTGCCTTGCCGAAATTGGTGGGACTGTGGTTCTAAAGTTTATGCGGAACAAGGATCAGTTTCGCCGAGAAGTGGATAGCCGCAAAGACAATAAATTGGATTCGAAATATGTGGTTGGTAGTATCCGAAGCCATGATGAAGAGAGCGATGCCAATTTGGTCCAATCACTAAAGGACTCAATCCTACAAGAAGATGGCAACGGCACATCATCATTTCTAAAAAAGGACGGTGCCAAGGCAGAGGATTACTGCAACGTGTTGGTGATGCCTTACGGAGATCGAAATTTGGACACAATCTTTCGAAGTGAGCGGCTCGATATTCTGACAATTCAAACACTTGCGAAGGAAATCGGAGAAGCGGTGGCACACATACATGAGAAAGGACTGATCCATGGGGACTTGAAGATGTTGAACGTCGTCCGCATTAATGGGCACATGGTATTGATTGACATGGATGCTTCTGCGAAGATTGGGGAGGATTTCGCTGGTGAGAAGTATTCGTCAGGTGTCATTCCTCCTGAAATGATTTACCAGCTGGCAAACCATAAAGAGAAGGAACAATACATTTCATACTTCCAAGATCAAAACGAAGAAGAACAACAAAAGCGTGCCCCGAAGTTCAGCAGAATCCCCACTATCCAAGGATATGCAGTCAAATCATTTTTGGGACATGACGAGACGACAACATTTGAGGATCGACAGACTGGAAACATGGTACCTAAAACAAAACGTATGGTGACCTCAAAAGGTAACTTACCGATGTTTGAGCTGGTTGGGGCGGATAAGTCGTTCGATGTCTGGTCTTTTGGTGTTCTCTTGTATACGATGTGCAGCAAGGAGCCTTTGTTCCGAGTGAACACTGATGATGATATCACTGATGGTAATTCGATGCGAGAGTTGTTCCATTGGGGACAAGATGATGTGGAAGTTGACTCAATTCTTGAGAATAGCATTCAAGACGATGCGGCAAAAAAACTGCTGAAGCAAATTCTTAAACGCAATCCCAAGGATAGGCCACCAATGAAGAAAATTCTTCTCGATCCTTTCTTTACTGGCAAGACTACCGATGAGTTGACAGAAGTGGTAAAGGAAGAGTTTCGAAAGACACAATCACTAGTACTTGAGAACCGGCAAATAATGCAACATGGATTCTCCAAGATCCACGAATCACTAAAGCTTGTCCTAAGCCATCAAAAAGCCGCCAACAATCTTTTGAAAGGGATCTTCCAAGGGAAGAACAATTCACAACCAAAGTATCTTATAATTCTTCCAGCATTCGAACAAGACAATCAAGAGAAGCGGTTCTCTAGATTTCTGTCAACGATGAAGGAAACTGTAAAAGTCAAAACCAAGGCAAGACTATGCTTCATTTGTCCTGTATCGCTTCAACCCGTTTTGGGAAAAGATGGAAAAGCGATTGGGTATGATATTGAATTGGCCAAGGATTGGGTCAAGAAATATGGGCCTGCTATTCTGATTGGCCTGAAGATTGTCCAAGTAGGACTTGCAGTGGGCCGTGGATTCGGCCTCCCCCTCCCTTCATTGAGTGGGGCTGAAGAAGGATTGAAGGAGACTTCTAATCTTTTTTCAGAGATGCAAGGGTTGTTGGTTGAAGGGATAGGAGGCGATGCCGAGGAAGATGGCCTTGCGGATATGATGCTGGAAAAATTCACAGACCGAATCGATAGTGCAGCCTCGGCAGATGGTCCAGGAGCCATGAAAAAGAATCATCAAGACAGGATTCAAAAGTCGTATGAAGGCATTGGTACTCTCATTAAGGACGAAAAATTCGAACGCTGTGGTCTTGTGCAGGCAATCAGTAGCAATGGGAAGGAATATGAGTATGTGCACCCTGCTGTTGAACCCCTCTTTGAAAAATTTGGGTCAAAATGCTTTGAGAAGTCGATGGAAGAAAGGGAAAAGGAAAATGCCATATTGGCTGCGAAAGCTTTTAGTGAAAAGAAGAAGCATGCTGAAAAGGGAAGCGCCGCAACTGGGGGCAATGGAACAACAAAGCGTGGGACTTTGGCATCGTCGGTAGCAGCACCGCAACCAGGAAGTGGAAGTCCTATCAAATTGATGATTGAACATCATAAAGGCGAGGTAGAGATGACAGCGGACAATGGAGAAATAAGGGCAAAATCAGCAATCTCGTCGTCTAACGCTGACAATGTCTTCATTGCACGCTTGGAAGACAAGCTCACAAAGTTAGAAGGGAAGATTGACTCTACTAATGTGCTCAAGTTACAAGGGATACCAGAAGGATCGAACCGTGTGGTTCACAAAGGCTGGTTACGCATTCGAAGCCGTTGGCCTCCCTATCTATGGAAGGAACGATATGTTGTGGTCTACAAGGACGGCAGCATTACACACTATCCGAATGCTGGTTCATCGTTTTCTTTTGTCAATTGGAAATATATGGAGGATGGAGCCACAATGGAGCTACGTTCTGCGAAAGAAAAAGTGATTGCCACAGCCAAACTGTCGACGCGATGCTCCAGTAAAGTAGCCGAGTGGCTTCAGGGGAACAATTGGAAGTTCAATAATGAGCGATCTACCACCACTACCACCACCAATTCAAAGAATCGAAAAGCACGGATCGGCCCCACTGGGAATGTCACCAACATTGATCCGCTATTGGCCGACACTTATGAATATACCGATTAAAAAAGTTTGAACATTAAAATTAAAAAAAACCAATTTGAATGTGATAGTCCTAGGTCTCAATTTATATTTTAAAATATACAATCCAATTTTAAATTTCTTTGTGAAGTCGTCCTGTCCTATCATATAGGTATTATTTGCTGATGAGTGAGTAGCACATACAGCTACTGTTGTGGCATGAGGATGACGAGTGGTGTGGCTTATTCAATAGATAGGTGTACCGGTGAGCGATACTAGCTGTATGCATGTGCGACATTGAATGAGCTAGAATTGGTGAAGACTAAAAAAGAACGGCTAGTATTATAGTTTGACCATTGAGGAAGGCAATCCCATTATTCCACCGTGCACGACCCTCTTCCTCTCTCCCCTACACGATTGATTCCGTCGCACTTGATAGATATGGGAATTGACTCATATGACTAACATTTCCCGGCCGTTCGATATTTGCAACGCGTCTGTATGATATATGCCATATGGTTTGCATCAGTATAGTGCGAGATTATATAATAATATATACGTGGTACACATTACCGTATCACAATTTCTCACAAGAAGGAAAGCTGTCGCTCGTTCGAACATTGCTGAATGCAGGCGCCGACTTGAATGCCAGAGACGATGATGGACACGCACGCAATCGCATATGATAGCATGTTGTGATGGTGATTGCGAGATGGTCAAACTGCTACTTGAGAAGGGTGCTGACGTGAATGCCAAGAGTGAATATGGAACAACACCATTGCATGCAGCGTGCATTCGTGGTCATTTTGAGATGGTCAAATTGCTACTCGATAACGGTGCTGAAGTGAATGCCATAGACGATGATGGAACAACGCCACTGCATATTGCATGCAGTTGAGGCGGTCCAATTGCTACTCGAGAAGGGTGCGGACATTCATGCCAATAATGAATATGGAGCAACGCCATTGCATATTGCATGCCATTATGGTCATTTCGAGATTGTCACATTGCTACTCGATAACGGTGCGGACTTTCATGCCAATAATGAATATGTAGAAACGCCATTGCATATTGCATGCAGTGAGGGTGATTTAGAGACGGTCAAATTGCTACTCGATAACGGTGCGGACATTCATGCCCGAAACAACACCTCTACACACACCATTGCATACAGCGTGCATTCGTGGTCATTTAGAGGCGGTCAAATTGCTACTCGATAACGGTGCTGACATTCATGCCAAACATGATAATGAATAAGACACACCATTGCACAAGGCATGTGATATAGGTCATTTCAAGATTGTCAAATTGCTACTCCAAAAGGGTGCTGAGGTGAATGCCATAGACGATGATGGAACAGCGCCATTGCACAAGGCATGTGATAGAGGTAATTTCAAGATAGTCAAATTGCTACTGGAAAAGGGTGCTGACGTAAATGCCAGAGACGCTGAAGGAAAGACAGCATTACATAAGACATGCAGTGAGGGTCATTTTGAGATGGTCAAATTCCTACTCGATAACGGTGCTGACATTCATGCCAAACATGATGATGAAGACACACCATTGCACAAGGCATGTGATAAAGGTCATTTCGAGATTGTCAAATTGCTACTCCAAAAGGGTGCTTATGCTCATGCCAAAGCCACACTTGGGATGACTCCATTTGAGATGATGTGTTGTTGCAAGGATGAATTCGACCTGCGATGGTCATGTTGCTAGCTAGTCCAAAGGTCATGCTGTGATGGTCATTTGGAGGTGATCAAGAAGCTGCTTGTCTAAGAACGGGTGCTGGTGTCTTGGCATGCGAAATCAATCGACGATGCCAATGATGAAACACAGTCCGACTTTCTAATATTTTAGAATATGAATTATGCAATGAATGGAATTATTATTGGTATTCGAATACTCTGCTTTTGGACTAGTAAACCTTGCGTTTTGTTGCCAAGGTATCAAGCATCATCGCATCGCATGGCATGAATGGGATGCGATGCGATGCCTACAAGCGTAGATGGCGATCGCATTCTTGCTTAATGATCGGAAAATCCTATATATTATGCTCCTCGCACTCCAACCTGATTGCAATCGTGCTGTATATACCCTCACGAATTGTCTTCTATCTGCATATCATATCCACATTGTTCATGCGCCACTCAGTCTACAGTATAGACGCCATGAATCATTATGGCAAATGCCGCTTCTTCACTTGGTGTACAAGGAGCTTTTGTATTGCATTCTTCGTTGATGACCTCTTTTGGCCGCAAGAAAAAACGGGGCGCTACCTATCATTGCGTTGGTGCTTGTAATTATTATTGTTCCAAGCTCTAATGCTGCTGAATCCTCGGGACCACGTGGTGGATGCAAAACAAGAATACCACAATTTATTCCCAGTAACATGTCCATTGCCTTTCCTGTCATCATAATTGTTGGAACGTGTATTATAGATATAATACTTTTGCAAGATTATTCGTCGACCTCTTCGACCAGTGTCACTTCTTCGACAATCGTACCGGTACTGTACGTACATGCGCGCGATACTGTCTTCTGTTATTAGTCGATTCAATAAAGTTGAGCGAGTCTATACATACTGTAATATACCGGTAACGGTAAGCATCACTATGAGCCAATAGTTCATCACAATGCAAGTCATGGAAGATGAGAATGCTGAAACAGAACAACCAAACTTGCTTCAGCAAGAACGACAAGAACGAAACGAAGGCATCAATAATTTTGATGTCAGAAGAATTCCTCAGGAACAACCCATGATGATTGCTGATGAGGAGCTACGCAATGTGATTGATGGTAGTGCTCAGCCATTGCAGCAAGTGGGTCCTCAAGGAGATTTATGGCAGCGACAAGTGGATCCCTCGGCTTCTAGACTATTGAGTCCATCCAATCTTTCCCGTGTCATGGCACGTTCGGAAGAAACTCTAAGGCGACGACCTCCTCGTGATCATCGTACGCGTGAAGACGAATCGCTTTCGATGATGAGACGCCTCAACATCAATGAAGTCGAACGAACCTCAGTTCCCGAACAGCACAATAATTCTATTCCAGTAGACGATGATGACTCGTCAGAAGCCCCCACTCCAGCCACTTGGTCTACTGTTCCAACGTATGGAGGGACACCACCGTCAGAACGATCACGTACGTATAACGTTGTTGCTATTATTGTATCACTGCCTGTGCAGAAGATTCAGTCATACCGCATATCCATATCCATACTATGCTTTGCTTTGCTAACCGATTCTTTCCCATCTGTCTGTGTACCATCACCTATGATGCCTACCTACACCGACACCGACACCCATATATGTAGTCCACGCCGCTGCTGTCTTGAATAATGTGTTGTATGTCTTTGGTGGCTACGACGGCGTTGGTCGGGTCAATACCTTTCACGCGTATTCCTTCCAAGAGAAGCGATGGTCGCCCGTATTGGCGGCAGCTCAAAGTGAGCCACCGCCATCCCCACGAGATCGACATGTAGCCTTTAGTTTTGGAAACTCCTTCTATGTACATGGTGGCTTTGATGGGACTTCCCGAGTCTCGGACTTTTGGCGATTCGACTTTTCCTCCATGACTTGGAGACAAGTGGCGGCAGTTGGGCGGTCCCCGTCACCACGACATTCCCATGCAGCCATTGTTCATGCTAATTCCTTTTATTGTTTTGGAGGATATGATGGTTCGTACAAGTAAGTTGTGATATTATAGTTCATGGCGCAATTGAAATTATTGTATCATTCGATGGAATCAGTGTCTGGGATTGAAATGATGGTCGGATGTTTCGTGTCGTTTCATGATTTGACTTGACTTGACTTGTTCATTGTGGACAGCTCTACACTATAATTATGGCTCACTCCGAAATTTCACTTTCTGATCCAACCACAAATTATAGATCCGACTTGCATGAATTTAACTTTGACACTCTGGAATGGAGTGCGGTGCAAACCACTGGACGACGACCAAGGGCCAGATATCGAGCGACGACGGTGGTTCACAAGGATTATATGATATTGTTTGGAGGTCACGATGGGAATCGTCATTTGAATGACACTTTTATATTTGATTTGGTGAATAAGGAATGGTCCTGCCTCGTCACGGATGGCATTTTGCCATCACCGAGGGATTCCCATGTCTCGGCAATCCATGGGAATAGCATGTATATTTTTGGAGGCAGCAGTGGAAGTGCCTTGAATGATTTACACGAACTCCAGCTGCCTACAAAAGAATCATCAGTGGCCAAATGGTAAGCTTTGGAAGTATGATGATTTGCATTCATGCATGTCTATGTATATATGCTTTGACCGTATTATTGTCTACTCATGCTGCCCATTCTTACGTTCCACCTTCTCCATTCCGTTTCGTCAGGCGCACCGTCGAAACATGCAAAAGCAACCAACCTGGGTATCGTTTTTGTCACGTTGGAGTGGTCCATTCGGATTCCTTCTTTGTCTTTGGAGGTTACGATGGATCCAATCGCCTGCGCGACTTTATCAAGTTTGATATTTCCGTCCATGACTTGTCGTTTGACGTTCCGCCTTCCACATTGATTTCGGAATTCCGTGCCATGGTGGACGATGATTCCTTTTCGGATGTGACTATTCTGGTTGAAGGCACGCCCATTTATGCTCACAAACTCTTGCTCATGCGATCACCGTACTTTCGGGCTCTCTTTCTAGGAGAAATGAAGGAATCCACCATGGCTACTGTGCGAATTGAACAAGTTTCCCATCCCATCTTCTTGCAGGTCATGGAGTACTTGTATACAGATCAATTGAAGATTCCTGTGGAATCTGCAATGGAACTCTTTGAGGCCGCAGATCTCTTTTGCATTCCCCGTCTGAAACAAATGTGCGAACGACGCATCCTCCAATCTATTTCGCCTCAAAATGCAGCATCCATCTTCCATGCGGCAGATGTGCATTCTGCCATTGCACTGAGAGGAAAAGCCAAAAAGTATATCTTGTCACATTTTGAATCAGTGTCCAAGTCACCAAGCTTTGAGAATATGGGACGAAGCAACATTGATTTGGTCTTTGAATTGCTTCAGAGTCGATGAAATTACAAGAGGAAGAATAAGATGCCAGTCTGTCAGTCTCCCCCAATCTGTGTCGAATTTCTTCACGCCCTTCATCTTCTTTTCATATCCTACCGTGCCGTACATTGTGACAGCTAGCTACAATAATAATACGGCCGTCAACTGATAGTTTTGATGAGTGTTGATGTTGAGTTTGGTAGTGCGGGTATTATAATATCACTATAGGATACCGTATTCTCTGACTTCTCAAATATTTGGTATTATTACGGTACTGTGGTAGGTGCATGTATCGCCTATATTGAATATCAATCCTCTGTTCTCGACTGCTTGGTGCTTGGGTATAAGCTGGTCGAATGAGTCATGCAGATATCCGTTTCTTCGCAATAAAAATAAATCTCATCGAATAATGAATCTCTCAGTATAGCTATAATAAGTCATTTTGTATGAACCATCGAAGTGTTTTCCATGTTGGCAATACCATACCAGGACTCTCATATTCTCACCTCATCTATTCCATCATATAGTACTTCAAATCATCAATCACCTCGTCAACCATTTACTCTGCCACTCCTAAGAAGAAAAGCTGAAGAATGTCGCAAGAAACCGCCCAGCTGACGATTCAGGAAAAGGCACAAGCTGTCTACGAGCAAGCCCCTGGGACCTTAAAAGACTTTGAGTCAGCCTACATTTTCAGCTCTGGAACTGCCAAATGTCGGGATTTTCCAAAGTTTGACACTTCTGAAATTAAAATGGGAGAATTGTTAGGGACAGGTGGCTTTTCAGGTGTCAAGGAAGTCTTGGAGATTGAATTGCACAATGACGAAATAATCCATCATGCCGATGAGAGTAATAATAATGACAAGGGCGTCGAACAAGACCATCACCATCACTATGATGTATCCACGGCCCGTACTCACATGGCAAAGCACACACAACGCCTTGGAAGTGCTCGATATGCCATCAAGCGCCTGAAAGATGATCTGGACGAGTTGGAACGAGCACGAGGAGCCCTCGATTTGGCAATTGAAATCAAACTCATGAGCGCCTTTTGGCATCCCAATATTGGTGAGTGAATGAATCATCTGATGATAACATACATGCACAGACTGATGAATACACCCTCGACCCTCGTGTGTCGTTCTGACAAAGTGGTTGCTAAATTATCGTCACTAACATATAATGTTCGTGTTCATCCATGTGTGACAGTGAAAATGCGAGGAACCTCCAATACAGAAATGATGAGCACCGAGACCTTCATGCAAGTATAAGCAAGAAAGAGTGACACGACACATAATACTTGACGACTATTGATTCTCACTTATTGCTGCTGCTTCTCGCAACTTGAAAATTAGTGTTATGGATCGGCTCTATGGCACTCTGAATGACAAGATTGAAACTTGGCATCAAGAAATGGCAATGCTCACAGGTTGCTGCGGAATCAATAAGAAGCATCCGGCATTTCGTGATTCCTTGAAGGCTAGGTTGTTGGTGGCCTACGATTTGAGCGTCGCCTTTGCCTATTTACACAATTGTCGGTACGTCTCAACTATTGCATTGGAGGAATATCGTTGATGCAACAAATAAGTCGAATGCTGATGATGATTCGAACTCATCCCATATCTCCCTCCTCCATTTCCTCCTTTCCTTCTTTGTTTCATCACTATTATCATCGTCATCGTCATCGTCATCGTCATCGTCATCGTCAGCCTTGTATATCGAGATATCAAACCAGGTACGACCAAACACAACGACCTATCAGTAGGCAAACTACAGTTGCTTCAAACACCAATGCGCCACGTCTATAATTCTCACTCGTGTGTTCATTGCTTTTGCATGCCTTAGAAAACATTGGATTTGATATTCGAGGAGATGTCAAGATCTTTGACTTTGGTCTCTGTCGATCGCTGGAAGAAAAAGACAAGTGCAAGGACGGAGGAAGCGGATACAAGTTGACCGCCAAGACTGGCAGTATACCTTACATGGCACCGGAAGTAGTATTGAATAAGCCATATGACGAATCGGCGGATGTCTTCTCCTTTGGTATTTTGTTATGGGAACTCTTGACCTTGGATTGGGCGTTCAATGGTCTGTCCACAAAGGATTTCTTTATTCAGGTGGCCAAGCACGGTCAGCGGCTACCGATTCCCAAGAATGCTCCACCCATGACTCGATCCATCATGCCAGAAGCATGGCATGCAGATCCTTCCTGTCGTCCGACCATGAGACGAATAGGAGCTGTGATTCGGGGTGAACTGGAGGACATTGATGATGCCGCGGAAGTTGTGAATCGGACTCAGCACATGATCAATCGATCCAATCATTCTCTACAAGGATTCAGCCTGAGCAGGCATAAACGAAAGGGCTCCTTGAGCAATAGTCGGAAAGGGAGAGACTCGCTTCATAGGAGTGAGTCACTCCACAGGGGTGAGTGATATACATGTATGTAGCTCAATTAATGAGGAGGGATTACTATTTTTATGTCATTTCATACTGTACTGTAGTATACTGTAGGTATAATAATAATCACGAATTCAACAGAAAGAAGTACTTCATTAGGCCCTGTTTTGAATTCTTGTGATGATATATGATGGCTGTGAAGACTTTTTCTTGATGCGAACGTCATCAGAATACCGTACCAGGTACCTATACAATACAATATAATACTTTTCAATCAAAAGACAATGTCGACCTCAACTTGCATCATCTTGTGTACCATTGCGACGATACTGTTGAATGCCAGCCCCTCAACAGGCTTTCAAACGAACACATGCAGACGAAGGCACATTGATTTGCATCGGCACAATACGTACCGGTATCCAAGACATCATGCCTTTTCAGCATCATTAGCATCATCATCATCAAGGCTGTTCTCCATGATTGAGAATACTGATAGTGAGATTCAAGAATTAGAAGCAATTCAAGAAGAAATTCAAGAAGAAATTGAGGAATTAGAAAATGCCGCTTTGTCAAGAAGTGCTGAATCGCCTACAATGATTACTTCCGATCGTCTCAGGCACCACCACGCACATCGAACAAACCTTCGAATGAAGGTATTTGCTACCTTGAATGATCCAAGGATTGAATTGTTGGCAGCCGCATCCGTCATTCTCTCCACCTTTTTGGTGGCTGTCAGCACTTTGGACAATTTATCGATCGAGGCCTATGCCGCTATTGATGATGCCGTGATTGGATTGAACGTCCTGTTTACGATAGATTTCTTTGTCCGATGGTATGCTGCAGGTCAATTCAAATTCATCTATCTGACGAAACCTCTGGCCATTATTGATCTATTTGTGGTAATCATCCCATTATTTCTCGGTTCTGTCATGCCCATGCTGGATGGCTTTGGGTTAATGGGAGATTTTGTACCAAATGTTTCGGAAAGTTCTGGCCTCCAAGTTCTATTGTTGCTACGAGTATTGCGACTGAAACGAGTGTTGACGGACATTCAGACATTTCGACGCTTCGCAGGAGCCATTGGAATTCGACGGAGCGATGTCCGACCATATCAGTTGCAGCTATCCAGGGTCCTCTTGTCCATTTTTACTTTGCTGAGCGTAGCCTCGGGTCTCATCTATACCGCCGAACACGCTGTCAATCCAGCCATTCCAGATTATTTCACGGCACTTTACTTTGGCCTAACTACCTTGACCACAGTTGGGTTTGGTGATATTGTCCCAGTCACGTTCAATGGACGGTTAGTGGTATGCGGGTCCATTCTAGTAGGCATTGCCGTCATTCCAGCACAAGCTGCCAAACTTGTGGACGCCATTGTTGCCAGTCAAGGATTGGCAGAAGATGAAACGATTGGAACAATGACCAGGAGTACATCGCTGCTGACAACGAAAAAATCAAGAGGAGATACGGATAGTCCTACGAATGGATTGGGACCAAGTGGGGCCGACTTGGAAGTTCCTCCCAAAGATGTCAAGATGGAGAATACAGGGAATGCTGCCTCCTACAAGGTTTGTGGCAACTGTCGGGCCACTGGCCATAGAATGGACGCTACCTTTTGCTTCAATTGTGGATCTAAAATATAGCATGAGAATATGCGAGGTCGTTATAGTATTCGAATATTAGGGTTTTCTCACCACAGTATAATATCTTAAAATGTTTTTCAATATTGATTTGCATATAAAACGCCTAAATCAGATGAAATACAACACTACTTTGACCGGTCTTCGGAATGCCTAGATATTGTACGCAGATGCAGATGCAGGTGCACCACCCTACCCGTACAATCAAGCAGGTAATAATATATACCCGGTACCGTTGTAATACTGCGTATATACAGGAGCGGCCTGAAATGGCAGGCTTGCTGGGAATGTCCTCAGCGATGTCGTATAGATTGCCTATCAAGGATGACGGAAGCTGACTTGCCGGTGACAGACTCTGCGCAATGCAGAGCTTGGGCTTCGCTGAAAACGAGCCTGCCTAAAGATTCATTTCATTCGTGGACGTTCCGTTGAAATGGGTGAACTTCGTCGGACACTTCGTCGGACCGACGAAACTTCGTCGGACCCGACGAAACTTCGTCGGACCCGACGAAACTTGGTCGCATTAGAAACAGGGTAGATTATTTTTAAACCTCTTGATCGGATTAATCCTAAATCTATTACTCAACTGAGTACAATTCGTGGTTGACGTTTGAATTTCTGAAAGCATGCAACTTCGGCATATTGCTGTGGAGAAATAAAACCTGCCATTTTCTATTTTGTGACCGTTTCTTGTTTTGTACTCGTAGGTGGTATTAAAATACCGTTTTTTGCCGTTGTTGCTTGTCATTCTTCTTGGACCAGCTTGCGTGCAACGGTATGCCAACCATAGAATTCATTTAGAATTTTACATCGATTCTTGCGAGCTCCGAAACCAGTTTCGTCCATTTTGTCCATTTCGTCCATTTCGACGAAGAATAGTCGGACTCCGACGAGAATAGTCGGACTCCGACGAGAATAGTCGGACTCCGACGAGAATAGTCGGACTCGACGAAGGGTCGACTATTTTCGTCCATTTGGACGAAGGTTCAACGGTTCGGAAGCATTTAAAAAAGGCACGCACGCCGAGTAGTTTTGAAAAGAAAGACGCGCCAGTCAACCAAACTTGTGTAAAAAATTGAAGACTATGCTATTCCCATCATTTTGTCCGAACGACACCCCCTAAAAGCTGACTCGGCGCGTGTAGGTCCAGTTACAGGCCGCTCCTGTAGAATAATACATAAAATACAAAACACTAAAACAGTACATTTTAAACTAAACAAGTACCTCAAAGGTCATTCTTCTTCATCAACATCAGTCATTGTTGGCATCAAAAATAAAACTTTGACCGCACATGCAGGTATAGTACGGTAGGTAACAGTACTGGTACGAGATACGCTGGTGCACCAACGTAAAATCAAAGAAAAGTAAAAATACCGCGGTGATCAAGGTCACCCAAGCAATTACCACAATGGCCATGAGGTAATCCACACTGAAACAATACAAAAGTAGGATGACCGTGACCGGACTCGAACCAGCGGCCTTAGGGTCTGGAATCCTATGCTCTACCAACTGAGCTACACAGCCACACCATGTTGGGATCTGCTATACAAACCTGTTGCTATTTTTGGATGGACATGTGATAGGAGCGAGCGTCTGTTCATCTTCCGTATAATGTGTTACGTCTGTGCATCGTACGTCGATTCCGCTCACTTTGTTTGTTTCATTTTCACAATCAGAGATGAATAAAATCACATACTGTATATAGTCACGGCACCGCCGTACCAGCAATATTGTTTCATATTTGTGGCTGTCATGACCACTATGCCGAGCATTTCGATAATTAGAAATACATGGATTTGCTTCGCCATCACTTTCATGACACCAGCAGAATGAGTCAGCCATTCATTCATTCATTCATTCATCAGTCATTGCGTTGACGACCGTTTCGTCGTTACGGTCATCATCATGATGATGGCTGTGTCTACGTTTCAATGATGATGATAACTTCAAATAGTGTGCCCTCCTCAATTGATGATGGTACCGGTATTATTGTTGGTTGCTGAGATAAGAATTGCTGATGGTTGACTGACTCTAGTCGACTGGCGAGTCCTCTATCGAATTTCGTCGATTGGCTTGGGTCGCTTATCTATTGTTGATATTATACTGTAGTGTATGATGGAATGGATTGGATCGTTATATTCTGCAACACATTTTCAATCAAATCCAACACAGCAAACGAAATTGGGAACGAAACCTGTTCCTGTACTTCCTCAATCAATGTACGAACATGGAATCCATTAAAGAAAGTCCATCATCTCCACAAGGCATCAAGCGTAGGCATAGCAAGATCTCACCAAGTCCAACAAGAAGAACGAATGAATCATCCAACACAAACTTTGCCTCCAACAGCAAACTACGACCATGGATCTTGCAATGATATTGATGAGCCAACTTCACTATCCTGGTCCCTTCCAGGATTGGAAGCCGATCGAAACCCATCCATTGCAAAGTTAAACGACATCAAGAAAATGGTCGAGGCGTTACATTTTTGCCATCTAATGACGGATGAAGAGAGAGAGAGAGAGAGAGAGAGATGGCCACGATCGGATAGATGAACACATTCTCAGCTTTCTTACTTCCGACAAACGTCAAGAAGTCGTCAACGTGATGTCCAAGGACGAATCAATTGCAAAAGAAAATGATATTAGTCATTTTGGTGTCGACATTTACGAGAAAAAGAGACCCTGTTGGATCTGTATATCCTTGGCTGGCTACAAAAACGGCTGTACTAGATACCAATCTAGAGCGCATGACGATTTAACAAGGAGACAGAATCAAACCTGGAATTCTTGCCGTCAAGATTTGTACAGGTCAAGAACTAGACGAATTTGAATGCTTTCAGTAATGCGGGTACCACTGGTATAATCCAGCCATTGAACCCATTGATCCATCCAAGCCGGCAAGATACGTTTTCTATATTGCGGGCTGGCAATCGAGGTTTTCTAGTATATGATCGTTTATTTCTTTGCGCCAATATAAGCAATGTGCTGAGCGAGGAAACCACCACTCTCACTCATGCTAGTAGAAGTTGTCATGCGCGCGATTGCTTTCACCAAATCATCCGTCATGTCCTCATCGTAAAAGAATGGACTTACACTTTTGGAACTGTCAGTACTGATCTTGGTCAGGTACTGTAGAGATCGCAAAATCGATATAACTCTGCTTGGTATAGTACATACAGTCGATTGATTCGTCCTCTCCATATTTTATATATAGATGATACACGCGACTCTTTTGCTCCCTTTTGAGTCTCGTCATTAAAAAGCGGTCAACTGTTTGGGTCGCGAGGGGCTGCGTGTATCATTTTTTATATATGAAACTGGATTAATAAATCGTGAAGAAACAGACACGATTGAATAAAATAAAAGAGACAAGGGACTACACTCCAATCCAGAATACGAGTATTTCTCTAAACGAAGAGGCTCAAAAGGGGCGAAGGACCGTCTATTTTCCCGAAGAAAAAAGAAAAAATCGAAACCATGCACCGCAGGTGTCCCTATATAGTGGCAGCTGTCACCAAATAGTTAATCGTTCAGCATATCAAAAGCTTTATTCTGTCCCATGGTTGACCGACGTCTCTTCGATAAACAGTATCACACAGCATTGGTTGGAATCCCAGCGGTGTCAACAAGCCAGAGCTCAAACTATTCGCAAAGGCAAATTCTTGGGCAATCGTTCCAACCGAGCAACTGGGATGTCGTATGCCACAATTCTCAAGAGTATCAGGACCACAGTGAGTATGCTGCTCGTTCAACATTTGCTTCGTTTCACCTTTATTCATGATGCTCATCATACGTTCCCTTCGATACCGCTCCTATATCGCCCATCCTTTATGTCACAGTTGGAAACAAGAGGTTCAAGATATGTGTTGCAAATCATCTAAGCTCGTACATGAAGGCACCTTCCAGGATTGCCAAGTCTGTGGTCATCACGAACCTTGTCAACAGCATTCGGGATAGTTCTACGCAACCACATGGCGGTTTCGTCCGGTTTGACACCTCATGTGGACTTTGGTACGAGGTGGGTGAGAAGGTCGCCCGAGACAAAGTAGGACAAGCCCTGAGGGATGCAGCGCGTCTCCAAGACGAGAAGCAAAAGTCGCGGACTGTTGACTTATCACCATCGTTGTCATCTCATTGTCAACAAGACGGCCAATGTCAGGTTGTTGCAGAACCCAACATATTTGAGTTAGAAGAAGAAGTTTCAGGAGGAGAGAACAATGATGTGTCAATGGGCAAACATAGTTCGAGACATTCCGCCATAAAGTGGGCCCATACAGAATATATTGGAAAGTTCTCTCCTGCATCGCCTACGACCTCCAATAACGAGGACACTCATCCAAGAGCTGGCAAAAACCGTAGCTTTTGGTTCCGGCGTAATGCATTGCAAATGCCTGCTTACAACTCCAGCAATGAGGTAACGACGGCTTTTGCTGAATCCGCCGATGAAGACATTACTTCCATCGATGACCACGACCAGCAGCAGCATCGACAGCATCAACAACAAGAACTAGCACCAGGAGCTTCTAGTACCATGCTCTTTTCCTCTGATGATGACGTATTACTGCCATCGTCATTACCATCATTACCATCATCACCAGCATTGCCATCATCATCATTGGGAGGAATCCTCGAGACTGCGGATTTCTTGTTGGAATGGTTCGAAAATGACAACGCCTGAAAGGTCACTACTGCTAGGATCTCCTAGCACTGTAGTATCATGCTCGTTCGAAAATGACATTTGAAAGCTCACCAGGATCACCTGGCATCTTGATTCTGACGATATCATGTAATCGAAGAAGGCTCTGGATGCTTTGGTGAGCATCAGCAACGTTGGAAAAGGACGAAATATATTTTACCGGTTCCATAATGTACCAGCCAGTACCTATCGGAATGCAAAAGGGGCGGTATGTTGTGCTACGGTATTGTTGTTTCTCGCATTCTTGATTCGGCTCGCCCATCATGCATTCTCCGTTTCGCTGATGATCATTCATGACCTGCATCACAAATATCATGCTAGATGGCTATAGAGATATACATTAATAATATAGATTACAGCATAGCTAGGGCCTTTCAACCATGAGGGTCAGTCGAAGTTTGAAGAGGATTCATTCATTCATTCTCCTGCTCCTGTTCTTCTTCTAGCTATTACTACTAAGTATTAGTAGTATGGCCTGATGTGGATTGTTAGCGAATATAGGTGTTTCTACGCTAGCCGAGTAGTGAGATATTCAATCATTGGACAATGTATTCATGATTTTTTAAATTATCTATCAACTAGTCTGAATCGGAGCCTGACCTGAAAAGGTAATCATAGAGGTAAATATCTCTCGAGACACGCTTCCTTCATTCATCGAGTGCGATTATATAGTCCCATATATATATCTCGAGAGGTACAGTACTGACTGACTGACTGACTGACTGACTGACTGACTGACTCATTCATACTACCGTACACACTTTCAACTTCTATAAAATACAAAAAGTACAACAATACTGAGATGGAAAAACGAATGAACGAACGGACAAGTCAACCATCTCATCCATTACAGTACACCTACCAAAAGTCGCTGTCAAAATAGTATACTTTAAATTCTACTTCTATTGTACTTGTATTTCAAAATAAGAATGGACTGGGTGGTGTTCTTCACTTACTCGGAAGATCGCTTGAATATAGCAGATGGTCTCGGGATTAGCTTTCGCACAGCACCACCAAGAGACTTTTTCAAAAATAAGTGAGGCGAAGAGACTGACGATGGTGTCTCATCACTGTTTGTGCTCCCATCATTATTATCATCACTACTATCCGTGCTGACCGCAATGCCATTACTATCAGCATCAGTATCATCACTATCATCACCGGTATCTATCAAGTGTTTTTCATGACGAGCGGCACGACGCTGTGCCTCTTCCTGAGCTTCTTGTGAATGTTCTTGATATGCTTGGGCGAGTCGTTCAGAGTCCAAAACAAACTCCTCGCCCCAAGCATTGTCATCAAAAAATGTTCTTTCTTGTCGTTCTTGCTCTTGTAATACTGCTGCTGTGGATTCTTGAACAGTTCTTCCCGCATCAAAGGATTGTTGTCTTGTGAGGACCCCCTGGGCATTCAAGTTTTCACTATTTTCGTCGCAGAGCTGATCATTGTTTGAGATGCAAGTTCGAAGAATCTGTTCGTTCCTGCAAGCCTCATCGTAGTCTTGTGTTGAGTACCAAAGTTTTTCCTTGTCGACTAGTACCTCCTCTTCTGGAATATCTTTGGGGTCAAAATAAAGAATCTGACTCTTTGCTTTGATTCGATCGTTGAATCGAACCTTCTTTTCGTGATTATTGTTTTTGTTGGTGTTATCCAGAGCAGTCGTCTTCGCGTGTTCGTCTCCAGTGTTTGCAATCGTCTTTTGGTTCAGTGCTGCCATATTGTCGTTTTATTGTTATTGTTGCTGTTGCTGTTGTTGTTTGTCTTTGGGTAACTTTAGAACAAATAATATATTGTGATGTTTGCTTCGTGTGTCGTGTGCTTCACTGGTGATGATTGCATACCGGTACCAGTATCTTGGGTCATGATACCAGATTTTGTGAGGTTCACGTACTTCTGATCAAAACAATCGACCAAGAATGTTCCCTTTTTTACTAGAACAGAATGTTCGCCCCTAATGGATCAGAAATGTCCGATGTTATGTAGCACGTTCTTATCACTATTTAATGTGCAAGACCCCAAATTCATTAAGGCTTCAATGGAAATTCGGTTCGGAACATTCTAGAACGTGCATAAAACAAACATATCATAAATCTCAGAAGTGAGAGATTTAAAAGGTTGATCAGAAACTGACCCAATACCGGGAGTGTGCCGGCTTCTGTCTCCCCTCACAAACTTTTTCGTCAGAGCGCGAGAGACGAGGAGCAGTCATAATACTACAGTACCACAACAAATACAGTATGTTGGATGACGAATACTACTACCACGATGATTACCCCTATCTTCTTGATGAAGAAGAAGACAGCGCTGATCTCTATCTGAACACAATATGGGAAGAATGTACGGCGGATTTGATATCCAAGTCCACTGTGGCAACAACTTCACCAAGTCTTGGAAATATCAGTTTCAGCAGTTTCAGTGACTCTGCGCAACAGCAAAAACAACAACAACATCAAGAATTATTGGATCGACAATACAGCCAAGACAGTCTTTTCTCTGCAAAGAGTGAGCCCTCCAAAAGGTTGAATGCCGCCCATACGAATGATAGTAGTGAGGAAGATGGCGATGGCGATCATGCTGATTGTTCCAATGACTCATCATCGTCATCACACAAGAGTAACCGAACAATCGAGTTGCTCTTGCCCAGTAACCACCCACTTCATCATGAAAGTCCCAAGTCATTACCCATGGAACTGATGCTGGCCATGAAAAACAATAACAATGACGAAAACAAGAACGACAACCATTCCAAACATCTTGACTTTTCAGGTGCTGTGATCATGGTCATGGAGCATCCTCAACAACAACCCCGCGAATCGAAGAGAGAACGAATTCGCTCCAAGATGAAGGCTATTGAAGAGAAGGTTGTAGAGGCGAGAGACCTTCTGATCACGAAATCAATCAGCAACGGCGGGAGAAACCAAGAGCATTCACACTGTTAAGGCGACATGTTCATACTATTATTCGACGGTGATATAGATAAGAAATAGAGAAAGATTGAATATGTATATATTGCCGAATGTCTGAACTCCTCGGCACACAAGTGCTATCAATCCAAAGGCCATAGTATAGATTGAAATAATCAAGCGATCATCGAATAATGGACCATCAGATCCTCTTTTTATCTCATGTATCTCATCTATACCTATAATGTTCTTGTAGGCAATCCATTACCAGCGTAAAGCGTGCGGGCAAAGAACGGGCTTCAACAATTTTGTATCACAGTCGTCTCTTGGTGGGCGCAATTTGATCTTTTTTCCCGATTTCCCAATTCCCGTTTTCCCTTTGTTGCTTTCTATTTTCCATACAGTATCGGTACAGTAGTGGGCATGCAATCGGTACAAGATTAGACCCTTCCTTTTGTCGACGAATAAAAGGTTCCTGAATGCCATATCTCGCACAGCCTTTTTCATTTTCCAACTGATGAATAGAATAATAATAATAATAATACGCGCGATCATCCGTGGCGAGAAGAAGGGAATGCGATGCCAGGTGATTCCTGCGGTGCAATGAGCTTTCAAATGAATGTCATTCTCGAACGAGCACTCATCCTAGCATTATAATGAGCTCTCAAACGTCGTCATTTTCGAACCATTCCAACAAGGCATCCGCAGTCTCAACTCCCCCCATTGATGACGGTGGCATTGCTGGTGATGCTGGTAATGATGATGGAAGCAATACGTGATCATTAGAGGAGAAGGGCATGGGCCTGGTGCCAGAAGACCCTGGTGCTTGCTGCTGGCCTCCTTCCGCTGATTCAACAAAATCCGTCATCATCTCGTCGGTGGTGCTGGAGTTTTGAGTATCCCTTTCTTTTGGGGGCATTATTTCCAATACGTTACGCCGAAACCAGAAGCTACGGCGACTGTTGCTAGCACTTGTGCGGCTGTCCTCATTATTGGAGGTCGCATGCGAAAAAGGAGAGAGCCTTCCGGGAACTCCTTTGGGGACCCACTTGCCAATTGACGCTTGCTCATGCTCGCCTCCTGAAGCTGTTGATTTTACGATGCTGGGTTCTGAAAGAGGAAATGGACCGACCAGAGAAGGATGTGACGATGATGACAGGTCAATAGTCCGCGACTTTTGTTTCTCGTCTTGGAGACGAGCTGCTTCCCTTAGGGCTTGTCCCACTTTATCTCGGGCAATCTTCTCACCAACTTCGTACCAAAGTCCACATGAGTTGTCAAACCGGACGAAGCCGCCACCTCCTTGTTCTGTCGCGCTATCTCTAATGCTGTTGACAAGGTTCGTGATGACCACAGACTTGGCAATCCTGGAAGGTGCCTTCATATACGAGCTTAGATGATTTTCAACGCAAATCTTGAACCTCTTGTTTCCAACTGGTGTGACGACAAGAAACGGTATGTTAGCGGTATCGAAGGGAACACATAGTATCCAGTCATTTGTTAGATGTTGAACGAGCAGCATACTCACTGTGGTCCTGATACTCTTTAGAATTGTGGCATATGACATCCCAGTTGCTCGGTTGGAACGATGACCCGAGAAATTTCCTTCGCGAGTGGTTTGGTCTCTCTTGGCTTGGCAACGCTGGGATTCCAACCAACGATGCTGCTGTGTGATACTGTTTGTCGAAGAGGCCTCGGTCAACCATGACGTGTACGGTGTTCGATTGGACAGTAACCCTTTGGTGTGCTTAACGATTGACTGTCTGGTGACAATGTCACCTGCTTTGTCTTTCTTATTCTACTATAATATGTTTGTCGGGGGAGAATAAGAGAGTTGTTTTCCTTTCCGATGAGCCCAATAAAAAAGAAGGACGCTCTCTCAAAACGTAGACCTCCTTTTATTGTTCGCTTGGCACCGTAGTCTCATCCAGTGTTTCGGAATATATCCACATTCGTGTCGCATTAGTTTCGTAATATATAACAAATCTGCCCAATTATTTAGGTGTGGATCCAGTCAACAGCTGTTTCAATAATGGCGCAGGATCATTTTTCCAATTAATCTCTCAAATTTATATCAATCACGTGGCATCATTTGAATCCTTTTCATTTCACACATGTTTTATAATTAGTTCGCATTATGGAGGGGCACGATGTTCTCTTTTTCTCTCCTTGATTTTGGCATCTTGACTGGTATCGGTACCGGTAACGGTACCGGTAGAGTCTCTACCGTTACCGAAATGGTCTCTACCGTAGAGACCATTTCATCATGACGGGGAGTACGAAAAAGCAGCAAACGAATGATGCATATTATTGTGGCTCTACATTCAGACTATTGGCCTGTGCTGCCAAAACAAAAAGAGCAACATGCATACTAGATTGTCCAGGTGGTGTGCTACGCTGCATATTGTATATCTCTATGGCTACCTTATGGTATCGGTATAGGCAATCATCTGCTTCCAGCATTGGCAAATAATGGGCTTCAGTCCGCCTTTGGTGAAGCAAACTTTCAGTGTTACGACGATTGACACTGTTTTCCTGTCTGCCCTTGGTTTCTTTTATATGTTTGTGTACCGTACCAGCGGCCAGCCGTGCACACCGGTATTATGGTCTGTAGAATCGGCGTTGTTATTCGTCATTAATCTTGTGAAGGAACGTTCCTGAGGCATGCATACGCTCGTGCATGCATGTATCAGCAAAGCACGCAAAGCCTCCATGTTCGCGCTTATGGGAGCAATACGCGATTCTAACATGATTCCAGCTGATCCGAGTGACCTTTCAAATGTCATTTTCGAACCATTCCAACAAGGCATCAGCAGCTTCGATTCCTTCCAATGACGATGATGATGGTATTGATGATGATGGCAGAGGCGACAGGACGCGCTCAGAGGAGAAGAGCATGATGCTAGGTGATCCTGTTCTTGCCTGCTGTTGATGGCGTTGGTTGTGGCTCGAAATATCTCCTTCTAGCGATTCAGCAAAAGCTGCCATCACCTCCTCGTCGGTGGTGCTGGAATGTTGAGTAGTTCCTCGTGTTCTGGGCATCGCCGTTGTGTTCTGCCGGAACCAAAAGCTACTACTGTTGTTGTCAGCTCCACTATCATTCTTAGCGATCGTTGGCGCTGATGAAGGTGAGAGCCTTTCGGAATCTTCGTTATGGGTCCACTTCAATACTGATTGTCCACTACGTTCTTGTTTGACCATTGCTACAGTATTGTCTGGAGTTGTTGAAGGCGTGATGCTGGGTTCTGCAAGAGGAAATCGACCATCATCCCGATGAGGATGTGACGAGGATGATGATGATGATGATGAGTCAATGGTTATCGATTTACGCTTCTCGCTTTGGAGACGCGCTGCATCCCTCAGGGCTTGTCCCACTTTATCTCGGGCAATCTTCTCACCAACTTCGTACCAAAGTCCACTTGAGCTGTCAAACCGAACGAAGCCGCCACCTCCTTGTTCTGTCGCGCTATCTCTAATGCTGTTGACAAGGTTTGTGATGACCACAGACTTGGCAATCCTGGAAGGTGCCTTCATATACGAGCTTAGATGATTTTCAATGCAAATCTTGAACCTCTTGTTTCCAACTGTGATACCAAGAGAAAGTATAACGGCAGAGACGGCAAAAGGCCAATATGAGCGTCATTTATTACATGTGGAACGATACAGATGTTGTGCAAGAAGCATACTCACTATGCTCCTGATACTCTTTAGAATTGTGGCATATGACATCCCAGTTGCTCGGTTGGAACGATGGTCCAAGAATTTGCCTTTGCGAATAGTTTGAGCTCTGGCTTGGTAGGTGTACCGCCGGGATTCCAACCAACGATGCTGCTGTGTGATACTGTTTGTCAAAAAGACCTCGGTCAACCATGGTGTGCGCTTTGTTCGATTGGACAGAAACCCTCTGGTGTGATGATGATCCACTGACTTCATCTGGTGACTGGGATACCTGTTTTCGCTTTCTTCTATTCCGCGGAGAAGAAAGAGACGGTCCTTTTCCCTTTTTGAGCCCTATGTTCATTCAGAGGAAAATGATCCGGAAGTTTCGCACCGTTCTTCTTATGATACACAAATCAACCATCACATAAGGTATTCTGAAACGTGTCCATGTTTATTAATTCATCTAATCCAGCTAAGCTGTTTCCATAATGGCACATGTTCAAATTTTAAATTTTTAGTTCGCCACACGGTCGAAAGCATTATATATTTATATATGAAGCCTTTTTTAAGAAATAGCAGATCAGAGTCGCTCTGGTTCGCTTTGGTTTTAAGTTTTGTGTTTTGTGTTTACCTTCCGCCTTGTGCACGCACGAAATGACTTTTAATCATCGTCTTGCAGTCGACCTTTCCCTGGTGTACTGTATCATGCAGCATGCAGCACAGCACCAGCGGATGCAAATTTTGACTGCGTATACCGTTGAAAATGTGTAATAGCCTGCGGTACAAAAACCGATAGTCGATCGAGTCGGAGGTGGTTTTGAATTTTAATCGACTAATAGACATCAGACGAAATTCTGCTCCAAGAAACAAGAGATCCATCTTGTACGATAAGACCTTGTTTTGATTACAATTCTTGTTATTTGAACATATACTATTTGCCTAATGTGTATAGGATATATGTGTACGCACTTTGAACTGCAAAGTTCTGTCTAGAACACACGAAATTTTGAAACATTCAATCAAGTCATCTGAAATGGTGGGAAGGGGTCAACAGGAAACCAGATTTGGGAATCTCATTTCTGTCGCAGCATTGCAAAACAACACCCAAAGTCGATACATATAGGTCCTTGAAAAACTTTTGTCGGGGTCCTACCGTGTCTGGATACAGACACGGTCACTAGGATAGATTCTTGGCAACTTCTGGATTGCATGCCAAATCGACTCCACAGGTCAAGTAGGTGCAGTTCAGTCACTACTACCCTGAAATTTCCCATTTCAAACCGCCAAACCGTCTTAGATATACCCATAGACGAATAGCGTAAGCCAGAATAAAGAAGTTTGACGAAATTAGGCCAACAATTTGACAATTCCAGAAATTTTCAACGAAGTTACCTTTTTCTTACACCATTTTGGCCTCATGATTCTTGATCTAGGCTAAATCATTGCCTCGGTCCCGAAAAATCCAGTCCTTAGACATACAAGGGAGACCCTGGTGTGTTGTTGAATGGATAGGTGTCTCAATGGCGGCCACAAGGACCTTCAGAGCGTCACAGAAAACACAGCCCCAACGAAGGAGATCGCAAAATCTTCGCAAATCAAACAAATAAAGTGAATCAATAACGCTCCGTCGTTATATCAGATACCAATAGAGCATACTATAGCTTGGAGCTTGGCGATCTCTGCATGTGGGGCCCACTGTGCATCCCAAACGGCAAGCTGACGGAAACGGTTCCAACAGCACTTGTTGATTGTGGCATGATTGAGGTCAGAAAAAATTGTTTCGCACCTCATTGGGTAGTCTACATAATCATGAGGCCTTCCGCCGCATCTGATTCCATCTTCTCTTCTTGTAGGGCCCGTGCCATGCAATCCATCTGTTTTTGACGAATTTTGCCAATTTAAGGATTCGGTTGAGAATTCGCAGAAAGATAAACTGATAACCAACATCAAACTAATCCAAGGCCTTCCATATACCAATAGAAGTAACCTCCGCCGAAACTTTCAAGTACTCTGTGCCTTGGGACTTCGTAGGGTCCCAAAACCATGCGAAAACTGCTTTTTGGACGATGATGGTGGGCTTCAGAGGTCATTTTGGGGACGACAGAAACCACTGAGGCCATATCAGTTGGTACAAGCAGGATAGCTAATGTAAAGATAGGGCTACTGTTAGCTGCGAATCAATTTTCTTAGAGTGAGTGATGAATGCAAGTGCCTCAAAGCTTACCATCATGAAATAATCAAATCCATCAGCCTTTTTGGTGGATTTTCAATGCTTGAACTCCCCTACCATCTTTATTTTTTGTTGACATTATGCTTCTTTGATGTGTTTAGAAGTGGTTTATGCAAAAAAATAAAGAACGACGACGTTTTGTTGATGTCAACAATGGGTCCGAAGGTTGATGATGGAAATGGTGATTTGTTGTCGTCATTGCGTCTACGGTATCGAACAAAATTCACGAAATTCTACGAAAAGGCGCGGGCAAAAACTGAAAGTACTTTCTTAGGCCGATTTGGTGACGTGGCTTAATAAGTCCTACGTATTGTACAGTCCAAACCAAGATCAGACTGGACATCGTGGAAAATCCGTAGCCGTGGTAGAGAACCCTATGATCGATCGAGTCGGATACCAGTTTGACTTAATCGACTACATATCCAACCGAAATTATACTACAAGAGGCAAGGCCCAAGACCTGGTCTTGATTACAAATCTTGATATTTTAATATGTATGATTGCTTAATCTACGTAGACTAGTGGTATACGCAACAAAAGTTGCAAATTTCGGTCTAGAATACATGGAATTTCGAATCATTCAATCAGGGCTCCTGCAATGTTGGGACGGGTCAACAGAAAACCAGACCAACAAATCTCATTTCTGCCGCACCATTGAAAAAAAACACCCAAAGTCGATACATATAGGTATATTGGTCACTTTTGTAGTGGTCCTACCGTGTCTGGTTACCGACACGGCGACTGGGACACATTCCTGGGAAATTCTGGATTGAATGCCGAATTGACCCCCCAGGTCAAGTAGCTACAGCTCAATCACTTCCACCTTGAAATCTCCCATTCCAAGGTGCCAAACCTTGTTAAATATACCCATGGACTAATAAAATGGGCCAGAATAAAGAAGATTGAGGAAATTAGGTCAACAATTCGACGATTCCAGAAATTTCAACAAACTTACATTTTTTTGACACCAGTTTGGCCACATGATTCTTGATCTAGGAGGAATCATTGCCTTGGTCCCAAAAAATCTAAACTTTAGGCATCCAAGAAAGACCCTGGTGTGTTGTTGGATGGATAGCTGTCTAAATGGCGGCCAGGGGGACCTCCAGAGCGGCAGAGAACCGACAGAACAAAGGAAGGAAATCGCAAAATCTTTCCAAATTAAACAAAGAAAGTGAACCAATAATGCTCTGTCGTTGTATCAGATACCAATATACCATAATATACCTTGAAGCTCGGCGATCTCTGCATGTGTGGCCCTCTGTGGACCCCAAAGGGCAGGCTGACCGAAACAATTCTAACAACGCTTGTTGATTGTGGCATGATTGGGGTAAAACCTAAATTGAATCATGGCTCATGGCGTAGTATAAATATCAAAAGTGCCTGCCGTAGCATCTGAATCCACCTATTCTTCTTGTGGGGCCCATGCCATGACATAGATGTGTTTTTGACGAATTTTGCCACTTGATGAACTCGATGGAGAATATGCACAATGAAACCTTGATATCGACCACCAGATGATTCCAAGACCTCCATTATAACGCCAGAAGCAACCTCTGCTGGAATTTTCAAGTACTTGGTGCCTTGAGACTTCGTGGGCTCCCAAAACCATAATAATTCTTCGTTTTGGACGTTGATGGTGGGCTTCAGTGGTCATTTTGGGAACCAAAGAAAAAAACGAGGCCAGATCACGTCATAGAAACAGGATAGCTTATGTAAAGATACAACTACTGTCAGCTGTGCATCAATTTTCTTGCAGTCGGTGATAACTGCAAGTGCCTCAAAGCTTACCATCGTAGTGAAATCAAATTCATCATACTTTTTGGTGGATTTTGACCGTTTGGATTCATCTCGCATCTCCACTTTTTTCGATATTATACTAGTGTGATGTGTTAGGAAGCGAATTGTGCAAAAAAGTGGAGATGCCCGATGTTTTGTTGATGTCAACAAGGGGTCGGAAGGTTGATGATGAAATTGACGATTTGTTGTTCTGATGGATTGGTACAAAACCCACGAAATTGCACGATGACACGGGGAGTTTGCCAAAGTACTTTCTTAGACCTGTTATGTGACGTGGACTACTATTCTTACGTATTTCTACTGCGTGTTTGAGAATTTTGGTTTGGACTGTACCAGGTACGCTGTGTTTTTTTTCATGCGACTGTGTGCGGGTGTTTGTGTGACATACAGACGTACCCGTACACGTGTACAGTAGGTTATGAGGCAAAGTCACGCATGAAGGACGGATTCTAGTCGTACTAGTCATCTCAACGGATAAAAATCCCAAGCCAAAAGATTGAAAATAAGAATAAGCCGCAACAAATGAAAGGTATTTAGATCATATTCTTTTATTTATCATCACGGCCTTCGACTGATCCACCCAAGGCCGATTCATCATGGCGGGGAGTACGAAAAAACAGAAAGGAAATCTTCGTAACCGCAAGAGAAACGAAAAGGAGAGTAAAACCAAAGATGCCGGTCCTCCTGAGGAGAACAACAACAAGACAGTAGAGGAGGATGATCAGTCGCTAGAGAGCAACCAAACCATTTGGGAAACCATTCGTCGCCATCCCCTCTTTTGGGGATTTGTTTTACTTGGTATCCCATATGGTTCATACCTAATTTTCAGATGGGTTGTCTTGCAGCACCCTTTTTTGTCTAGCATGAGGCCTCCCGTCGCGCTATCGGATGAACGACAAGTATTGATTCTTGGAAGCATGTCGTCTGGAACATCAAGCATTGCAGCTGATTTGAGAGGCCATCAGATTCTGGAAGTGGGTCATGAAGACACAGACGCCACGTGGAAGTTTGTCCGTGACGGAACGGTCAGTTGGTTTCATGGCATTCGATTCATATCCACAACGGATGACGCCGACAAGGTTATCAGGATTGCAAAAACTTGCGCGGTATCATGGCTAATTACATCCAAGTCAATATCTGGTAACCATGGTTTTGGTCCAACTCTATTTGGAAACCCGGAATACGAGTGCTCCTTTTGGAATCCATATTTCAGAAAGTGCTACCTGTCATCATGTCACAAGGCATTGCTTCGTGAATTTGGATGCGCTCTCGAGCCAGAGGGTTGCCAGACTCCCTATAAAAAAACCTTGCTGCAAACCAGAGAACCCTGGAAAATTATCACTTCGCTTTCGGCAAAGTACTGTTACAAGAATGGAAAGATTGATGACTCGGCCTATCCCGAAACGCTTCAGCGCCTTCTGTCATCAGTGGGCTGGGTGAGTGCCAATGATCCGCCTCTTTCATGTCCTACTCAAATGATGGAGTACGTTGTGAGCTACTACAGCACTATCTTAGAGGCTAGTAAGTCCATAGATATCACAGTGTATCCGATTGAAAATGCTAGCCTTTGCGATGTCGCAAGGATGGCAGGGTTAGATTCACCGGAAACTACGATTTGGCAAGACAATCACCACAAGTACCAGTCTATGTGTAATGGAGAGGATATTGAAGGGACGGAGACTACTCCGCGAGCCAAGTCAAATGAGATTAACAAAGGACGAGTCTCAAAAGAAGACCTACAACCGTACGCAACACCTGCTCTGTTGAAGCAGATTGACAAACTGCACTCGAAACTTGGATACGCGAGTTGAACCATGGCAGTCATTTTTAAAAAGCCATTCCAAAAGTTGTTTCAAAATTGTTCACCATTTCTACCATTCTATTCAGTGAAGTAAACTGGTTGGGTGGTCACCTTCAATCAATTAATCATGCTTGGATCCAATGTTCTCTAGTGTAAGCCATTCTTCTGGGGTAGGCGGTTCTCCATTTTTCAACGCAGAGCTATCCACCGAAGTAACTTCTTTACTCAACTGGTACAGAGTATCAGGGCTGGACTCTGCCGATTCTGTTAGATCTTTTGGGGGACTGATGCCATGAAATAGATCGGTAGGTGACAACTGACGACCATCTGATCTCATGGCAATCTTATCGTTTCCAGTGAGCATCTTTATCGTGGGTGCTGTTTCCGAGAGATTGCTTATCATCGCTTGCGGCGTCCTCTCTGGCATGGAAAACTTGGACGTTTCGACACGCTGCTGCATACCACTGGCCCTTACTTGCTTCCGTTCATCATTCCGTAAACGAAGAGAATCTCGCAGTGCTTGCCCAGCCTAATGGTAGGAGAAGTGATGTGATGGGTCGTAACAATGAGCCCAAGAAGGAGCGAATAAATCAATCAAGAAGCATTGCCACCTAATATCTCAATCCTCTCTTATCTTCTTACCTTATCTCGTGCTATCTTGTCACCAACATCATACCATCTCATTTCTGCTTGATCGTACCGAACAAAGCCACCGCCACCCTCTCGGATGCCAGTGACAATGTCAGTGATTATTGTGGACCTTTCAAGCCGAGAGCCTGCATTCATATATATGTCGAGGTTACGCTCAATACAGAGTTTGAATCTCGAGTTGCCCACTGGTATATACACACAGAGAGAGAGAGAGAGAGAGAGAGCGAGCGAGCGAACAGAGGTGAGAGGCTGAATGAGAACCTATGAACAGAGGACATAATACTTCAAAGAAACGAATTCTAGCCTTACCATGCTCTTGGAACTCTCTTCCATTGTGGCAGATGACATCCCAGTTTCCAGGCTCGAATAAGAGAGGGAGATACAGTCTACCCTGCTGTCTCGTATCTTGCTGTTGTGAATTGGAAGAGCTAACGGGCGACAATCTGGATTGGCTTTTGTCAAACGAATCTCGATCGGCCATTGCGACTATTCTTTGATATTGCACCGGAGAAGCAGGGGATCACGTCAGTTTTGGTTGGTTTGCTGCAGTTGTGGATTGAAACTCAAAGGGCACAAATCACTTTTCTCTGCATGCAAATTCCAAAGGCTCTCGCAGTTTGCAGTATAGGGCTGTAGGCATCGCAGTTTGACAAATAAGGTTTTTCTTCAAACGGTGAAGTGATGTTTTGGGAACGCGGAACGCGGTACATTGAAACATCCGAAAAGTCTGACCGGTTTTTAGTCCTCATGTTCGATGGACGCAGTGACGCGGGTGTAATAAATGGCCATGGTTCCGCTTCGTTATTAAATGAAAATTATATGATACCCGACACCAAGTTAAGTGCATATTGTGCCTCATGTTTTTCAAAAAACGCAAGTTCTCCAAAAATATGCACCAAAGTCCTGTCTGAGTGGTGATGCTGCCGCACCGTGCGTCTGCGTCTATATAAAAAAGAGGAAACTAACTGGATGTGTCTCGGCATCAAAACTGCACCAAGATCTTGAATTTCAATGGAATTGGCAAAACTTTCTTCTTCTCCATTGGCGATACAGCATGTACGTGTAACTATACAGTAAGGTACAAATGTAACGTGGACCGCTTCAATGGAACGGCATCGTCGTTTGAGAATCATGTCTTCAATGAAAAACGCTCGTCCAGTTCGGGTTTCAATTCTGACACGTAATCTTACAAAAATCAAAGTCGCGCATTGCAATAAATCTGAATTCACGATTAGCGAAAACGAGAGGCCAGATATATTAAGATGTTAAGTAAGTGCGAGCGCGTAATTAGCGGATATTTTTATCAAAATCTACATCGGATCCCCATCGAACTCCATCGAGGTCTCTTACAACCTCAGAAACTCCGATTTTGTCACGGACCATTTGCAGCCATTGTTCCCATCTACAACGTAAGCGAGGTCCAGTAAGCAGTAGTCGCCGCGTTCCTTTAAGGAGCCTGGTAAGAGTACCGTCAAATTTGGACCTTTGGAAACACATTTTGGGGCGATGGCTTCGCCATGAACGTTGCGTCCAGAAGCTATTTCGAGACAGACGTGTTCTTGAACCTCCGGAAGGTCACAAAAATCATCATGCTGAGCTGGCAAACAGGGAAGTTCCTCGTCTGCATGATGGGAATCACCATTATTATGCGCTAAATGCTCGTAGTGTGTGACTAGGATGGTCTGAAACAGCTCTGTCTTGTGGAATCCAACAATGGTTGGATGCGTTTGATTGGCCAAGGGAGTGTCGGTGACCGCGTTCATATTCGGTGCTGAGTTCACCAGTTTCTCTAGAGAGTTGCAGTGATCGAGGCTGAAAAGGTGATGTAATAAAATGTTTGGTGTGATTTGATCAGGAGCGTCCATGATGACAGTGCAAGCGAAAAATGTGAGGCGACTACTTTGACCAGCAACAAAGCTATCTTCTTGAACTGCTTCGATACATTTTGTTGGCACGTACCTGTATTGCCGTCCAGTCGTTCTCGAGTCGGATGGCACTGCGTCTGTCAATGGCGGCATATCGCTCTCCGAACCAATCGAAGAAGCTTCGCCTTCACTATCCGAGTATATGTTATCCTCGAGGGGCGGCAGTGATTGATTGATGTTGTCATCATGACGGTAGCTGTCCATTAACTCACTGTCGCTACCGTAATCGGCCTGACTGTCATCAATGTTGTCATCCTCGTCTTCTTCTTCATCATCATCATTATCCTCATCTTCTTCGTCTATGCCATCCCCACCATACATTGCTTCGTATTTGCCCCAATCCAAATGTAGTAAACCAGCGCATCCTAATCCAGGACAAAGAGGCATCCATTGTTGATGGATATTTCTCGAGTTGGGTGTCAACCGGCGCTTCATCTTGTGGAAAATTGGATCCGTTTCACCCGGAATGTACAAGACGCGACAAACAATCGACTCCAACTGACTAAGAGCCGCAGTCATGAGACCTTCCAAGGCGGCATTCTCTTCTAAACTTCGTTTGATGGGTTTGTCATGGAAATTTTGTTGTTTGTACGGCGAAGTGATCAATGGTAGTTGTGGTCTCACCTGTTGTTGGTGGTGGTTGTGGTGGTACCGGTATTGGAGTGATGATGATGATGATGATAACGTTTCATTATTGTAGTGAGATGATGGAGTTGGCCGAACCCTCAGCGTCCGTTGCCGCCCATGATAGTAGATATTCAATTCATCTTCCTTACAAAATGGACCACAGGCAATGCAAAGGTCCACCTTGCGCAATGGGTTATCGGCCGTGGATACCAAGGCAGCTTCCGCCAAAGCAGAGGCACAATGCAAATCGACATCTGCCACCACGAGTATTCGAATGGTTGGAGTATCTTTGTAATTCAATTGCGGTAATTGTAGTGATGTCAAAGCCTTTTGCTGTCGCTTTAGTTTCTTGTCTTTTCGTTTCTTTCGGTTGACCATTGGATCCAGGTCACTTGGATCATGAAGGTCCAAGCTTCCGGCGCTGCTGAGACTGTAGGTGTCCGCATCACCTGATTCGTAGCCATTTCTCCTCATGATTATATTGTTATTGTTTGGCTGTTTCTTCCCGCGCAGCAAAACCAAAGAAAGAGTTGTTCTCGTTGCCTCGCCTGATGATAAAAGTTGAAAAGTTCGGTCTCCTGAATTGGAAATGAGAACTTATTATTCTAATCCTGCTAATTCAGGTGGAATGCTATTCGCCGTCTGCCGTATTAGGAAAAGTTCACCCTGCGCCTCTTTCCAGACAATTGATTGTATGCTCTCGTAGTCTCAAAGAAACTGAGGTCAATATGGATTGCTGTGGACAAAGACTGCTACTATATGACCGTCATTTACTGTGTTGTTAGCTGTGGTCATTCTACCGCTATCACCAGCATGCGTTGATGATGGAGTATCTCCGGGTTTTCTATTTGTTCGGATCAGTCAACGATTCTGAGGTCATTCATAAATAATATACTGTATTTCATTCGTCGCGTTCTCAGCATCCATCCATTTTCGAATTTTTTCTGTAGCTAGCTCTAGGTGTATCCCATCATCCATCAGCTCGATAATCCATGAGGTATATGGCTAAAACTCATCAATTCATTTCATTGACAATAAGATTTATGTTTCCATAAGATAGAGGACGAGAATGACGAACAGTTTGTTTTCATGGAGTCTTATTCCGATTCTTATGAGAGCCATAATCTCTACCATTATTCTGAGATTTTGTTTCCTGAAGAATGATGCTAGTACTGTTCATGGAGCTTCCGTGACGCGCAAGAATGTCGACTTTCACGTTGCCCCAATGCAGTGCTACACCAATCTCGCCTTCCGAAGACTTTGTTCGAACCTATCTCCCACCTCTACATATTGGACAGAAATGGAAAAGGCAGATGATCTAATGCCCAACATTCGAGAATCCTTGATTCAACGGTTATTGGGTGATGATCCAAGAAGAAGCGACACTTCTTATTACCACCACCACCAAGAACAAGAGAGGAGGCTTGTCTTGCAGCTTGGTTCGAATGACCCACGCAAAGTTCAAGAATGTGTCAAAGCTGCAATGGCGTTAGAATACAAACAATTGAAAGAAATCAATTTGAATTGTGGTTGTCCTGCCATTGATTCTGGTGGAGCCCCGACCTATGGGGCGAGCTTGATGAAGGATCCGACTCTGACGGCCTCACTGGTCGAATCCTGCGTTCAAAGCTGTTGGAAGGAGGGCAGGAACAAGGTGGACGTCTCGGTCAAGTGTCGGATTGGTGTGGTGGATCACGCTGATGACTTATTGGATACAACAAATACAAAGTCAACCCCCGCATCCCCATCCTCGTCTACTTTAGGCTACGACTATGGACGATTGCACGACTATGTTTCCCACATCGAAAATGCTGGTGCAAATCATGTCATTTTACACGCCCGTCCAGCCGTCTTGGCAGGATTGAGCCCCGTCAAGAATCGAATTGTCCCCACCTTGCAATACGAAATGGTGCGACAAATTGCCAAGGATTTTCCAAATCTCAAGGTGACCTTGAATGGAGGCATTCGGTCTCTTTCCCAATTAAAATACGAGATTACTGCTTCTGATGGCGATGAGGATGGTGCTGTTCAAAGTGGTACTATTTCTAGTTTCATGGCGGGACGATGGATCCTGCAAAGGCCGTTGGATTTAATTGGTATTGAAGGATGGCTCCAACAACAGCAACGACGACCACGGCCCGAAGCCACAAATAATGGCCCGCCATCATCGTTATCACCAACACCACCATTAGAACTTGACGCAGCCAATCCAGATGCATTTGTCATTGCCAAACATGCTCTTGAAGATTATTTGGACTATTGCCTTCAGCAGCAAAGCGCTAGTAGTACTAGTAGTAGTACTAGTACTAGTACAAAAACCAAGAATGCATCGTCAATAACGACGACAATAACAACAACAACAACAACAACAACAGCATCGGACCTCTGTTTGCCCTTGTTCTTGGTCGTCGAACAACTCCGAGAAGATTATGACGATGACAACAACGATGGCATGGAAGTACCACCACCCATGATGCTGTCCTATGAAGAAATGGAATCCTTGTACGATCTGCTCCAAGATGGAATCTCGGAACTGAGCGATTGCATGGGAAAAGGCAACCACCAAAAAAAGAAGTCTGGTCACAAGGATTCTTCCAGCGTCAATTTCAAACGACTATCCACTTCGTTCAAATCCTTGGTTGGGACCAAGGTTGCCAACAAGTGGAAACGCAATCGAGCCGAACTGTCGTAGAACACAAGAATGAATGAATGAATAAATAAATATATGGATCAATCAATCAATCAATCAATGTAAAAGTTGCCTCCAAGTGCTACGAGTGTTTGTTTGTTTGTTTGTTCTGTATTATTTCTTATATTTTTTTGTCATCTTAGTTTATCATGTGGTCATCTTCATCTTTTAATCCTCCTCCTCCTCCTCCTTATCATTTCGTCATGTAGTATCCCGTTGTCCCGTGCGTGCAGTATATGCAGTAGTAAATCTCCTGTACCACAAGTAACACATTCCATTCCAATATATATATATGTATATATATATATATATATATATAATATCATATTTACATCAAGGCCGCCAGTTGATCCAAAGTTTCTTGTTTGGAATTCAATTTGACAATCTGTTCCTCGGTTAAAGTCTCTGTACCCTTTTCTTCCAATTGTTCAATTTGACGCAACTTTTTGAGTAACTTTCGCTTCAATTTGAAATGTGGATCCGAGGAATCCAATACGAAATCGTCCGCTCGAAGTGGGCCTCCTCCTCCTGCTGCTGCTGCTGATGATGATGATGATTGGGATGGTTTGGACGATGCTTCGGCGGGGTCTGTCTTGTTAGTACTGCTACTAGTAGTAGAGGTAGGGGTAGGTTCCGATTCGGCTGACTTCTCTGGCGGTGGTGTTGGTGCTGGTGTCTTTTTCTTCTTCTCTGGCTTTTTGTTATTCTTTGCTTGTGCTGGGGTCACCTTTTTCTCTACCGGTGCTGCCTTTGATGGTGCGTTCTTTGTCGGCGTTGGAGCTTGTGGTTGTGGTTTTTGTTTTTGTTCATGTTTATGTTGTTGTTTGACAGCTTCCTTTTCCTTTTGTTTTTCTTCCACCTTTTCGGCAATCTTGTCCACCTTGGCGGCCTTTTCCAAGACCTTTTCGACCACTTGTTCCACCTTGCCGGGATGTGGTGCGGAGGAAGCAGGAGTCGTCGCAGGAATAGGAGGAGGTATGGGTAGTATTTTCTTTTCTTCTTCTTTTTCCATCTTGTTTTTGTTTTTGTTGTTGTTGTTGTTTTTGTTGTTGTTGTTGATTGCAGGTGCAGGTGCTTTCGTTTCTTCTTCTTCTTCTTTATTTTTCTTGGGTGCACCATCATCATCCTTATGTTTGGTCGATTCTTCAAAGAATGGCATACTGGAAAGAGTAGTTCCAGTAGGTGGAGGTGCAACGAACGAGGGAAAGATTAATGGATCTCTGACCACGGCTCCTGTCGTTTCACTAGTACTACTACTAGTAGTAGTAGTAGTAGTAGTAGTTGTTGTCGTTGTAGCTGGTGCGGTAGAGTCTTCTGCCTTTTTAGTTGTTGCTTTGGTTGTTGTCATCGATTTGGCTGGTTCCTCCTTTTTTGTCGCCGGAGTCGATGTCGATTGCTGTGGTTTTGGTTTTGTGGGTGGTTGTGGTTGTTGTTCCTTATTTGTTGTTGGTGGTTGTGGTTGTTGAAAGGCTTGAGGAGGTGGTGCTGATTTTGCTGGTTTGGGAGGTGCTACCGCCACTGGCATGGATCGTGAAGCATTCGTATTGGAAGTATTATTATTAATAGTAGTAGTAGTAGTAGTAGTAGTAGGTGATGAAGTGGTACTACCATGACGACCCTTGATGGGACTCCCATACTCGGAATTCACAATAGACTCTGGTTGTTTGGACGATCCGCAACCCATGATGATGATTATGATGATGATTTGTTTCGTTTCGTTTCGTTTCGTTTCTCTTTTGTTTTCTATTGAAGAAGTACTATGCTGGTGGTGGTGGTGGTGGTGGTAGATTGGATTAGATGGTATTGAAAGATACTGTAGGTACAACACTGTAGGTCAAACACCTGTCTTTTTGTGTGTCTTGCTTGTTTGTGGCCAAAGAGTCACCAATCAATCAATATTCGATTGGATCTTTTTTGGCGATTTTTGACATCAATAGAAAAAAGAATAAATACCGGTATACCGTACGTACCGGTAGCCATCATCCGTCATCTACCGCTCTACTTACTGTATATTGCAGTAGACTTTCTACAGAAATTCCGAACAGACGGGGAAGCAGTCTGTTCTGATACGTAGTGTACACGTATGATGTACGTCAGTGATACGAGCGAAGGTGGGACGTTTTCACAAGATGAGGAACAGCAGGCAGACCGAACCGCAAATTTCAAATTGAATTTTTCCAAACATCATTATATTAAAAAATAGCATACTACAGTAGCTAACGTCTATTATATATTCAGTTTTATATATAACACTGCATTGTATCATTATTATTACCGTGATGATGATGATGATGATGATCATCATCATCGTCTTCTCCTTTTTATTGCTCGATTAAAATGAACTGTACATGTATTATTAATAATAGGTAGTAAAGTTGAAAGTACATCCAATAAATGCTTCATCAAGCACGATCCAGAAGAAGCATGAATGAATGATCCCATGTATTAATGTCACACAAAATGCCCAAAATCAAACCTCCAACAAACTTTATGTATCTATACTGTATCGTATATCATACACCATACACGTACGGGTACAATAGGACTACTACAACTGTCTTATACGAGTATATCGTTCGATCGTTTTCTTTCTTTCTTTCTTTAGCACCCACACGCATCGGCACCTCCAGCTTCTCCTCCTTTATTATCTTCCAGTTTGACCGTCGATGGACCACCACTTCCAGCATTTCCAGATTGTTGCATACCTTGAATACCAGTTTTAGACTTGTTGGCTGCCAACGCCCGATTGTGCACAATCCCAATCAATTTCTCAAAGGACTGCAATACATTTTGTCCACTCTTGGCACTAGTTTCCAACATGTCCATTCCATACTCCTGACAAAATTGCTCCGCCTTTTCTTTGGTAACTTCTCTACTCGCTTCCAAATCAGACTTGTTGCCCACCAACAATTTGGCCAAATCGTCCGAAGAAGCGTGGTCGTTCAACTGGGCCATCCAGCGTTCGCTGAGCGATTCAAAGGATTTGGCATTGGTAATGTCGTAGACCAGAATGACGCCCTTGGCCTTGCGAAAATACGTTGGCAGCAGCACACGGGCAAATCGTTCTTGACCGGCCGTGTCCCAAATTTGCGCCTTGACCTTGCCGTGCTCCGTGTCGAGCATCTGGGTGTCGAATTCGATTCCCATGGTGGCACTAATGTCGTGGTTCAAGGGACGCTCGGGATTGGTCAGTCGGGCTACCAAAGAGGTTTTGCCTACTCCGGAATCTCCCAACATGACAATCTTGTACAGTGGAGGCTTTCCTCCGGCTGATGTGGCGCGGCTCATTTCGAATTTGTTCTTTGTGCTGTGCTTTGCTGTGCTTTGCTGTGCTTTGCTGTGCTTTGCTTGCTATGGAGTGTTTGGGTTTGGGTTTGGGTTTGGGTTTTTGTTGATATTTAGTTTTTGTTGATATTTAGTTGTTTGCTTCTCGTTTCTTTGATTGAAGGATGAGTTGCAGTTATTACACTGATTGAACAACAACAACAAAAACAAAAACAACAAACGACGATATCAACAAACAACAAACAACAGACAAGGCAAGGCAAGACAGACTCACTCACTTACCTCTCATTCCCAATGCGGGGGCTAGAAAATTAGAAAGGTATTTGAATTGAAATCGAGAATGCGCTTTTGTGCTAAGTAAAACAAGCCGGCATAGCACGGTATCCGGCTTGCGGACTATCCGTTACGATACTCAGTGCTGTGGCAAAATATTTCGGGATGAGATCTATTTTGGGTTGCAAACACGTTACTTTACTTCCCCTAATCTCAAATCTATCCTTTCAATATTTCTACACACGATCCACGAGCAATGCCAGCGCGGAAGTAGGTACGGAGGGTACATTCGGAAGACAACCGTGCGAGCTGCCGCTTATTTCTACACTTAGCCTAGTTTTTGGTGAGATCCTTATGTAGTGCTTGCGCGCGTTCACTGCCTCCTCGATTATTTACCGCGCGTACTCAATTATAGAGTAATTTATATATATATCCAGACATTCGGAAGGGGGCGGGTTTCTACCGGCTGAATTTTTGGTGACATCTTTTTCTTCGATTGATTTTCAGTAGTCACTTGATATATGACCCTTTTATTTTCAGAAATCATCTGATCATCAATCAACTGCAATTGTTTGATATATATACTATACATTACACAGACACAGACACAAACTCACATACTAAGAGAAAAGCATAAATTCAGCCTATCAGTAGCAATCAATCAAGCATCATTACCATTAAATATGCAGGCAGAATTTGTTCCAGCCGGCTTGGACGATTTTTGGAGTGATGTCATGGCACCTGGCAGCAGTGGCCAATGGCAACGAGGATTGGCGGCACCACGACCAGAAGTATTCAATACCGATGACTTTTTCAATCGAGAACCACCATCCAACATTGTTACCTTTATCATCGGAGGGGTACGTATAGTACATTTTGGTTGTGCGTGCGACATGGTGTGGCTTCTTCGATTGATTGACTGATCAATTGATTGATCAATTGACTGATTGATTGATTGATTGATTGATTGATTGATTGATCAATTGACTGATTGACTGATTGACTGGTTGACTGATTGATTGATTGATTGATTGCCTAATACCATTTTAAATGAACCAATTCTCACTTTTCTCGTTTATTTCTCTTCTTCAAATCATGCATCAAATCACAACTACATCATGCATTCTACAGGTTCTTTGGATCCTCAGTTTTGGCGTCTTTCTCCAACGTGTCCACAAGTTGAAGACTCGTACTGAAGGACAACTCAAGGGATATGATCTCTACCGAGGCTTGATAGGCTGTGCCATGGACAACGATTCTCCTTTCTATACCATCATCAGTTTTGCTTCCATCTCCTTCTTGTTCTTGGGCGGTGTTCAAACCGATTATAGAACCACCCTGATTGTCATGATGGCCTATTATGCCATTGTCTCCTTTGGGGAATCCTTACGAGTCCTCATGGCCTATTGGTCCTACAAATCCCTCAGCGAAGTCTTTTTGTTTACCGAGATGGACGCCGGCCTCAAAGAAAAACAAAAGGAGGACAAGGACGAAAAGGATCGCAAATTTGAAACCATGGAGGTCCAACCCAATAACATTTACGAAGACATGGGACGGGAAAAGACCATTGTCATTATGATCTTCTTGACGCAAATCATTTTGGTGTCCTTTGTCTGTGTCGATATTTATCGCGCCGAGACGGTGCGATGTATGGATGGGACTGCCAATTGTCCAGTGGGTAAGTGCTGTATCTTGTTGTATATTTTGGACGCAGCCAGTGGATGCCGGATGTATCATGGTGTCAGGCTTGCTTGTTGTGATTCTTGTGATTCTTCTTCTTCTCATTATTATTATTATTTCATGCACTCACTCACAACCATATTACCATCATCTTACTAAATAAACAGGCGGAACCATGGGCTCGTATGGATTTTACCTCATGGGAATCTTCCAAGCCTGTGTCTACTTGTTGGGCCCCAAGACCAACTTTGGTCAATCGGAACAGAATCCTGGATTTTGGCTTATTTTGTTGCTGGCCTCCAAAAAGAACGGCGCCCGGCTCTTGTGGGAAAATCCCATTAAGGATCCAGCCTTTTCCAAAAACCCGGGCACGTTGAGGGATCAAAATGGAAATTACATTTTGGATGCCACTGGAAATCCAAAACTGTGGCATCAAAAAATGTTGAATCAGGGGGACTTTACCATGTGGCGCCGTTTCTTCATGTCCTACTTGGTCAATGGTGTAGCATTCCACATCTTGGTCCATGCGTTGCCCATCCAAGTGGCCTCCCAATCGTCCTTTACCGGAGTGGTCTTTCGGGCCGTAGGTATGTTGTACCTGGTCGATTTGGACGATTCCAAGGGGTTCCGATTGATCATTACCGAAAAGGACGAGGAAAATGAACCAAATAAGAAGCCAGAGGGTGAAGGTCCCATCGAGCCAAGCGAGAAGAAGGATGACGATGAAGAGGAAATGAGACCACCAGGAAAGCATACTCCCATGAAAGTTGATTCCACCGGAGCCGTTACTCCATTTCAGCCACTGGAGGAAAACCAACAAGCACAAGTCGACGAAAACGCCATGGCAGCCCAAGCTAACGAAATCTTGGAAGAAGCCCAGACCAAATTGGAGATGTTGCGTCAGAATGGACCATCTTCCTCCAATTTGGCGGCTGTTGGAGGTGGTCTTGGAAGAGAATCCCGACTCACCAGTGCCCGCATGAACCGACCATCCCGCCCCATTGATGTCAGCACTCGTCTCAACATTGGATTTGGTTGCACCGCCCCCACGGCAGGTGGTGGTCTTACCGGTACTGGGATTGGTCAAGTAGGCAAGAAGAATACAGGACAAGCTGCTCTTTTACAAGCCAGTGAAGGACTTGGCCCCGGTGGTGCTGGTGGTCCTAGTGGAGGAACTCCCACCAATGATGGTGGAGGAGGAGCGGCAGCTGCCGCGCCTGCTCCAGCAGCGGATGCTGGTGGAGATGGCGGTGGTGGCGGAGGAGGTGGAGAGTAAACCATCCACGTCCACCCTTCGTGTAGCAATCCATGAATAAATGAAGTAGATCTTAGTAATAAATCTATATCCATATACCTGTATATATCATAATATAGTCGAAGACAATAATTTCCGTCGTCCTCCTGACATTGGCTTTGGCCCAGGTGGTCCTAGTAGTAGTCCAAGGGAGTTGCGAGGGTTGCGTGTGCTGCCTGCCTGGGGGAGCTCGAGTCGTTAAAACTGGAGGTGGAATTTTGAATGTTTTAGTAATATAGTTATTTATTAATAATATGTAGCAACATCATAGTGGCTACCTGGTACTGTATGATAATCGGCAAAGTTTAGGTAGCATGAACTACCGGTATCGATGAACAGATGGCATGCGAAAACAATCGTCCTTCGACTCGTGAATGGTTTAATCCCGAGCAGAAGACTTCGACCTTCGACAATATATACTGTATATCATCACGACGAGAACGATGAACAACATAATCTTTGAGCGTGTAAGTAAATATATACCTGGCATTATTATTGTAGCAGGTATTCTTGATTCCAATCGGATGTCCACCAGTACAGTACGAACCAAGGTTTCTGATTAATTCATGCATTGCCACAGAGCACCTGTGTACGGTAGTACCGGTGGCTGTAAGAAGGATCTGATCAACATACACTACAACTCTACTGCTCTAGTACAAGATCGGAAGGGGATGCTCCTACTATGAGAATATAATATAATAGATACGACTAAAACTGATCCGAAAGATGACAATGTATCAGCAGCATTGGTGCCGGTACCGGTAGGATTTCAATCGCTGGATTGCCCCAAAGCCTTTTTATAGTTACCATGCATGTAATCCATTCGGTTGTGGTAATAATGGCTATACACAACCACCATGCAATAAAAGATAAAAATTGCTATAGTAAAATGAAAATACATTCATGTATTGTGTGTAATGAACGATGTCAATAGTACAATGTATATAATAATCTATTCTTCAGAACTGCTGTGTGCCGTATAGTAGTACCCCGCAAAAATATTAACAAATAATGCCCAAATGTATATGTACAGTTAGCCCTGTTGTTGTTGTTGTTCTTGCTCTTGCTTACCCCTGGTTCTGGTTCTTCTTTTTCCGAAACTCCCGCAGCAATTGTCCAATCTTCTTTTCAATGACTTTTGGTTCCGCCTCGACCCATTCTCGGTTTTGATTTCGTTCATAGAATCGAGTTCCTTGCTGACGCAAAGCGTTGGTCAAGGCCTTGGTCACTTTGCCTCGTTGGTTTCGTGGAGCCGTGTCATAAGCATGATGATATTCCTGTAGATATTCTCGGCATCGAATATTACCAGGATGATCTTGAATCCCACGGCCTCGTCCAAAAAAGACATCATGGTCGGGTCGATGTTGTCCTCCTCCTCCTTTTTGCTGCTGTTGCTCAGTAATGGTAGCAGGAGTATTTTGAGAAGAGGAGGACGATGACGCAATTGATATTTGGTGGAGAACGTCATTGTTGATTCGACCACCAGAAGCAGAAGCTGCATAGGTGTACTTGGCGACCGTGGCAGCTGGTGGTGGATCCAGAACCACTGCAACGTCTGTAGCAACAGTACATATTTCGTCTTCCTCGGATGTGATTGAATAATCATCACGATCGTCTTCGTCATCATCGTCTTCTAGTTGCACCATGGTACAATTGAAGGAATCGATATAGGACGGTTCATTGGCCATGTGCAAATGAAGCCAGACGTTTAAGACATTGCGACGAATCTTGCCTTGAGAATCGACTGGAAAGGTCCCCGCATGGGGAAACCCATACTGTTGAATAAGGCGGTATTGGATTTCCCAATCGCTTCCGTGATGCATCGTGGTCCTTGCCCGGCTGTAGAGTGGAATGGACCTCAAGTAAGCACCAAGCACCAAGTTCTTGATAGAAGCGTCTCTCTTGGCAGCAGCAGATTCGGGAAAGCACAAGTGAATGGCCGAGTATCGAATGGGCATGGTTGCAAAAAAGGCCATGCTTTTGTGAATGAAATCAAAGCTTGGCTTGTTGGAAGAAGCTGCATCTGGCTGGGCGGTATCGTAATGAACGGCTACCAATCCTTTGGATTGAACGACAGCCATGTTGCTTAGAATATTGAACCAAACATAGTAGTTGACTCGATTCTGTAGAGTGTTGTATCGTGAAAGGGAGAAGGAATAGATAAACAGTTAGTTAGAGCGGGCAACGGTTATAAAATATCATGATACGTATGATATGTTTGATTGACTTCACATGACTTGACTTACCACCATGCCCACGCTCGGACAAGAAGAGGTCCCACGAACTCCCACACCACCACCACCAAGGGCAGCAGGAAAGGAATAGTGGATGACTCGGCCCTTTTGGTCTCGGCCACCTTGAATGTGATAGCGATCCGAAATCATGAGGTCCAATTCTTCAGGACTGAGATCGTCCAGGGTAATCTCTCTGGCCACCTTGTCTTGTCCAAAGTGCACCGCCTTTTCTTGTAGAAAGCAAGTCATTTGATGAACGGCTTTTGGAACATTGTGCCGGTTAGCCCTCAAAAATTTCAAACGAAACGTTGGATCTTGGACGTAGGACCGATTCTGCACCAAGGCAATGTCGTAAATGGGAAAGTTTCCTTGTTGAATCTGTAGCTCAAACCTGCGTAACGAGTCTTGAATCATGACTGGATTCTCGTTTAGATCACAGCTGCTGCTGTTGCTGAGGTTAGTATCTTCTTGCTTTTTATCAGCAGCAGCACTCTGACAGTAGAGATCACTGAGGGCTTTGGTTTGTTCTTCGACAGACAGTTTGCAGAATTCAGAGGCCACAAAGTCTTCGAGTGGCTTCATGTCATTATTCTTGTTGCCGTTGCTTCGTCCATGCTGTGGACCCGCCAAGGGGATATCATCGTTCGCAACGACGTATTTGGCCAGTGAGGGTGTTGCCACGGATGATGATGGATGAAACAAGGCACCATGATCACGATGTGTAACGGCAACATTGTTGTGGCTGTATGGAAAGGATTCCATTCTATCTTGTATCAATGTCAATTCTGTATCTTTTGATATATGTGAGATCAGGTGTAAAGCTGATGCTGATGCTGATGAATTGCTGAATTATGGAGGAAACAGTGGCACAAAGTGTGTCGTATACTTTCCATTACACTTTCTTCCTGCGATTGGTCGTCCCAATTTTCCAACTCGTATCAAAAACTTGTTCTGATCAAGACGTGATGTGAGACGTGTGAATAGCTAGCGTTCTGGCTGCTTATGTTTTGATGGGACCTTTTTATTCCCCTTCGTTCCCCATTGTTCCCCACTATTTAACCCCATGGGAGCTGTGAATTGTTCGACCTTCTGATCAGGATCTTTGTGCGTCGCCAGGGGATACGATGTTTCGACTTGTTGAGGTTGAGTTCCCATCACGCACAGCAGACAGCAGTCCATGTGCCAGGGTCGTGTAACATACGAAACAGTCAAATACGTACTTGCGCACTGGTGGGTTCTAATAAACGGGGGATTGGACCGACGCGTCCACGTCGACAGGTGTACGTACTTCAAAGATGGATTGATTTCATAATTTCCATACGCATTTTACAGTAATACTTCCAAGATGGATTCAAATCTTATTTCCGAAATCTTCGCAAACAGATGGCAATAATAAGAACCCACGAACTTGTTCGGAGGATTTTTAAAGATTCATTCTTTCATTCTCATCGAACACTTTATTTTACAATATTCAAAATACAATAGTGGTAGTCAAAGTATGCCATACAACTATTTTTTGTTTTTTTCAATCAACCAATAGAATCGCATGGTTTTCATGAGAACTTTGAATACCCCATTTTTGGGTCATTTTGATGACACGATACGAATGTACAGGACTACGATGTTTCGCGTAAAAACTTTTCACTAGATATTTTCCTAAGTGCTTCCCGACGCATCGCTCCACTTGATTTCTGTGGCAATGTTGTATGTAGAAGACTTGTCAACAGCATTGATATGTTTCAACAACGTAATGTTGATGTCAGAAGCGATGTGGTGGGAATTGGAGCTTCCAACAGGGAGATCAGATATGGAATAGAAATAGCACGACCAAACCTCGTGATTTGACTTTCGGCTAGGTATACTTCGAGAATTAGTGCAGACGTAAAATAGAAATGTGATGACCCAACTATTCGTGTGATTTATTTTGGGCTGCGTTTATTCAAAAAGAAGCGCTCTCGCACCATATATCCATAATATCAAAACATAAAAAATACTTGTGTTGTGTCCCGAAAAAAATAAAATCGTATCGTGCCCCAAATGGACACTTTTAAATTTTAGTTGTGGACACGATACGACTATTTTTTGTTTTTCTCAGCCAATCACAGCCTCCCAAAACTCAAAAAATAGTCGTATCGCGTACTTTGACTACCACTAATATTAATGTCACCGGAAACGAAACGAACCGAACCGAACCGAACGATGAATGTTTACCTACCTACCTACCTGCCTACCTACCTGCCTACCTACCTGCCTACCTACCTACCTACTCTAAGTTGAGAAGAAGTTTAGTTCGATTGTCGTCCATGGGAGCAATATTATTATGTGCTACTGTATCTTGAGAAGAAGTTTAGTTGGAAACTTTCAATTGCCCACACGGGATCAATCGAACAACTGGCTTGGAAAGCAGCAGAACGCAATCATCCAAGCTTGAGGAGGATCTTCTTCTTCTTTTGAAGGAAGTATTGCCCATGGGATCAATACCTGTTCCTACAATAGATACTACATAGGTAGGGGTAGTGTATCCGACTGCTCGTAGCTACTGTAGTCGGATCACATGCAGGGATTGGAAGATAATTCATTCTTATTCATTCATTCAATTGGAATTCCAATAGTGCAGTAGTCCTACTACGGTATACGATGCGTATTATAATTTACTACAGTGGCTGACCGGCCGTAATAGTTGCAGCTGAAAACAGGCTGCCAATGTCATCCAAGATAGTCGATGTGTATTTCAACAAAATCAATCAATCAATCAGTCACCCTCACTCTTCTGGCGATGCCTTGCTTTCTCGTGCTGAAACCAAACTAAACTTGCTATTGTTGGCTATTTCCTTGGTTCGGGGTACTACGGAAATCCCACAAAGAGTGCGAACAATTTCCACCACAATGGTAGCGTCGGGATTGTCCAGCGAGACCGTATATCTATCTTTTGGGTACGCCTCGTTATCCAATATGCTTCCGGCAATCATGTCAATGATTTCTGGTCTCTTGACATTGTTACAGATTCGTTTCTGAAAGGAAACGGCAAAGGTTTTGTATTCTGGACAAGGAAAAAAGTACTTTTGTAAAAGTGCTTCCGCTGTGGCTTGGATTTCAACGTTGGAGGCAAAGCACGTGGCTTGCATGGGAATCATTCGTGTAACAAATCTATTATAAACACGGCATAGAAAATTCAGAACAAGTTCAGGATACTGGATAGTATATTTCGTAATCATCACCAATTCCAACAGAATGGCAATACTTGCTTACCTTGAACTTGGGGCGGATGTCACGTTGCTTTCAACATCTGCCAATACCTTGCAAACTACTGGGACGGGATCCCATGGTTTGGAGTTGCTGCCTTCTTGGTTGTCATCGTTCTTGCCAGTCGCATCATTTGCTGGTGTCGACTTGGCAGCGGCAGCAGCAGCAGAAGCAGTGTTGTCATCTTTGTTGTAATCCCCCGTTCGCTGCTTCTTTGATGTCCCCTGACTTTCTGTTGAATCGTCGTCGATCTTCTTCTTCTTTTTCTTCTCATCATTATTGTCCCCTTCGTCAGAATCAACAACTATCGGCGGTATCAACTGACATCCTTCGGCTGAACACATTAGAAAGACACTTCCCTTGCTTCCAGTCTCATACTGCGTAAAATGAGAGGAGGAGGAGGCTTTCGTTGATCGGAGGGCTTTCAATTCTTCTTCGAGACTGAGTGATGGCGATGCTGACGATGCATTATCATCCCCCTGTTTGGTCGAATCAGCACCATCAGTCCTTGCCTCCTCCTCTGGAATGTTGGCATCGCCATTATTCTTATCATCAAAACCATGATGAAAGTAGTGTTGCAAGATTGCCATGCCTTCTCTTCGACATTTGACTTCTCGAAAGGTCTCACAGGTGAGCAAGACACCAGGACCGCCACGTCTAGGATTGCGGTGATGTTTCTTGTGGCGGAAATTGTCTTGGTACCTTCGTTTGTTCTTGTTCTGGTTGCTATTATTATTGTTATTGCCACTCATGATAAGCGTGGCTTGTGTAGAATGGTATGGCACTTGCAGTAATGAATACTGTAGATATAAAAAGATGTGCGGTACGCATTTTGATGGTGGATGGAAATTTGAGTTCGACCGTCGGTCAGACGCGGGTTCTGAGCCTTAGGCCTACAGTAGTACCTGACAAAAGGAACGATATACAGTATTATTACTCTACCAATATATATGATGGTTTTGTCGTTTGTCTATTGATTCAGCACGCATTGATCGATCACGCCATTAGCTGCTTCTCATATGTATACTTGTTATTCTACCATATCTCCGTTTCATTCTTGCACCAGGTAGAGCGCAGCCAGCAGTGATGAAACGAGGTGCTGCTTTCAGAGCTCATATCTTGCTGTTCCCGTCCTAAATCTGTTACAGTAGGGCGCCGCGGAAGAACTCCTCCAGTGAAACTAGCCTGTTAGGATTTATTTGGAGGTCCTACCAAATTGGTTGCTAGTAGTACTGCAGTATAGAAGAATGATGATGGAAGTCAAAGTGAAATTGCTGCTAGAATGCCATAAACGCAGATCTAGCATTTGAAGGAAAATTTGTGTTCTAGTAGTTTCAAAATTTGTATCGGAATTGTAATAGGTATGTTTGTTGGAACTGCTTTCGATGCACCGCAACGAGTCACGCGACCAACGCTAAGGATGTTCGATGAAGGCCACTTGGCCTTTCTGCTTGTTCCATTCTTCTTTGCTCAAAACCTGGGACACCAGAGTCTTTCGACTTGAAGGAGAATGTAGCCACAGTCGCATTGAGACAGTCCTCGTTTTCATTCATGAAGTAGATGTCTTCGGCAATATCTTCATCACGTTTGCCAACGACTTGGGCCCACAGCTGACAGCTGGAAGTGGTGCTGCTGTAGGCATCTGCAATGGCTTGATCGTCGACTTTGTTTTCAATCCATTGCTTGGATTGTTCCATTAGAACTGCTGCGCGAGCACATGCTCTATTCTGGTTTTTGCTTATGGATGCAAGCGCCGTGTGACCCTCGAGGCCTCTCGTGCAATACTTCTTGCCTCTGTTGGAAATGTCACTTTCCATTCTCCTCAGTAGCTTAAGGCACCGGTCGGTGATGCGATCCATGTCTTCTTGGTTGTACCACGAAGCCGAAATCTCACTGGGCGTGTAGTCTTCGATGTTCATGATCTGAATACCTGTGACATTAGAGCTGAAGGTAACGCCCTTCTTGGATACGGTTGTCATTTCAAAGTTTTACGTTGCTTTCAAAATAAGTGGGTGAGAGTAGAATTGGGAGTTGAAGTTGGTTTTAGAGTGAGGAGGAGGTGGACAACTCTGTCGTGAAAATGTTCAAGTTCAACATGATTGAGGAACAAATTCAAAAAATACGAAAAAGGTATTATTATAATGTCTTTTTGGTTTTGCCGTAGTGAACCTTACTCTTGAGCGATTGCCAGAAATTGGCTGTGACTGGAAAGTAGAGTGCAATTATTCGTGCCATAAACGAACTTCAAACTATTATTCAATATTGTTCATTGACACTTTTCCCATTATTTGATGCCGAGATGAGACCATTTTGTTGGTACCGGGAACATATATATCGCTATTATTTGTCCGACTGGAAAGATACCTCCTCTTGAAGAAAGTGACCAAGAGGAAAAGCGGTATTGGACCAACAAGAAGAACAGCTGGCTAATTCGTGCTGTTATACAGATACGACCATAGCGTAGCAGGTTTTCGTAGGGGAAGGACAAATGGATGATGTATGATCACACCACGTTCCGAAAGATGAAACCGCGTTTGTCATTCTGGTTTTCTATTCTGATTCAGAAAATACCAGGTACTAGTAACCTCTAAAGGACACCAGCCGAATCGATGGTGCGGCTCTGGGTGAATCTTTAGGGGAAACAGCTAGCACAAATGTACTATAGTGTCTGATGGTACAAACTCGTTCTTCCTATTGAGTTTCGATCCGCCACAGTGAATTGATTGAGTATATTTGAGTGATGTACCATCTATAGAACATGCTCTCCTTTCTTACTAGGTGATACGGTGCCATCTGCATCTTTCCCAATATATTTTTCTTTGAATTATTTTATGTTACTGGGCAGTCCAATCAGTCTCGTTACGGTTGCACTGTGGTGGGTCTTCAAAGGGTTGGTTGCTGCATTGTCACGCAATGAGCCAATCCCCCATCAAGGTATAACTCTGTGAAATCAATGGGAACAACTGTCTTGTCTGGATACAAACCTTGAATAATGTCAATCGCCTTTTGATCATTGGCATCTTGAAAGATTGGAAAGACAATGGCATTGTTGCCCGCGTAATAGTTTATGTATAATCCATGTTCTCCAATGCTAGGAATCTCTTTGGCAGTTAGCGGCAAATGGACAATCTTGTAAGGTTTACCATCCGCGTCGGTTGCTCGAGTCAAGATATCGTACTCGGTTGGAACAATGAAATCTTGCTTTTCGAGAGTCACGATGGTGTCGCCATTAGCAAATCGTGCAGTTCCATCTGAAAACATCGTCGAAATGGGGTATCACACATTACTTAGCGAGGGATATGCTCAATCTTGCTTTCAGCAGGAAAAAGGTGCGGACAAAGAGAGACAAGCAAGCTTCTTACCAATATGATCGTCCGTGATTTCCAATCCAGCCGTACCATCCAACCAGATAAAGTTGGTGACACCGAGATAGCGACGAAAGTACGCCTCCACCTCTGCTTGAGTTGCTCCTGGATTGCGGTTGTCGTTCAAAATGGAGGATCGCTTGGCCATTAGTGTGCCACGGCCATCCACTTCAATGGAACCTCCTTCATTGACCATGGGAATGCTGGTCACGGGAAGGTACAGTTCCCATGAGACATCTCGAGGGATGTAATCATCGTACCACCAATCTGCCTTGCCTCCCTGAACGAATGAATATAGATAATGCAAGCAAACAAGGTTGGAGTCAGGCAAATGCTGTGCAATGTGTGTGATCCGAGCCCACTAGCCTTCTTGACTTGACCCGACTCACCCATCCATTGAACTTCCAATTTTCAACAATCATGTTCCCTTGTTGGTCTTGCACAAAGATTGGACCATTATCTCGAATCCAAACATCATCGGTGGGGTAGGTGTAGAACTGGATCTGAGACATGTCTAGCCCATTGTTCTCCAAGACGTTGCGGACTCGTCTCTTTTGTCTCCAGTTGTAGACAATGATTCTAACCTTTTCTCCAGTATGAAGGGCCCGTGTCATCTCCACCCAGATATCTTCGTATCGCTGAATATGTCGTGGATCCCAACCGTAGTTATGAGGCCACTGCAACCAAGTTGCTTCGTGCTTGACGTCTTCGGAAGGCAAGACAAACACATTGTTGGGATCGCTGATGCGTGTCATCTCACCCAAGTTTTGAGACTTCGCGATACGAAACATCCAACCAGTAATCAAAGCACAGGGTAGTAAACTCTTCATGGTGTCGATTTTCTGAAGAACTTTCTGGTTTCCTCGTCAATTGTTTGAATTTGTGAGTTTTGGATTTGGGTTTGTGCCCGAATGTGCAGCAATTTCGAAATTCGGAGAAACCGATTCGCCAAGATCAAGTATTTATTGAATTTTATTTCAAAGGACACGCGTGACATCGGTTTGGCGAAGCAAGTTTCGCACAAGATATCGATGTTTCCGCATGTTGGCTTCCGAGTTTCCCATCGGTCCGAGTTGAAGAATGCAAACAATGGAAATAAGTTGTCAAAGCCAGCACCAATGAGATCAAAAGTCGCAGCGTCAGGCGCAGTCGTAGCCCGACTACAAAAACCCCATTTCTATGCGGCAGTAGTTGAAGAAGGACGATATGCAAAGAAACTTTCGACCTGCAATGGGTTCATGGCTACGATGTTGTGAACCTGCGGGCGGATAATATCCAGGTTGGAAAATATTTACCAGCAGCCGTGTAGTTGTTTTTGGCGATAGAGTGAGTCAGTCGTTGTGGTCTCTCTTGAGGATGGCATGGAGACATAACCAGCCAGAAGCCGGTCCCAAATAGTAAGGAATAAGACTATGAGTAGGTTTATATACTATTATTTTCTTTGGTTTGAATTTCATGTACCACACTATACGCAGTCACACTGTATCCAAATGTGTATCTCGCTCTAATAGAAAAACTTTGATTCGACTAGAGCGACTAACATGTCAAAGTGACCCAAACTGTGTCTGCAATGCCTTTTATGTTATCTCTTTTCCGACATGCCGACTCAATCCACCAATCGTGGATTTTCTATTAAATCAATGGATGAACGAATGAAGAAGTCCTTTGTCCATATTATCAATCATTAGAAGATCCAACTGCATAGTTATTACACAACCCATCCATCCATTCCCATTCTTACAACCTATGAGGGACATCCAGGTACTTTCTCCATAGTGAATCAGTCACATTACGGTTGCACTGTGGTTGGTGGGTCTTCAAAGGGTTGGTTGCTGCATTGTCACACAATGAGCCAATCCTCCATCGAGGTACAACTCTGTGAAATCAATGAGAACAACTGTCTTGTCTGGCTACAAACCTTGAATAATGTCAATCGCCTTTTGATCATTGGCATCTTGAAAGATTGGAATTGCCCGCGTAGTAGTTTATGTATAATCCATGTTCTCCAATGCTAGGAATCTCTTTGGCAGTTAGCGGCAAATGGACAATCTTGTAAGGTTTACCATCCGCGTTGGTTGCTCGAGTCAAGATATCGTACTCGGTTGGAACAATGAAATCTTGCTTTTTGAGAGTCACGATGGTGTCGCCATTGGCGAATCGTGCAGTTCCATCTGAAAACATGCATTGTCAAAGTGGGGTATCACACAATCTATTTAGCGAAGGATGCATGCTCAATCTTGCCTTTCAGCAGGAAAAAGGTGCAGACAAAAGGGAGACAATAAGCAAGCTTCTCACCAATATGATCGTCCGTGATATCCAATCCAGCCGTACCATCCAACCAGATAAAATTGTTGACACCAAGATAGCGACGAAAGTACGCTTCCACCTCCGCTTGAGTTGCTCCTGGATTGTGGTTGTCGTTCAAAATGGAGGATCGCTTGGCCATTAGTGTACCACGGCCATCCACTTCAATGGAGAATGTTACCTTCATCTTGGGCCATGCATAACGCATGACTTCACATCCACCTCCTATTATGCCCAGGGTTTCCAGTCCTACCAAAGTTGTTGCAGCTACCTTACAAATTTCTACTCCCACCGTTGCTACACTTGCCATGACTCCATCTGTACGAGTTTGCTCACCTTCCAATTAAACAAAAATACAATCAGAACAGTCTGCTATAACGGATTAAATTGATATTGCTCTCACAAGTGTGGTGGTGGTGATGTTAGTCACATTTTGTGAGTGTGGTTGTTTAAACGTGACGTTACTCGTTTGATAGTCGGCACTATTGCATGAACGGCCCCGTTTCCCTGCCTTTCCTGCGTTGATTTGCTCATAATGTCCTTACAGATCTCTCTAATTATAGACACTATGCACGCCATACATCAACACTCCGCTGTTTAACCCCTTATGTACTACACAGTCCTTCACTGTTATAAGCTTCCTCCGTGTTTGGTTTCTGTCCCCAACCTGGCGATATCGATTTTCCCCACCACAACGTAGCTACATTGTATGCGGTGCCACAAACCAACCCTGTGAGTATGCCTTCTGGTGTAGCTTCAGCAGCCGTTGTGATAGCGTCGTACGATAACTGCACGAAACCTACGCTCGCTGTGACGATGGCCTGGGCTGGTCCAAAGTCCGACATAGGCCCATTCCTGATAATAGTCCCTATATTGTCTGCTAATGTTGCTTTCCCGACTGTCACAGCACACGCTACTAGGAAACCCACTGCCCCGGTCTGTAATTCTCGGTCTGTGAGCCTGCGTGTAATGATATTACCATCTTGATCGTATGAGTAGCTTGTACCATCTCCACCACCGCACACTGCGCTGTTGTATGCGTCTGCCACGTAGCTAGGCTTCGAAGCGTACGCACAACGGTCTTCGTTAAACTCTGGCGACAACCCGCTACAATCAAACGATAAGAGCGTGTAAGTCCCGTAGTCTCCCGGCAGCATCGTTCTAAACACACCGTTGTAGTCGCCATACGCGTCATATTCCACTATTTCTGCGCCTTTATGAGTCGCGCCACGTTTGCTAACGTAACGATGGTCCGAATAGAGCGTCTTCGAACACTCGGCGAAGACGTCCATGGTGACATACCGCCACATTTCTACAGGGCTGGTTAGCCTCTGAACCATAACGTAGTGATCCACCTCAGCTGTGTCTTGGATTATATACGCTCCTACTGTCGCAGTACATGTAGTATTCGCGGTCGCTCTGTATTCGACGTTGCCTGAGTCAGAGCCACCATAGATAGTCCGCGTTAAAGCTGATGTTGCCGGTTGCACTGCCAAACTGTAGCCGCGCACTTGAATGCGGAACTTAATATCTTTTCTTAAGCCGGCCGGAAAATTAATCTTTACGAAACCTTCCAGGTTCCCCGACCCTGGCGACAGCACGGTCTGGCCATTCAGTGCCCGACCTTCTGTTTTCTCGCTGTTTTTGCTTTTTAGCAGCTTGCCTGTTACTGGATCACGTTCTTCGCCTGCTACCCTACTCCGCTGCAACTTTATCTCGTAATTACACTGCTTTCCGCTTAAAAGTAGTGCCGTTGACTGCGCCTCGCCTACGTGTTGCACCACCACGTCTAGATTCGAAATCGCGCAATCATCGGCACGGTATCGGACAATAGTTTTATTATAGTCGTCAATCAGCTCCAACTCATCACCAGCCTCCATGTAAACTTTGTCGCGTTTGCCTAACGCACCTTGTTTTACACGGACCTTCTTCCTCATGCCGCACGTATCCTGCTCACATCCGTAAAAGTCCCCTTCTGTGCGCAATGCTACGCCGTCAATGCCAACCCTTGCGTTCACACCAATCATCCCAATAACAAAACATGCTAACGTAAAACGCATATTAGCAGTGCACTTATTTGTCGTAGCGTGTTGTACAATTCGCGTGAGTCGCCTCTTGTCTTTGTTTTGCTGCTATTTTTGGTTTCTGCAAGTAGGCCCATCGTGCGAGCAAGCCCGATTATCGTTTGTTCCTGTGACACGTGCCATCAATGACAATGGCCTTTGGTTCATGAACGATCGGTGGATGAAGTCCATGGATGACTGCTGGCGCGAGGTGTGCCGGCGATTTACTTGTAGCTCCACTCCTCGGCTGGTTAATATAGTGTCTCTCTTATTGAGGATGATGGAGGCATAACCAGCCAGAAGCCGGTCCCAAACAGTAAGGAATAAGACAATGAGTATAGGCTTATATACTACTATTTTCTTTGGTTTGAATTTCATGTACCACACTACAGTCACATTACTGCGATGGGCAAACAGTATATCCAAATGTCATGGAAGAGAGATGCTGCAATAAACTGTGATTCGACTAGAGCGACTAACATGCATGTCAAATAGTGACCCAAACTGTGTCTGCAAAATATCCACAAAAAAGATGCAATCGTGGATTTTTAAAAATCAAAGACGTAGTCCATGGTCCATATTATCAATCATTAGAAGATCCGACAACCCATCTGTATCCATCCACTCTAACCTTACAACACCTTCCATTGCCAACAAATGAGGGACGTTCAGGTACTTTCTCCTACCGTTCATCAAATAGACGGTAAAAACGATCATGTGACCTACGACGTCCAATCCCAACAGGAGGGTCATACTTCGTTAAGATATTCAGACTTTCAGTGGCTTTACAATCGGATTCAGATAGAAGTTCCTGGCGTCTTCGTTCCTGTCATTCCCCATAAGCGAACGGCGTTGATGGGCGAAGGACAGTTCAGTGCCGAATTTTTGGAAGAGCGTCGTCGCAATTTAGAAATCTTTCTCACAGGGGTCCTGAAAGTTCCGAAAATTTTGACCAAGTGCCCATCGCTTGAGGTATTTCTGAAGGACACCGGAGATTACTGTTATTGGGAAGCTCACAAGAAGAAAGTGGAGGCTGAAAATCCAGACATTGCGAATACCATTTCCATCCCATCGGGAACTGTGGAAATGAACGATGCTACCATTGCGGACGCCAAGAAAGGACTTGGGAATCTTATGGCCAAGGCCAAGACGGTCACTCAGACCAAATTTGGTAATGCAGAACTTCAGGAATCCAAACGAGAGAATGAGTACAGGTCGGTCAAGCTATACTTTGAACGAATGGAACATGAGATGAAAGAAGTCAAGGATCAAGTCACGAAATCCTTGAAGCCGCCGCCGGACAATCCAAATGCCGAAGTCAAAATGGTAGCAGAAAAGCAGGCGCTGCTTCACTCACTCGAACACGCAGCTTCGAATATCAGCACTTGTAAGGGAGCCTTTAAGCGCCGAAAAAAGCTGCAGGTAGAATACACTACGAAACACAATCAACTGGAGCAGTACAAGAAGGATCAGGCCAAACCACAGAAACAGTCGTTCGGGTTTTCAAAGAAGGTAAAGGATCCAGCAAAGGTGGCAGCCAAACTTGCCGAATTAGAAAAGTCAGCTGTTGCCCTGCACGGACAGTTCGAAAATGCAACAAAGCGCATCTTGTTTGAGGCTTGCCGTACGAAAAACGGGATTGACGCTAGAATGAAGGCTTGTCTACAGGAACATGCATCCATCCAAAAGAAAAGCGGCGACCCGGTGTCGGAAGTCAAATCATTGCCACAATTTCCTGATCTGGGTGCCGAATACAATGTCATTCCAGCTCCTCCCAGCAACGCAGCTACTCCATCCCCAGGCGATAGGGGAAACAGATCTCCGAAACGGGCAGGGCGTGACAAGTCACAAGATCGTACTACCGGGCGTGGCAAGTCAAAAGATCGTACTACTGGACGCAGCAAGTCGCCGACTCGTGCCACTCCCGTCGGCACAACAAAAAAGACTGCGACACCAGTCAATGCAACAAAGAAGACAGCATCATCTCCTGTATGTGGACGGGGCAAGTCGCCTATTCGTGCCACCCCCGTCAATGGAACAAGAAAGACAGCATCATCTCCTGTTCGTGCCACCAAAAAGACAAGCAAACCGATTCGTGCCACAGCAACTTCTTCCAGTGCTCAGCCAACCCTTACTCTTCCCGATGCTAATACAAACATTGGAGACTGGTTCAAGAGTAACGCACCAATGATGAAAGCGCACATAATGCAGACCACTCCCATTGTTGGTACTGCTAGTGTTGGTTTTAATGGTGGTAGTCCATATGGAAATCCTGGCCAACAGCCAGAAGGACCACCACCGGACTTTTCTCATTTTACCACGCCCTTCAAGGATTTGTATCCCAATGCGGACCCAGCTCGCTGGAAGTTGGTCGAAATGAGATTCAAAGGAAAGGCTAAGTACCACGTCAAGGGACTCCAAAAGAAATATGATGGACCCATCCTTGAGGCCATTGAACATTTCAAGCCCCAGCCGCAACGATTTGTGGCAATCATGTATCAGATTGACATGTTGGAAGAATGGGATCCCAGAGAACACAAGTATACTATACTTCATCGCAAGGACACTGTGGATTGGAAACCTCTTGGACCCGAACCCGATGGTAATTTAATGTGTCTAATGCATACTTATGAAAGGTGCAGACCTTTGGCAAGCTTCCCTATGGAATTACGCGACAAGTGGACGGACAAAATGACCTACAAAGGCCGCCCAGTTCATGGCCGATCGATCCAACCAGTCATGCCTGGACGTGGTATGGGCTGTGTGGACTTGCCAAATCTCAAAGTCATGGCCAAAGTCAATCCTGGCGACATTCAGCAAGGATCGGTGGGTGACTGTTGGTTGCTTTCAGGTATTTCAGCAGTGGCGGAATTTGAAGGTGCCATTGAACGGCTCTTTCGTAAGAATCGAAATCTTCGTAATATGCCAACTGACGAACCAAATGTTTATACTGTGACCTTGTGGGACTTGCGAACATGGTCTGAAGTGGATATTGTGATTGATGAACGGCTGTGCGCGAATCCCGACGGAAAGAAGATGCTTTTGGGTGCCAGACCATCCAAGGATGGCCAGTTGTGGGTCCCATACCTTGAGAAAGCAATTGCAGCCCTTTGCGGCGGTTATGATAAGATTGAAGGAGGACAGTGTACTCATGGTGAGTTGAATATCTTGTTGTTTTGCGTTAGACTTAATTTTGGTTGGATCCGTTTCTCACATAATTTCTTTTACTTTTCAGCTTGGCCCATTCTGACGGGTGTCAAGGGGCAGTACACTATTCAGACCAAGAATGGTTCCGAGAAGTTCGGCTGTTTTGGAAGATTCAACAGTCACCGAAACGCATGGGCCGATCATGAAAATTCCCCGCAAGGTATGTTTTGGGACGATTCAAACACTCCATATCATTTGCAACACTGTCTCATCCTTGACTATCTTCCTTCGAATTCTTTTTAGACGGAGAGCAGACAATTTGGCGTACAAAGTGGCCATTGGGCGATGACAGCGATGCAGACATTAGCACGAGTGAACTATTCCACAAGATGAGTACTTGGAGCGCTGCCAACTTTTTGATGGGAGCTGGTACAAAGGGCGAATCCGATTCGAATACCACCAATGGACTGGTGGATGATCATGCCTATTCTATTGTGAAGTGTCTGCGTCACGTGGCAGGAACTAAGGTGAATATGGTACAAGTTCGCAATCCTTGGGGCAAGGGCGAAATCGAAGATGGTGAATTCGGCGACAATGCTCCCGGATGGCAAAAATATCCAGCAATTAAGGACTTGCTAAAGCCAAGGGTTTCGAACGATGGGCTCTTTTGGCTGACGGAAAGAGAGTTCTTCAAATTCTTTGAGCGTGTATTTTTGTGTGCCGCAGATATGAAACAATTCTGCCAGCAGTAGTAGATCCTGTTATGATATTTAGTTTGATATTACCACATAACATTCGTAAATATTATTAATATGCTATGTTTTCCTATATAGAGTACAACTACGAGTCTAGCAAATGACGCAAGATGAACCATTTCGGTTTTTCAAGACATCCTTCAGTTCTTGTTCCACGGAGTCGTACGATTTGGCAAACTGAGTTCTATCTGGTAGTGCATTGAATCCATGCTCATGGACCATTCTATTTCGGATGGTGACAAGACGTCTCATCTTCCGCACTGTGTCGTTGGACAGTCCTGCCGTCTGTTCTGCATGGGTAATCTTGTCGTGCAAGCCGACAGTCTTCCCATTAGGGGCACCAAACTGAGTTTCCAAAAGGTGTTCCAGATCCTTTGTTGCGCGAATGACCAGCTCAAAGTCATTCTTATATTGCAGATAAGAATTGGTGGAGAAAACTGTACCCATTTGGAATGGTTTATGGTGGCAAATAATAAAATAGAATAGGTCTGTGTGAAATTGGAAATGCGGCGCATCTGTGATGCGGCACATCAGAAAATTGCGTACAGTAAGGGTACCCTTTCAAGAGAGTATTGTGCGATAGCGCAAAATGTCTCTCAAGGCGGTTCCCCTCTTATTAAAGGGGGTCTGGGGGCTTATCCCCCAGTGCATTGGGGGTCTGGGGGGTAGCCCCCAGGCGGTCAAGGACGGAGCCTTGCGGGGGGTATGTATAGGGGGGCAGAGCCCCCTTGGAGAAGAAAATTTGCAGTTTCAGGTCACAATTGAACCAAATTTGATAAGAAAACTACCACAATCTTTAAGGTACATTTTAGATCTGATGCTGCGCTGGCCACTTTATACATTCAATGCTTCCTAAGCAGGTTTTCGAGCCTGCTGTTAGCATTGAAGCATCTAGTTCCAAAGGACGACACAACACCTCTTCCTCAGCGTCCGAATCATCTGGATCATTAGGGGAACCACCTGCTCGAGCAATAATAGCCTCAACTGTGATATCTTTCTTGCCACTCTGCTGTAACAAATCCTTCTGCTGCATCTCCCCCAGAAAGGCTGGTTTGCAGACGAAGGACAGACATATTGGCATGAAATGGTACGGGTGACAGACGGACCGTGAAATTTGTGTCTCCTCAAAATTTGTCTCTTAAGGGGGTGTTTCTCTTTTAAAAAAACCTCTTAACAGGGTACCCTTACTGTGTTTTGAATGTTCGCATTCTGTATTCAAATATGCGACTCCGACGCGCGCGTTGCGGCATGCTCCGTTTGTAGTGCGTCAGAATAATCCTTGTACCGGTAAGAATGTGAGTTTTCCGCTCATCTTTTCGACTAAGCAGAGCACATTTTTCTACAATTTCCGTAACCGTGCCGGTAATATGACTGACAACCTACAGCAGTTGGTACCTACCGGTATGCGAATGCAGATCAAATGCAAAATCATTCATCTTGTCATCGCTACCGGTAATAATGTTGTGATTACCACTTGCAGAAACTAATTTCTCTCGCAAGCCCTTCTGGAACTGGAGGTGAAACAATCAGCGACCTTCGCTTCTAAAACACCTTTGCCTCTTCCAAGGTTCGTACCGAGAAATCCCACAAATTTTAAGATTGATTGATCGACAAACAGTATTTCAAGAATTGAGAGCTTTCGTCACCACTTGGAATCAAGACATGAAAATTGTGAGCTTCCGTCACCGATTGCAACTGCTTGATTCTAAGTACTGTAATGGGGAAGGAGTGTCAGGAGGCGGATGAAATACTCAGGTGTGTCAGTTCGAAACAGCTGAGACCAGCACAAGACAGAGTCAATGACGATATAGTTCAGTTGTCTTCTGCTCAAAACATCTGTCCTAAAAAAACACCCTTTGTATGTCGAAGGGGTCCCACGTCTATTTATACGTCGGATCACGTGGGCGAATTTTGTTTCGGTACAGTTAGTGAAATAAGATTTTTGCAGATTCTACAAGTAGCCGGCAATATACGCCGAAGAAAACCGTTCATTTTCCACAAAACCAGCAAACATGGTCGACCGAGGTATATTCAATGAGAAGAAAGGTATACCCTCCTACCTTCGTCCTGACTTGAGAGAGGGCACCAAGGCCCTACCCACAGGGTTTGCTCCAGGAGGATGGGACGTTATCTGCCACTCAAACAAGGAGGCGGATGAACACAGTGAGTCTGCGGCGTCTGGTGTACGATTGCTTTATTAATCCAAAATGATCACTGCCTTTCCTAACAGTCTCTGTTCTATCTTCGAAATGACCAATGTAGTTGGCAACCGTAGATTCGATTTTTGCATTAAGAATCATCTTGAAACTTACAACAACGCAAAATCAAGGGCCGAGAAGTCGGCTGTGATAAGTGACATTGTTGTGAGCATAAAGGAATCGTCAGCAGCAGGGATTGGGTTTGTACGGTATGATATGGAAAGGAGGCGGTGGTATCAGGTGAGCGACAAAATAGCAAGAGACAAGGTGGGGAAAAACCTTAGGGCATACAACTCCAAGAAGAAACAAAAAGACAAACCAAAACAAGACAAACCAAACGAGACGCCGCCTTCAAGTAGAACGAGGGCAATATCGGAAGAGTTCATTCGAGCTCCTCTCGAGCTTCCACCGGCAATACCCGGTGTTCCCAATACGATCGCCTGGACACAGATGAGAAAAATGGATGGCGCTCATACGATATGGTCAGATGCGCAATTAGCACCGCCCAACACGTCGATTGATAAGATTTCGCTCAATGACTGTTATGATGAAGACACTCCTAGCGACGACAATAGTCTAATTGACTGGTTCGAGGCGGATGTTAAGGGAATGAAATCGTAGACGATAATAGGACATCATTTTACTCTTGAGAGTAACAAAGCTGGTTTGCACTAGCATATTGCATCAGGTATGAAATATAGTTAATTTCGTAGCCCGTTACGTCACTCTGTCAATCGTTGAAGTCTTCGTTTTTGTGACCTAGAACATTCTGATCAAAAAATATGTCCCCAATGGGGAGACTCTGGGCAATCTTTTTGCTCGTTGGGCATCTTTGTGTTCGCTTTCACATATTTTTGCTCGCTTCATTTTTAAAATTAAAAGGTAATAGTTTCGCAGCATATCGGATTGTTAGTTTTATAGTTTCGCAGCATATTGAATTATTTATCATTCATGTTTCTGGTTCGCTTTGTCTCCTACCGGTACAGTACTCAGCTGAGTTGCAGGAAAATCAATATTTACTTTGAAGAATTGTATGCTAAATTTCTATTTTCCGGCCGTTCCAGATGCGATATTATAGTTCTACCTCTATCCTTGGTTCTACTGTACTTCTACCGATATTTTGCAACATTCGTCGCGGCGAAGAAACTCGCCGAGGCAAACATTGGCGCTCTGTTGGAAGTTATGATTCTCAGAACCATGCCAAACACACTTCTATCGATTGTTCCTCTCAGCAGAATGAATTCCTCGATATTCTCGGACTCACATTGCCCTAACCTGACTTCCTGATACGTACGGTACTGTACTTCTCCACTCATTATTCTGGTCAGTATTTGGTGAGTGCATAGTCCGAAATCCACTGGCAACCACCTCTCTACACGCACGCCACTTTAGGAGTCGTTCTTGTCAGAGGCACTGTATGCCAGCCAGACTTGTGCTCTGCTATGTACCCACTGTACCTACCACCGTTTACTCTTCTTGACTGTACCGGTATATATACCGGTATGAGAAAAAATATCACTGCGGGTTCAGGCAGACGACCGGCAAAAAGCAGCAGGCCGCACCACCACTGCAACGCCACACGCCACATCCGTGAAAATATCTGTGTACCGGTGCAATCACCTTCCTGTAACATTTTAGAAATCAGTTAGGTTTAGATTTCTTTGCTGGGAAGTATGCTCTGAGGTCTATTTGATGCACCTTGCGTTTGTTCAAAAGTTGCTTTTGCTTTGCATTCCGTTTTTCATGAAAGATTTCATCTTTTAGCAAACCGGTCACTAACTTAGTACCTCGCTACTGTGCCAAACCTTTTCGCTTCTCGTATGTACTGTAGCATTAGGCTTTGCCACCGTTTCCATGGTAGCATACAGTACGTGTGCGATTTCTCTAGACAAAGACGACATCATGCGATTCAAGCCCAGGGGTGGAGGCGGCGCTGGGTAATCTTCGATTATCTTCACCATAAATATGATATGGACTTTTTAGCTGGGCCGTACACGTGTACTTGTACCGTATCCCGTTGGGACTATAGTGTCGAAATTTTGGTTGGTCGCGGTATTTACAGGTAAAGAACTAAAATCTCAGTTGGTTCTCTATCGAACCTAATGACTCAAAGGCCTCAGGCGACTGTCCAAGTAAAGTAAATCATAACTCGTATTCTACAAACAACTAACGACAGAACATGATCTCTCGATCGAATGGAGTAAACGATTTTATATTTTGACGTCAGCCAGTGTTCCCGGATGCTCAAATTGCGAAAATAAAAGGAAAAAATCGTAACATTCGTCCTCATAATTTCCGATACTGAGTTGTTGCTATGACATCAACTAACGACAGCGACAAGCTTCGCAAGCACTGCAAAAGCTCTTCAGATCTTCTCGATGAGGGCCTATTGTCACTGATGCACTGTCCTCCTCTACCGTCCTTTGAAATGACAGCCTCGTCTTTTCCCTACATTTCCTCCTCCACGCCAGCAATGTGCTTTGAGGATCCCTTTGATGACCCACGCATGGAGCCTTTGCCTCTTCTCCCCTGGACTTCAAGTGACAAGCAAATGCCATCGACAAATGATGCGAGTGGTCTTGAATCTCCTTTCGTCCAACTGAACAAGTCATCTGAGGCCACACTTCGACAAGACCTGATCGACATCATGGACCCCATCATCAATGCCGGTGGACCCAAACGAAGTTGCGAAGCCGTCTTCTTCGACAACGACCAGGGCCCGCTCAACGCCAAGCGACAACGGACGAGCCACCTCTTACAAGTCTCCGAGGAAGAAAGCACAGCTCGCTTTCGTCCATATCAAGAGACGCAGTGGCAAGATCAGTTCCAAAAGCTCGTCCAGTACAAGCTAAAGCATGGACACTGCTCTGTGCCTCACTCTTGCAAAGAAGACCCCATCCTCGCCCGATGGGTCAAGAGGCAAAGGTATCAATATAAGAAGTTCAACGATAACAACCCTACCTCTACGATGACCACTCGTCGTATTCAAGTATTGGAATCCCTCGGCTTTGTCTGGAAATCGCACGCCTCCGCATGGGAAGACAAGCTGAACGAGCTAAAGGCCTTCAAGCAACAGCGAGGCCACTGCAACGTTCCGGCTCACTATCCAGAGAATGCTGCACTGTCCACTTGGGTAAAGTCTCAGCGTCGGCAGTATAAGCTATATATGTCTGGGTCATCTGCTTCGACTATGACGATCGATCGGCTCCTACAGCTGCAATCAGTGGATTTCGTATTTGATGCCTCAAGATGTCATTCGAAAGGATGTTAACATGCTTTTTAAGAAAAAATGAATATATTTTAAAATAAACGATAGTTACTCTTCTTTGTCTTCTTTGAATAATACGTCATTATCTTATCGGTGTTTTATTTTTGAAAAAGCAGGTTCTGGCTCTTGGCTATCTCGCTATATGCAACATCGGTATATTTTGGCAATATCACGGCTTTTCTACAAAGGTCTGTACTGTACGTAACATGAAACGAACACCATTGTTGATTTCAACAAGCCTTGGTTCTGAATCAGGTCCCAGTTACGATACCCCAGTGCCAGTGCAAGAGGGAGAATGAAACGATTATGATGTGAAATTCGGTACAGTACTGTATCTCATCATCATAAGATCAGATTTGCATGAGTCAGTCACAAAGAACAAGGTCGACATTCAAGACTCCGAAAGAACATCGCGCAAACCGAACTCGGGAGTGAGATATCCAACTTCAACCATGTCCAGCTTGGTACTGGCGGTGCATCGATATATACCAATTACAGTACGGCTTTCTCCGTTGCACACACGAGTTTTCCTTAGCGATATACCGCTGCTGACGTTGATAAGTCCACATCATCACAGAGTTCTCCCCAACTTCATCTTGTTCGACAAGTTTTCGGACGATGGGTGTGTAAATGCACCCGACACCATCGACATGAATGCTTGTACAAACACTTTTTATCGATATCAATTAACGAAAACGGGAATCCTCTTTGATAGGATTGACGTGAAAAGTACAAAATGAAATATAGTTTCTCCATCCGCTAATTCAATTGTTCGACCAAGGCCTTTCATCGTAAATACCCATGGAGAACAGCGTACAACGTCAGATCAACTTCAACTGAAAAAAAAACAATCCTTCCAGGACCTCATAATTTCTCTTTGACTGACGCAACTAATTTCAAATTTCCAACATGAGCTTCACCGACATCAACCACAAGCGTCGAAACCATAGCCACAGCTATCCAAGTCTCTCAGATGATGGCCCACTGTCACTTATTGATTCCTTTTTGCCTTCCTTCGAAATGACAGTCCCATATTCCTCCTTCGTTTCTCCACTACCACTCTCGTTCACGGATCCATTTGATGATATAAACATGGAACCTTTGCCTATCAGGTCGCAAGACCAACCGTCATCAATGGCTCATTCAAGCTTTGATGGATTCACATCCCCTTTCACGCAACTGGATGAGCCTTTGGGCGCCAACCTGCATAAGGGTCTGATTGATATTCTGAATCCCGTCATTGATATTGTTGGCTGCAAACGAAGCCCAGAAGATGGCTCCTCCAACAACAGTCAACGCCCATACAAGCGCCAACGGATGAACCCTGTCCAATCTGCTCATAGAGAAGAAAATGCTGCTCGCTTTCGTCCTTATCAAGAAAAACAGTGGAGAGAGCAGTTCCAAAAGCTCATCCAATACAAGCTTCTTCATGGACACTGCTGTGTTCCTCATTCTTACCAAGAAGACCCCATCCTTGCCCGATGGGTCAAGAGACAACGGTATCAATACAAGAAGTTCCACGATTCCAATCCCACATCCACCATGACGACTCGACGCATCCAAGAGCTTGAGTCTATTGGCTTTATCTGGCACTCCCATTCATCTGCGTGGCAGGAGAAGCTCAATGAGCTCAGAATCTTCAAGCAACAAAGAGGTCATTGCAACGTCCCATCACATTATCCAGAGAATCCCGCGCTATCGACTTGGGTGAAATGTCAACGTCGCCAATACAAACTTTACATGACTGGCTCGTCTTCGTCGACCATGACAATGGAACGATTCCAGCTGTTACAATCGGTGGGTTTTGTCTTTGACATTCAAAATGTCAGAAGGAGGTCAGCAGCAGCCAGTTATTAAATCCTAAAATTATGTATTTTTTGTAAGAAGATTGTGTCTCATAGCTAGTTTGGATGAGTATTATTGGTTCGTATCTACTATTTTATAATACAGCCCTCGCCCTACAATGTATTATAATAGCCTCTCTATATCGCGCGCAAAAATTAACTATTATTGTCGACCCCCTCGACTACACCTCCGGAATGTGTAATAATAATAATGCAATGATGATAAAAAATATAATATTCAGCGCACGGCAAAAATAATATGTTTGTCCAGTGTTGCGGTCTTGTTGTGTGCAGAAGATATTAGACATGACTGGAGGATTGATTTCCGACTTGAAACCGTTATCGAGATCATGAAAAGACTCAACACGAATTCCAGAGGGTCTCGATCGTCTACATCGGCGAGATTTGGTTGTTCAGTGTCCTCATGCTCGTTGAGTGTAATCGTGCTACTCTCTGTTACCTATTTGATTGCTCTCAACACGCATATGCTGCGAAAGGCATACGTACTGGATCAGGATGTGTTTTCAGCCTCCCTTGATATCCAAAGCAGCAGGGACCTAATGATTTCAAAGCGCCCGGACAGTCAAGCCACCATTGGAATAAGAAGAATACGAACCGCGACAATGGGGTCATCATCGTCAGCTAAGATTCTGCCTCACGAGAACGACCCCTCAACGACAGAACCGAACAGCTCGACAGACACAACAGAGCACTTACCAAACAATCAAACCGTTGTCTCTTCTACAATATTGATTCCTGAACATCCCGATGGTCAAATTTGGAGAAATTTAAATCTCATCTGGACTTTTCGGAATGGAACTGCCTTACCCAATATGACGGAGACCGATTTCAACCTGAGAAGGATCCATCCTCTAACTGGAACTTGTCCATGGACAGCTCAATATCGACTAAAACTGCATCCAGGATCCAATGAAACGGAAGAATATTGGCTGTTGCAATCCTTGGACAATCACAGCCGACCCAAGACCATGGGTGGTGATGAAATGTACGTCATGTACCATCACCGCAATAAAACCAAGGCAGCACCAACTGCTGTGGCTTATTCACTGGATCAAGGAGATGGGACGTATCGTCTAGACTTTCATACGACGCCTTTCACCAGACGGAAAGATATCAACTTTGTCAATATGATGGGACGCAAGGGGTCCAAACTTTTGAGAGAAGGCCGCTACCAACCCAAGGGGACTTCAGAGACTGGAAGTCGCTTCAAGATCGATGGTGGTATCTTTACGTTATTCATGTCGTATACCTGTGGTCTCGGCGAATTGCATCATCCTGCCAAAAAAGAATGGCGGACCGGAGGTGCCATCATGAGACGCTATCACACCTATGTTCCCTATCCACCGCAAATGCGAGTCTTTCAGTCACCAAATGCTGACCGTAAAATTGATTTCGACAAGTATCACAAAGTCATGATATTTGGTGATTCCAATTTGCATGGACTCTGGAGAGACAATAACCAGACCATTAAGAATCTTCACTTTATTCGGAAACCGGATTCTGCCTTGCAAATGCGATCCATGAAGCGTTTATTTCTTCCCAAAATACAATGGTTTGCCAATCTAACCATGTACGAAGATGACAATCCATTCGAAAATAGGTATGCCTTAATGATAGGATCGGCGTGTTGGGACATCGTCTTTCCTGAAAACAGTGGTCCAGAGTTTAACAATCACTTAACTGCGTTGAGGTATATGCTCAAACAACTGAAATACACATTTGGTCCGATGGGCAATGTGGATATTTATTGGCACTCTGGGCTTGCGCTTCAGCTGTACGTGGCTGGACAGGAGGGTGGATGGTTTGATCGTCGACCACTGAAGTACATGAGCTATCATCGGAGCTTTGACTTGTATAGAAAGCAAGTTGAGTTGCTGAAACATGTCGGAAACATCACGCTGTTGGACTTTATGCATGCATCATATTTGAGTGGACATCAATACATTCGTGGGGATGCCCGACACGTCATGCCGCTGCTGAACCGGATTCTGCTGACCTATTACTATCCGAGTCGACTGCAACAATGAAACTGAGAATGCTCTTGAGCTTATGGAGGTTGCCCCAATCGTTGCTAGATACTCGAAACCGATCGACGAGACAAGCTAAGTTTTCAAATGCGTCTACTGGTGTCTACCCGTTTCGGAGCAAGGATTTTTCGTTTCTTGGATAATTCCGATCGCGACTTCGGGGGGCACGTCCTGTTGATTTTCAAATCTCTACAGTAGGTTAGACGATAAACTCTGAGCTAGTATTCAATAACCATCAAAGGTAGAGTAAGACCAGAAAAAGAAATTTCGACATGTGTTTGCAACTGGTAGGCTAGTGATGGAAGCTTATAACTAAGTATTGTTTACAGCAGTGGCCAGCTTGCTTGACAAGGTGCGGATGGCTTCTTTGAGGCGTCGAAAACGAAATCTACTGATTGCAGCTGTAGGAGCCGATCGATCGTCATAGTCGACGCAGATGACCCAGACATATAAAGCTTATACTGCCGACGCTGAGACTTTACCCAAGTGGACAGTGCAGCATTCTCTGGATAGTGAGCCGGAACGTTGCAGTGGCCTCGCTGTTGCTTGAAGGCCTTTAGCTCGTTCAGCTTGTCTTCCCATGCGGAGGCGTGCGATTTCCAGACAAAGCCGAGGGATTCCAATACTTGAATACGACGAGTGGTCATCGTAGAGGTAGGGTTGTTATCGTTGAACTTCTTATATTGATACCTTTGCCTCTTGACCCATCGGGCGAGGATGGGGTCTTCTTTGCAAGAGTGAGGCACAGAGCAGTGTCCATGCTTTAGCTTGTACTGGACGAGCTTTTGGAACTGATCTTGCCACTGCGTCTCTTGATATGGACGAAAGCGAGCTGTGCTTTCTTCCTCGGAGACTTGTAAGAGGTGGCTCGTCCGTTGTCGCTTGGCGTTGAGCGGGCCCTGGTCGTTGTCGAAGAAGACGGCTTCGCAACTTCGTTTGGGTCCACCGGCATTGATGATGGGGTCCATGATGTCGATCAGGTCTTGTCGAAGTGTGGCCGCAGATGACTTGTTCAGTTGGACGAAAGGAGATTCAAGACCACTCGCATCATTTGCCGCGAACAAAGGTAAGGCATTGGGTACCGATTGAGAAGACAGCATTTGCTTGTCACTTGAAGTGCAGGGGAGAAGAGGCAAAGGCTCCATGCGTGGGTCATCAAAGGGATCCTCAAAGCACATTGCTGGCGTGGAGGAGGAAATGTAGGAAAAAGCCGAGGCTGTCATTTCAAAGGACGGTAGAGGAGGACATTGCATCAGCGACAATAGGCCCTCATCGAGAAGATCTGAATAGCTTTCGGTGTGCTTGGCAATGGAAATAAGCATTATTGCAACTCAGTTTCGGCAATTTTTTTATGTTGTGAAAAAGCTTTTGAAACTACATGCGGAGCTCTGCATATATTCCGGGAACTCTGACTGACGTCGTTTATAAATCATTGGAACACCTCGGCAGCTTCAAAACGTTTAGAGGATACCGTCACCTTTACATTTTCTTTTTTTTATATATTAAGCCCCAAAGGAATAATATACATATATAAAGAACACGCAACAGCAATTTTTTTATCTCATGTTCTTTTTCGAATACGACTACTGTAGCAATAATAAGAATTGGCTGAGCAAAAATGTTTTACAATAGGCTAGTGTTCCCACTACGAATATATTCAAACGAGTTAACGAAAAGTGTACTTTCAACTTGAACCTTCCGACACATCTCTTGCATCAGCTCGAAGGGCAGACGAACGGCGCCAACCAAAAGATATCGGGACTACTTGGAGATTCCGGAATTGCACGCGTGCGCCCGTCAAGTCGGTACCGCTCTACTAAAGCCACGCCGG